GGTTCTCCTCGAAAATTCTATCTTGAATTTAAGGCACTTGTTTCAATGTATTCCAGCTCTAATTTCCTCTTTCTCATGTTTGATTTTTGTAGCATTGGTCTCCTGTCCAATCTAATGTCGAGGAGGATGATGGCAATGAGGAAGAAGAACGTTTCATGAATGCACACTCCATTGCTGCTTTTGCTAAACCGCTTCATAGAAAGGAGAAAAAAGATATGGAGCTCAGGAGGTGGAAAGATATGCTCTCTGGGGATGATCCCACATCCACATATAATAACTCCCACGAATCACGGAAAGCTCACAAGTTTGAAGCCAGGTCGATGTCTGATGCGACCACTTCTCCCATGGACGTGGATCACCGCAACACTCTACTCGCTACAATAAGCCAAGACTTTTCTACAACACGGTTTGGTTTTGCATCAGGCCAGGGAGAAATTGTTTCTGAGAAAGCAACGCCTATTAAAAATCTCGGGAGCCAGGAAAGGACTTCTTTTGACGGATCGAATGGACTTGGAACTAGACAGGCATCTTCATCTCTTGATAGTGATATTGATGCAGAGAACCATGCACGGTTGCAGACGATGTCACATGAAGAGATTGCAGAGGCACAGGCTGAGTTATTGGAGAAGATGGATCCTGCATTACTAAGCATTTTGAAGAAACGAGGCCTGGACAAACTGAAGAAACGAAAGCATTCATTGCCGGGTTTGTCCAATGCCACCGAGGAAACTAAGAATTTAAGAACAGAGGGTCACTTCGTCAGGCCTGATATTCATCCACCACAGGGCCTGGCTGTTACTCCATCTGCCTCTCAAGTGATAGCAGTGCCAAAAGAAAGACGTGTGGTGCAAAATCCAGTGTTAGCCCAAGGCTTCTTGTGGGATACATGGACTGAGAGGGTTGAGGCAGCCAGGGATTTGAGGTTTTCTTTTGACGGGAATGTCGTTGAAAATGTTGTCGTCCCAGCAGCTAAAACTGGTGAGTAGAACAATACAAGCGATTCTGATGACAAAATCTTTAGCTTCTTCTTACACATTTTAATTTACAGGTGAAACCTGGTCTAGCGTTGGATCTGCTGTTGAACGTGACTACTTGAGAACTGAGGGGGACCCTGGGGCAGCAGGGTACACCATCAAAGAAGCTATTGCACTCGCACGAAGTGTGGTATGATTGCTGCAGATTTTAGTTCTGATGATAAAGAGTGATTAAAGTTCTTTGTGCTGAAGAAAATCTGTTGGCTGGGACTGCTGTTTTACTCTCTCATCGCTCATTGATTTTGTTTGCATTAATATGTCAGATTCCGGGGCAAAGATGCCTTGCTTTGCATCTGCTTGCATCTGTACTCGACAAATCTCTATACAAACTTTGTCAGAGCAGAATCGGCTCCATAAGGGATGAAAAAGATAAATCCACTGATTGGGAAGCGATCTGGGCTTATGCCCTCGGACCGGAACCTGAGCTTGTCTTAGCATTGAGGTATGGGTGTAATGTGAGACTTAATTGTGAAGTTAATGCTCATACATCATATATTGTTCGTTCTTATCAATATAAGTTAATTTTCTTCTTAAGGATGGCTCTTGATGACAACCATACCTCTGTTGTTCTAGCATGTATGAAAGTGATTCAGTGTCTACTGAGCTGTTCTCATAATGAGAACTTCTTTGATATTTTGGAGGTATAATTGATTTTTTCTCATTCCAAAGAAGTTATAGTCCTACTGTAACTTGAAACTATATGTACAAACTGATAAAATCCATTTCTGTTTCCAGAACATGGGACCTCACGTAAAGGACATCTCCACGGCCTCTGTGTTCAGGAGTAAGCCAGAGATTGATCTCGGCTTCCTCCGTGGTTGCTACTGGAAGTATAGCGCCAAACCTTCCAACATTGTTCCTTTCCGTGAAGAAATCGTGGAGGACGGGGCAGAAGATACGGAAACTATCCAGAAAGACGTTTTTGTAGCCGGACAAGATGTTGCTGCCGGTCTTGTCAGAATGGATATTCTTGCAAGAATTTATCACCTTCTCGAGGTGAGATTACTTTCTATATATTTATACCTGTGTGTAACTCAGCAAGGAACACTCTCGTTGTGTTGCTTAACCAGTGGCTTAGGTTTCTGTTTTTTTTTTTACATTTATTTTATGTCATGATGTCAGACAGAAGCAACAGCAGCAACAGCAGCGCTCGAGGAGAGCATCATTTCTGTTACTATTGCGATAGCAAGACATTCTCCAAAATGCACTACTGCAATTTTGAAGTATCCGAAATTTGTGCAAACAATTGTGAAAAGATTCAAGTTGAACAAAAGAATGGACGTTCTTCCTTCTCAGATCCATTCGGTTCGCCTCTTAAAGGTAATGCTGCTCCGCTCGCACAAAATTATCTTGGGGTCGTTATGTTAATTTTTTGACAAAACCTGAGGATACAAGTTTTTTAAGCTGTCAATCCTCAGAGCTTTGGTAACCTATCTTTGTATTTACTCTCTTTTTAACTTCTTTAAGGTATTGGCCCGGAGTGACAAAAGTACTTGCATGGAGTTTGTGAAGAATGGGACATTCAATGCGGTCACTTGGCATTTGTTTCAGTTCACCTCCTCTCTTGACTCATGGGTTAAGTTAGGGAAGCAGAACTGCAAACTTTCATCTGATTTGATGGTCGAACAACTCCGGTTTTGGAAGGTCTGTATCCAAAATGGCTGTTGCATATCTCGATTCCCAGAGCTATTCCCAGCTCTGTGTCTGTGGTTGAGTTGCCCATCATTTGAAAAGCTCAAGGAGAAAAATCTCGTCTGCGAGTTTACTTCTGTGTCAAAGGAAGCTTACCTGGTCCTTGAGGCTTTTGCCGGAACACTTCCTAGTATGTACTCACAAAACATTCCACAGAATGAAACTGGGGCTTGGGACTGGAGATATGTTAGCCCTTTGATTGATACAGCACTGAGCTGGATAGCAGTGGCCCCCAAATTACTCGAGTGGGAGAGAGGAATCGAAAGTGTCTCTGCGTCCACTACTTCTCTGTTGTGGTTGTATTCGGGTGTCATGCGTACAATTCCAACGTTCTTGAGAAAATCTCTGCCCATGGAGAGGAAGAACCTCTGCCATGGCTGCCGGAGTTTGTTCCAAAGATTGGCCTCACCATCATCAAGCACAAGCTTCTTAGTTTTTCCGTTGCAGCCGTAAGTAGGTGTGGGAAAGACCCGTCCAGGTGTTCCTCTTTTATGGAATTTTTGTGTATTCTAAGAGAACAGTCTCAAGATGAAGAACTAGCGTTAGCTTCTGTGAGTTGCCTTCATGGATTAACACGAACTATCGTGTCCATCCAAACTCTGATAGAATCTGCTAGATCTAAGATGAAAGCTTCTCCTCAGGGAAGCGTTTCTGTTAGAGATGAGTCTGTGCTTGCAAAAGGAATACTGACAGAGTCTCTTGGTGACCTAACATCTGTGTGGAGCTCTTTTAGAGATTCCGTTGCATCAGAATGGTCCATCATACAATCCATTGAGCTACATAAACGAGGTGGACTAGCTCCTGGGGTGGGACTTGGTTGGGGAGCTAGGGGTGGTGGGTTTTGGTCAACTAGAGTTCTGTTGGCACAAGCTGATGCCGGCCTTCTGAGTCTCTTTCTTAATATCTCTCAAATAAACTCGCAGAATGAGGAGGGATCGGTTTTCTTGATGGACAAAATAAACTCCGCTTTAGCTATATGCTTGATTGCAGGTCCAAGGGATCATTTACTTGTGGAAAAAGCCTTCGGCTATGTCCTTGGACCGCATGCTTTAGAACACCTGGCCTGCTGCATCAAGTCAAACAAAAGAACCATAACGTTTGACTGGAAATGTAGTGAATGGGATTATGATCGTATGAGCAATGTGCTCGTTTCTCACTTCAAACTTAGATGGTTGCACCCAAAGAAGAAATCTAAATCCGAGAAGGGAGTCAGTGGGACAAGGAAAGGCGCAGTTGGTCTGGAGACTATTCAGGAGGACGGTGAAATGCCAAATTGTTCAACGCAGGACCAAAAATCAGACTCACTAATCACAGAGTGGGCTCACCAGAGAATGCCCCTGCCTCCACACTGGTTTCTGAGCTCCATCTCAGCAGTCCACGGTGGTAAAACCTCAGAAGGGGCACCAGAATCCGCAGAGTTGATTGAAGTCGCAAAAGCCGGAGTTTTCTGTCTTGCAGGACTTGAGTCATCGTCTGGGTTGGGATCGCTTCCATCTCCTGTTTTGAGTGTGCCGTTGGTTTGGAAGTTTCACGCTTTGTCCAACGTGTTGCTTGTTGGAATGGAGATCATCGAGGACAAGAACACTAGGAACCTGTACAATTTTCTCCAGGAGCTCTATGGGCAGGTTCTTGATGAAAGGAGACAAAATCATCGTGAAAGTGAGCTCCTGGGGTTCAAGTCTGACATTTCCGAGAATTACTCAACTTTTGTGGAGATGCTAGTGGAGCAATATGCTGCAGTGTCGTATGGGGACCTACTGTATGGCCGGCAGATGTCGATGTACTTGCATCAATGTGTGGAACCCTCAATTCGGCTTTCGGCATGGACTGTGCTCTCCAATACCCATGTTCTTGAGCTGCTGCCGAGTCTAGACAAATGCTTGGGAGATGCAGAAGGTTACCTCGAACCGGCTGAGGTAGTTTTGCGGGGGAAAAAAAAAGGCCACTCTTTATATAGTGTTGAACAAATGGCATCTTTAAGTACCGACGTAAGATTAAATGGTTGATTGATTTGACAGGAAAACGAGGGCGTCCTTGAGGCGTACCTGAAGTCATGGACAGGTGGAGCTCTGGACAGAGCAGCGACGCGAGGATCATTAGCCTTCACACTGGTTGTGCATCACTTTTCACATTTAGTGTTCTGCAATGGAGCCAAGGATAAAGGAGGAGTGTCGATGAGGAATAAGATTGTAAAGTCTCTTGTGAGAGATTTATCCAGAAAGCGGCATCGGGAGGTAAGTGGAGAAATCCCATGAAACATTTTTTGCGGTTTACAAAGTGACGAGTAAAAGGATGATGATAAATGAAGCGAGAGTTCAATGTTTCAGGGGATGATGGTGGATCTCCTGAGGTATAGTAAATGGGGTGCAAATGCGATGGAAGAAGAATCAGCAGCGCAGACGAGTGAGAGAGAGAGAAGAATGGAGGTGTTGAAGGAGGCTTGCGAAGGCAACTCCTCGTTCCTCTCGGAGCTGGAGAAGCTCAAATCCGCCGCCTTGTGTGGAAGAAGGTGAAACAAAGTGTCATTGGGGAGGAAACAAAGTGTAATTTTTTTTGGTTACAAGTAGTCTTTGGACAAGAGAGGTGTGTAAGTTAGATCCGAATTGGCTATAATATCGAACAAACAGTAATTAGATGATCATATCTGTAGGAGGAGGAATGTCCAAAACATGAACTTGACGGAAACCCATTATTGGGGCACAGAAAAGTTTTAAAACTTAGAGTACTAGTATTTAGACACAACAATTAAATAATACATCTAAGAGATCTCTCAAATCCGACGAGGCGATGCTGTTTAGCGCTTCAGCGACCCCGTTGACGCCAAGCTTCTGTCCGGAGAAAGGACCCCTTGTCCATGTTCCGATGAGACGCTCTGGCGCATCAATTCGGTCGTCGTCGGCGTCGGGCTCGTCCAACAACTTCGATCTGAGGAAGTATTGGACAACGCTAATCGGAGAGATAAACGAGAAGCTAGACGAAGCGATACCGGTAAAGTACCCGGCGGGGATCTACGAGGCGATGAGATACTCAGTACTCGCACAAGGCGCGAAGCGAGCCCCTCCTGTAATGTGTGTGGCCGCCTGCGAGCTCCTTGGTGGTGACCGCCTCGCCGCTTTCCCCACCGCCTGTGCCCTAGAAATGGTTCGATTCATCTCTCTCTCTCTCTTTCCCGTTTCCCCCAATCTAAATCTGTTGCTTGGTTAATAGGAGTGAGCCTAGAAATATATGTGAATTGATGATATAAAAAACAAGTCAGGTGCACGCGGCTTCACTGATTCACGACGACCTGCCCTGTATGGACGATGATCCAGTGCGGAGAGGGAAGCCATCAAACCACACAGTGTACGGGGCAGACATGGCCATCCTCGCAGGTGACGCTCTCTTCCCACTCGGCTTCCAGCACATTGTCTCCCACACGCCTCCTGAGCTTGTTCCCCGAGCCACCATCCTCAGTCTCATCTCCGAGATTGCCCGCTCCGTCGGCTCCACCGGTATGGCTGCAGGTCAGTACGTTGACCTTGACCTTGAAGGAGGAGGCCCCTTTCCTCTTTCCTTTGCTCAGGAGAAGAAATTCGGAGCCATGGGGGAATGCTCTGCCGTCTGCGGGGGGCTCTTGGCCGGTGCCTCCCACCACGAGCTCGAGGCGCTCCGGAGGTACGGGAGAGCCGTTGGAATGCTGTATCAGGTGGTGGATGACATCACAGACTATAAATATGATGATGACGACAATAAGAAGAAGAAGAAGAAGAACTATGCGGGTCTCTTTGGAGCAGAGAGGGCAATGGAAATGGCGGAAGAGCTCAGTGTAAAGGCCAAGAAGGAGCTCCAAGTCTTTGACAAGTTTGCAGCTGTTGCTCCTCTCTACAGCTTCGTTGACTACGCTGCTCACCGAGACTTCCCTCTTCATCTCTGATTTATCTATTTGGGCCTCCTTCCAATATGGATATGGGCCTTCATTCTCATACGTGTTGTGTCCGACGATGATGTCTGAACCCAACATATAAATATTATTTTATGCTTCAGTTCGCCAACATTTCCATCACATTAAGAAATTTGCGAATGTCACACATTTACTATTGTTTTTTTTTTCTTACAGATCAAGACCAAAGCCAAGTCTATGTTTCTTTAAACCCTTTCCACTATTAATCGGTGGCCATCTTATCCACTGTCTGTATGCACATCTACATTACATCATTGCATCACTATCCCCACATTGTATTCTTTCTTTCTTTCTTTCTTTAATTAATTAAAACACACAGAAATCGCCACTCTCTTTCATGCGGATTATCACTACCATTTTTTAAAAAATTATTGGAGTACTGAATAATCTGAGATTGCGTACCTAATTAAACGTGTTTGATTGGACTAATGAATTATATAGTGTGCCAATGTAATTGTTGAACTCTTACCTTTTTAGAGGAAAAAAATGCTTTCATATTTTTTAAAAAGGAATTAAGTTTTATATGTTTAACGATTAAATCTAAATCTTGACTCTGAATTGCATCAACTGGTAATTTTATATGTTTCCAGGTTAATTAGTTAATTTGAGTAAGAGTAAAACGTGTAAGCTACATAGATTGGAATGCCTCAATTCAATGAATCTGTCATACACTTTCTTCGCATTTGTTTTTCTGTAGACGATAAATGGATCGTGCAATACGAACTACATAAATCTGGCTCTCGTGAATTATGATTTAATTATGTAAAACACATATTATCATTTAGCTGTTCACAAAATAAATCTCATGACCTCTTTATATATACCATTGTTTCTCTTAGTTTGGCCGTTTCCATTAACATGATCCTTGACCGACGGTGTGTGTGTCAACTGATCATTAGGGTTTACTGAGAAAATAATTAAAACGTTGTTTCTTATATGGTGATAATATTTTCTAAGAGATCTGACATTTGCGCTCACGCTCAGTAGTTGAATCTATAATTAATATATCTTGGTACTTCTTAATTTTTGTTTTTGTTTTTTGGTAAACTATATCTTGGTACTTGATCAATGAATAAAGGAAATATACACATGTATCCCATATTTTGTTGCTTCATCATCTGAACAAGATAATATATACTAATATTGTCATTATTTCGTCGATCTAACATAATACTCAGGATGTATTAATAATATACATCGATCTCCTACCACACGGTTATTTAATCGAAAAATGCAGGTTAACCAAATTAGTGTTGGTTCACCTTAGCATCGCATACAGAAGCTTATGAGGAAAAAAGTAGAAGCATCGGAGGAGGGAATGTCGTAGATAAGATTGATTCAAATGGATAAAAAAGAAGAGGAAGAAGAAAAAGTATAGTAGTGAAAAAAATATATAAAATATATAAAAAGAAGAAGTGGTATTGCTGAAAACAGATGGTGGCTAGTAACTTTGGAACGGCGACAAGTCGCGGCCTCGCTGGCCTTCCCGCTTAAAAGACGCGACCTTTGGTGAGTGTAAAGGGACAACACTCCACGTCGGATGAAATGCAGACGTGTGTTGCCACATCACCGACATTTGGGACCAATACTATAATTACTACTGATTAGCCATTTACTAAATACTGATTACCGAATCAAAGTGGTTTATTCCTTTTCTGGCTGCCGCATCTTTACCCTCTCTGGTCAACTCCTTCCTGATTGATCATATCCTGGATTATTATTATTTTTAATACCAAAATCTCATTTACCAATACTGTATTGATTTTTTTTTTTGTTTTTTTTTTGGTTTGGGTTTAATTAATTAGTAATCATGTTCATTTATCTTTGAAGACGTCTAATATAATCTCTCCCAAGATGATCGAAAATTATTCGACGTCCCATTGCATTAAGATTTAGACTAATTGCTAAATAATCGTGATATGCGTGGGTGTTTAATCCTCAAATTTTGTTCTGTACGTATAAATATAAATGCCATCTCCTTTGTGAGATTCTTTTTACAATATGCCTTATTTATTATTTTTGGTCAACACGATATGGGTCTTTAACTATATATAGTTTTACAGTATGTTTAGAATGGATTATAATAAAAGACCATATAGACATTTTTATAATCGTAAAATACAAGAGCAGCCATTCATGCACCACGTGATACTCCATTATATATTACGTTTATTATAATCTATATTGTACAACTTTGATCACAACATAGATATAAGCCACATTCGTTATATAGCTAGTGTATATAATTTATTATGATTTCCACATTCGTATTTGCTCCAAATCACATCCGCATAATAGGTGGTATTTTCCAACTTACATGCATAATATGCCTTATTAATCATATGAATGATGCATTGCAAAACCTCGGTTTAATGCAATCAATTTAAGCTTAGTTTAGGGAGAAGACAATCGATTAAACGTTAATTTGGACAAAAATGTCTCCAAACATGAGGGAGTCACATGCGAGTGAGACGTCTATATATTTGGGCCCTAATTATCTTTCTCGAATCTTTTTATATATGTGGGTGCCAGTTTTACGTGTCAAATAAACTATTTTTCAGACGAAAATATAAACATTATTTAAACCCCAACAAGAAAAGCCACTAAATAATGGAAAATGTATGTGACAGCAAAAAAAAAAAAAATTGAAAATGTATGCAATTGACACCGCAAACTATTCTGATTTTGTTTTGACGTCCATATGTATTTTATGGATCCGAATGGAGAAAGGGGTGTTTTAAAGGATCCAGGAAAGTAAGGGGTTTGAAAAGGGAGAAGTAAGAGAAAATGGGGGGAGAAATAGTAAAAGGAAAGGTGGAACCTGATCCGGATAAGTGTGGGGTCGTCAGTGGAATATGCCATGGAGGAGAGGAGGAGTGGGGTCACATTAACGCCAAAGGCTGAGGGACAAATGGAGAATGTGTTTTGATATTGATTTCGTTAATCACGGTTTTAATTGCGATTAATTAATCAATTAAAACGGAGAAAAGCTTCCCCAATTTGAAATTCCATGAATACCCTCAGTCGTTAAAGGATTAGCATCGCCACGGCGGCATGAGTCATTCACTGCCGACGACGGCGTCGTTTTGGACCCTAAACATTAAACAAACAGCGAACCAAGCAAGAGGAAGAAGAAGGAGATAAAACGTTAAATAAAGCACTCTCTTCTCTTGTCTTCTCTTCTGCCTCCTGAATTCTGATCGCATCTCTATTCTCAATTTGAATTTCTTCTTAAAATCTCATCATTCATCTTCTTCCCTAACTCTGTATCAATCAAAAAGGGGATTCTCACGTAAATCGCAAGAGAGATCTTAAATCAATCCTTCACTTTCCTTTCTTGTTGCAACCACTTTATTTTCTTTTCCTTTTCCCTCTCTGTCTCTCTCTCTGTTTCTCCTCTCTCGTCGTCGTCAATGGTGATGGAGGACAACGAGAGTTGCGGTAGTAGAGTGATTACCGACGCCTTACCTACGTCGCAGGCTGCCATAGACCGTCGTGAGCGCATGAAACTGGAGGTTTTCGATGAGGTTCTCCGCCGTCTCCGTCAATCTGGCATCCAAGACACGGATCGCCCTGGTTTCGAGGACGAGCTCTGGTCTCACTTCAATCGCCTCCCCGCTCGGTAACTCTTTCATTCTCATACATTGTCGGCGTCTGCATGTGCCCCTCCTTAGGTTAGGCTTCCAGATTTATCCAGCCTGTATTAGATTTGTCCTCTCCTCCTGCAACATCTTAGTTTTTTTTTTCATGGAGTCAAGAGGCCTTTCAATCATATATCTTATATCTTAGGCTGCCTGATTTTGTTTTGCTTCAGAATTTTTTTTTGGGTCCAAAAAAGTGTGTTCCCTCTCAGTATAATAGATTTACGTAATAGGAGGCTCAAAAATTCATTTTCTTTAGGTATGCTTTGGATGTCAATGTAGAGAGAGCAGAAGACGTGCTGATGCACAAGAGATTACTGCATTCAGCTCATGATCCGGATAACAGGCCAGCTATCGAAGTTCGTCTCGTGCAGGTGAGTTGATTCCCAGTCTTATGGCGATGCAATCATTATTTCAAATTTTGTTCTCTTCCTTTACTTCTAGCCAACCCATTCAAATCACTTGTCGAGATTTCTCCTGATTCGGCAGCATATTTCGGTTGCTTGTTCCGATTCCCTGGCCTGATCTTTCATCTTTTATGTTTGCCTCTGTGAAATTTTGGCTTTGTGGGCTCACAGGATGTTTGGTGACTGATCTTTTCTTAAGGTTCAACCTGCGGGGATCTCAGCTGACTCGACTACCACGGACTCTCTTAGTAATGACGCTGATCAAACTTCTCCTAGACTCTCTACCAAAAAAAGGTTTGCCTGTGAGAAGTGCCACTTCTTCATTCTTTAACATTCCATTAAAACAAACAATCATCTCTGACTCTATTTCAACCTCTCTTTTTGATAGCATTCATCCCCCGCCGGCCTTTGGTTCATCGCCCAATCTTGAAGCACTTGCACTTGCAGCAAGTAGATCCCAGGACGAGGAGGGGGACAACTCTGTGCGTAACAATTCACTGTATTCCCGGTATGTACTTTCATGCAGATCTCAGAGAAATGCAACAACTCAAGTTTATATTTGTTTTTCATTCTGGCAAACGAATCTTTAATTGTCCCAGTTCCAACTTACCCTGTCGATCCGACTACAGGCCCTTGCATGAGATAACCTTTTCCACAGAAGACAAGCCTAAACTCCTTTTTCAGGTATTTGATCGGTGCTTGTTTCTCGGAAGAAATGGGTTTAGCAACTTGTTTTATTTTCACATGAGTTACAACTTCTTATGTTTTTCAATCGAAATTGCATAAAATAAGAGGGTTTCTCTTTTCTTGCATAATCCAACATGGCAAGTGTCTGCTTTTTTTTTCACCCATGCTTGAAAATGAGGATACATTTACTGTCACAATAGTCTTGTTCCTTGCTCCCAAACACAGTCTGTAAGCTAAAAAACTTCTTTTTGACATTTCTAAGTTAAAAAGAATGGTATGTAGTAGAAAAAAGTATGTAGGAGTGTGATGTCATCAATTAGAATATTTATGTGTTCGACAATTACAAGTATAAATATGAATATGATTTTTGAAAAACATCAAGCTCGTATGATCATATTGATTCTTCAATGCTTACCAAGCCAATGTAAATGTTGCAGTTAACTGCATTGCTTGCTGAGCTTGGGCTGAACATTCAAGAGGCCCATGCTTTTTCTACAACTGATGGCTTCTCACTAGATGTTTTTGTCGTTGATGGTTGGCCGTACGAGGTATTTTTTTGTTGTTGTCGTTTTCCTTTTTCCTCTTTTCTTCGCTATTGCAATGAGCTTGTAAAGTATCTATGCTCTATAAAACAGAATTTTGTTGGCAAGGTTTATTCATTTTAAAGAGGTCCTTTGACTTGTGGATTCATTTACCGTGTACTGATCTAATAGCTGAAACGCAACTATTTTTTTACATGAGAAAGATTCCGGGTTATAACTGTGGGTAGTATGCTACCTTTTAAATTATTCAGGAAATAGAAAGACTTAGAATAGCGTTGGAGAAAGAAGCAGCAAAAATTGAGGTATGTATTTTCCGTTGCAAATTTAACTGCTTTCGAGCGAATATTGACTACTCTTTCCTTCCGAAGCACTTAATTCTGAAATGAAATGTAGTTGTGTGGTTCATATAGAGTCTTATACTTTTTCACAGTGATGACATCTCACGTTCATGTCTTGTTATAAGTTAATAAGAATTTTTCATCACTCAGTTGCAGGACCAAAGCTGGCCTATGCAGCAATCCTTCTCTCCTGAAAAGGAAAACGGGCAAACAGGTGCCAGAACGGCGAGAAACCATGTTGCAATACCCAATGATGGAACTGATGTTTGGGAAATCAACCTTAAACAGTTGAAATTTGGGCATAAAATAGCGGCTGGTTCTTATGGAGATCTGTAAGTTAGCTCAAGCTATCAATCGCATTATTATCTTAAGATGCTCAGATGCTCAGATGCTAATATCTATCCCTCTTTCTCCTTACCTCTTGTATTATTCAGGTACAAAGGTACATACTGTAGCCAGGAAGTTGCTATAAAAGTCCTCAAGCCAGAGCGTCTAGATTCTGAGCTAGAGAAAGAGTTTGCCCAAGAAGTCTTTATTATGAGGTTTGTGTGCCTTCATATCTGTTCACTTGTGAACTTATGTGCAGATAAAACAAAAGCATCTGAGATTCGTAAGATGTCACTCAAAATCAATCTTCCCGTTTTCAGGAAAGTTCGGCACAAAAACGTCGTTCAGTTCATTGGTGCTTGCACCAAACCTCCACATCTGTGTATTGTTACAGGTATGTTGGAGTGACCATCTTTATGCGCATTGTTCTGTTTGATATAATGTCTATGCTTATTATTTTTCGCTCCCGTCTTTTGTCTCTTTCACATATAATAGAATTCATGCCCGGTGGAAGTGTATATGACTATCTACACAAGCAAAAAGGCGTCTTTAAGCTTCCGACTTTGTTTAAAGTAGCTATAGATATTTGCAAAGGGATGAACTACTTACACCAAAATAACATAATTCACCGAGATTTGAAGGCTGCAAACCTTTTAATGGACGAAAATGAGGTAACGTTTTACAGCTTGGTGATTTTATTTTCATTCTCTTTCTGCACACCATGTGCATTGAGTAGCTTTGTAGTGTGAATGTATGAATTGGCATTTAGGATGAGCTTACATACTTTGGATGAAACGGTACTTCATTTTAATGCTCAAATAACACATTGTGCTGCTGCATGACAACAGATGCAATATCATTGAGCATGTGTTCGACAGGATGCATGTCATCATATTCATTATGATTCGCTCATAACCTATAGAGTTGCGGATTCATGGTGGTGTGTGGGTTGTTAGTACAGGTTGTTAAGGTTGCAGACTTTGGGGTGGCTAGAGTAAAAGCAGAAACTGGAGTAATGACAGCTGAAACTGGAACATATCGCTGGATGGCTCCAGAGGTATGATGAACGGCTTGCTTTGGCAAATCTCTTTTTTTGTTTGTTCTCCCCTGTGTGACGATTAAGTGTTGCAATCGTGAAATGTGAAACATATCTGACATGGTCTCTGGTGGATATACAAAAATTGGTAGCTATGAGATGACTAGAACCAGTATTGTAACCTCAAATTCTGACAAAAAAAAAGAGTAATAATAATACTGTGGAATGCAGGTGATAGAACACAAGCCATATGATCACAAGGCTGACGTTTTCAGCTACGGGATTGTGCTATGGGAGTTGTTGACTGGCAAGGTACTTGCGTGACTTGTCCAACGAATAGAAAACGAGGTGTTAGTATGAACTAACTAACTAACTAACTCAGGGGTTTTATATGATGGCAGCTTCCATATGAATACCTGACGCCATTGCAGGCAGCAGTCGGGGTGGTCCAAAAAGTAAAAAAAAAAATTTGCTTTTTTTTTTTTTTTTGATTTTGTGCATTATGTGGGAAGAAGCTAAAAAAAAGGTTGGTGGGTGATTTCAGGGATTACGGCCAACAATACCGAAGAACACGCATCCGAAAATGAAAGAGCTGCTGGAGAGATTGTGGGAGAAGGATCCAACGGTGAGACCGGACTTCTCAGAGATCATAGAGCAGCTGGAACAGATAGCCAAGGAAGTAAGTATTACAGAGAAAGAAATTAGTCCAAAGTAAGAGAAAGAGTAAGAAAATAAATATAACATTGGAATATGATTGTGTGTGTGTATTAGGTAGGAGAAGAGGGGGAGGAGAAGAAAAGATCAGCAACAGGAGGTATCTTTGCGGCACTCAGGAGAAGCGCAACATCACATCATCATCATCATTGATATTGATATTTATTTTGTCATCAAAAAGACTGTATAGCGCGCGAGAGAGTTTGTGTGTTTTTTTTACTTTGTTTGTTGCTCTGCTATTCAAAATTGATTTTCATCCTTCCTCTCTGTAATTTACACCACCCATTGTAGTTTGTCTACTCACTTCAAGTTATATTCTTCTTAATTATTGAGAAAAAAAATTAGAGAATGAAAAAAAAACACTCAAAAACACTCGTTTTCTTCAGTTAACAGATTTATCTTCAATTATCTTCTTCCGGTTAACAAAGACGCAAACAGATTCTTTGACAGATTTATCTTCTTCCGGTTTGAGCGAGAGAGAACACAAAGTTTAGGTTTAGGGTTTTTTTGGTTTTACACCATTCTTCATCATCCTTACTCGTTCAATCACCGACGCATAGCTAAGCTATAGACAATTTCTGGGAATATGAGTGGACGGCCGGCCAAAAAGCCGAGAACCACCGACCATTCCGTCGTCAGAATTTGTGAAAGGGAGTTGGGTCGATTGCCCAATCGCAATTTCTCCAACCGCTTTTCAGCCTCTCAGGTCTCTCGCTCTTCTTCTTCTTCGCTTTTCCTTTGTTGTTTCGACTTTTATTGCTGTGATTCCAATTCCGGAACATCATTTCTTAGGGCTTCTAATTGATATTCATTGAATTTCTCTCTCACTCAGAATTTCTACTAATCAAGTTCTAGGGTTATTAATTAGTTCTTTGCTTCACCGTCGTTGATATGGATTACCCAACAACAAACAATGATTGAGTTGTAGTTCCTTGAATCCCAACAAATCTAGCTTCGGTTTACCCAATATATCGTTGGTTCTCAGAATGTGTTTGTACAAGAACAATTCCATTTTGGATATCACTGATTCAGGGTTTGCTCGTTCAGCATCTATTACAGCGTCTTGGACTCCACAAGAAGCTCCGAAAGCATAAGGGTTGTGTCAACACAGTAAGCTTCAATGCAGATGGAGACATCCTCCTTTCAGCTTCTGATGACAGGCAAGTTATTCTTTGGGATTGGGACACGGCTTCCGTCAAACTCTCTTTCGATTCTGGCCATTGCAACAATATCTTCCAAGCCAAGTTTATGCCTTTCTCTGACGATCGCACCATTGTCACATCTGCTGCTGATGGCCAGGTGCACCCTCCTCTCGGGACCTCGTTGTTTCCTTCCGATTTTTGTGGCCTCTCTCTTCATTATATTCCAAAACTCTCAGGTCCGCTCTTCCAAAATTCTAGAGTCTGGACAAGTAGAGACTTGTTTGTTGGGTAAACATCAAGGACGGGTCCACAAGTTGGCTGTTGAGCCTGCAAGTCCATTCTCATTCTATACTTGTGGCGAGGACGGCGTTGTCAAGCATGTGAGTTGTTGTTCTTGTACTTAAGACAAGCCCCCCTTTTTCTCTTTTTCTTCTTGTTGTTGTTGTTGTTGTTGGTCATTGTTTTCAAAACGTAGATGATAATAACAGCATGATTGATTGATTGATTGATTGATTTCATAATTTTCAGTTTGATCTTAGGACTCGGGTGGCTACAAATCTTTTCACTTGTAAAGAAGCAAAGTTCAATTTAGTTGTCTACTTGAATGCAATTGCAGTTGATCCGAGGAACCCAGGTCTTTTCGCGGTGGCTGGGATGGATGAGTATGCTCGTGTCTATGATATTCGCAGCTATCGCTCTGAGGGTTGGTATAACTTTGCCCAGCCCGTAGACCACTTTTGTCCTCGCCATTTGATTGGAAACGACCATGTGGGAATAACAGGTCTTGCTTTCTCTGATCAAAGTGAGCTCCTTGCTTCATTTCGTGACGACTTCATCTATCTTTTCACCCCTGATATGGGGCTCGGCCCAAATCCCTCTTCGACTGTTGCTGAGGAGAGGACGACCCCGCAGCCGCAGGTTTTTAAAGAGCACAAGAACCGCGAAACAGTCAAAGGTGTCACCTTTTTCGGACCCAAGTGTGAGTACGTGGTTAGTGGTTCTGACTGTGGCCGAATATTCATATGGACGAAGAAAGACGGCGAGCTTCTCCGTGCCATGGAAGCAGATAAACATGTTGTCAACTGTGTAGAGTCTCATCCTCACTTGCCACTGCTGTCTAGTTGTGGAGTCGAGACTGACATCAAAATATGGACTCCTGGAGGAACTGAGAAACCCACTTCCCCTGGAGCTGCAAAAAAGGTAATGCCATCTATTGCTAACCTCGTTTGTCTTTTTTTTTTTCTTTTGTGTTTCAAGACTCGGATATATGCCTTGGTTTACAAGAATGTATACATCTGACGGGAGGCTGAATATGGTTTTGAAAGATCAACTAATTGTCTGTATGTTGCTTCTTGGAAACAGGCTTCGGTTTCTGGTAACCCTCGTTGGTTCCTGTTTTATGATGAAGACGGATATGATCATGCGTTCAATCCGCGCGGGTTGTATGTGGATGATGATGATGATGAAGATGATGAGGAAGATGATGATTCTGATGATGAAGTTAGTGATGAGAGTTCAGAAGATGATGATGATGATGATGATGATGATGATGATGATGGTTGTGGAGGAGGTAGAGAATGGTGAAGTCGATGTTGAGATTACGAAGGATGGTGATGATGATTGCGATGATGGTGCTAAAGGATGATGCAGATGATATAACTTGTATCAATTAGACAGTACACAGGTATTTTATATATATCCACAAAAAAAAATAGAAAAAAAAAAAGACTGAATAAAACACTTATAGAGTAATAAATAGTTCAAACGTCAAATAAATCTAGAAATAAAATGTACATATTACAAAATAAACCATATACATTTTCACTTTGTAAAACATTTTATCTAAGGATCGGTCTGCAATTAGTAACAAACTTTTTTGGAATGAATTTATTTATTTACTTTCGGACATTCCGTTAATATGATGTTAAAAAAAAAAAGAAGACGAGGATTTTCTGATAATATTACTGATAATGGGGCTTAATGATTGGGCCCGAAAGTTAAAAATAAAGTCCAAAAGGCTTTTGTAATTTAGCCCATTAAAACTTTAAGCCCAAAAAGGCCGAAAAGTTCGAGGAAGACGAGGCGCGAGTGTCAAGCCCAAAATAAAAAACGGGTTTGTTATCTAAACAATTTAAGCCCAAAAAGGCCCATAGATAATCGAAGGTTAGCGACCCTTTGGGTATCTTCGTCTTCCTCGAACTTGTTCGAATCGAGTGACTTGGATTTCGAGAGGATGGTGGTTTCTCCGGGGATGCTCACAAATGGTTCAGGTCACTATTAGTTCCAGTGGCCTCTATACTTGGTGTTGGTGCTGCGCTGCTTCTGATGTTAGTGTTCAATTTTGATTCATAGGTTTAATCCGATTGGCTCATCCCAAAATCCCGACACACCGGATTCAGAGACGCAATGGGTTCGGAGCAAGCAGCTTCAAGTTTCCTTGGGATTCGGTAATTTTATCTTCTCTAAGCGGGTTAAGACAAGTAACAGCTCAGGCAGCTTTTGCAATAACCTGTGTGTGTGTATGTTTTCCTTGTTGTAGTGTCTCAATGGGAGAGTGAGCTATAAGCATGTGGGTGGGTATTGCACGGTATCTGTAGGTTTGGCTCGTCAAAGCCCGAGCTTCCGTGACGAGCTACCCGAAGAGCCCTTATGGCTGAGCCTTGTTTGGGACATCTTCTGGTATGAAATGAATTCTCACACACACTCACACGATCAAGCTGGAAGGTTCTGTATGTCCGTTCCGTTGAATTTTTTGTTTGTTTGTTTGTTCATCTTTTCTTGAAAAGGAGCACGAGGTCTCTCTTCTCCTTTATGGCTGAGCAACCGAGCCAGCTGAAATTCATAGAGTGGCCAAGTTTTACAACCACGGTATGTGCCAAGTCTTGTGGTTGGTTTTGAAAATGATGATAGATATCTAACTTTTGTTTTTTTTTTGTTTGTTTTGTTTTGGGCACAGCTCAAGACTGCCACACTGAGTCTCTCTCTTGTAGCTGTCTTCATTGTTGCGCTATCATCGGTGGACTCTGCTCTGTGTTACATACTGGCTTTGATCTTGAGGAAAGCCCCATGAGAGGCTTTTTCAGAGTTTTGTAGACTGCAAAGGATGTTGATGAAGAAAGAATCAACGTCTCCTTCTTACTTTGTATGATATGATTATGCTTTGGACTTTGCAAGATGTAGCCAAATAATTCAAATATGTTTGAAAACTTTAGAACCATGTCCCTTATAATAAGGTGCACAAAAGCGATCAACATAATAATGGTTATACAAGTAAGAATAAGAGATATGGACTGGTCTTGTGTGAGCTGAAGAAGCAAGCTACTTGAGAACAACAGCAGCATTGCGAATGGAGAGATACTGCTGGACTTGCTCGGTAGAGAGTGACCTTAGAGTCTTGAACACATCCGCATTTGCATACCGCAGATTCGTTCTTGGGTCTACATATGGTGCCTGTCACAATTCCAAAACCACACCATATTATCAGACGAGACGAGATCAATTGAGAGTCTATCCATCTTCTTCAACTGTTGCGTACCTGATATCCAGTTATGTCGCAAATTCTCTTGCATGGTTGAGTCGATGGAGCCGACTCTATGTTCATATCTGCGCACACCCAGAAGAGATTCAAATTAAAACAAAGATTGATTCACTTTCACTTTGAGGGGATTAAAGCTGAATCAGACTAACAATTGGGTTCTTCGGGAGGATAATCTTGGAAATTCTCTGCTTGAAGAATCTGCTTGAGGTGTTTCCACCTTCCTCGAGACTGACCCTTTGGGTACTTTTCATACGCCTGTATCTTCTTAAAGCTCAATTTCATCGGAACTACTATATCTGCCTCCACCAGCTCGGCCTCCATCTCTCTCTCTCTCTCTGTGTCAAACCCTAGAGGTTTGGTTAGGTACCAAATCCGATCGAGGAGGACGACGACGAAGAATCCTTCCTTATACACACGTACGTTTTTCCTTTTAAGCCGATTGTTAATAACCGGGCCCGGTTCGGTAAAAACTCAGTAAACCGATTTGCTATAATTCGGCATTTACATAGCAAAAAGAGTGAGTTTGTTTATAATGTAGATCCATCCATCCATATGCGTTGATTGATGATTCTAAGGGAGAATCTCTTCGTCTTCTTCTTCAGGATTTCAATTTTTCTTTTCTCGTAAGTTGATCAAAATCTGATCTGAGATCTGTTGGGATTTCCTCCTACTTTTCAAAATCAAAGCTGGCCTCTTTCTTTCGCTTTGGTTTTGCCTGCAAAGTAGCTCTCTATGTGTTCTAGAGATGGTATCTATGTGTTGGTAGTGATGAGAAGCCAAAGACAGCAGCGATGATGAGTGATTTTCAGCGATCACTTTCTGTGCGGTTGAGCCGCCGGGGAGAAAGGAGCACTCAAAACGCACAATCTAAAAAAGGTCGGCCTTTTTTTTTTTTTTTTGTTGAGAATGATTAGAAGAAATTAGGTATAGCACCTGTAAAGCTGAGTATTTCTCCAACGCTTTCGTTTCTTTCTTCGTCTAAATTTGTACAGATGCTGAGGCTGGCTTCTTCTCTCCCACTAGACTGCATACTGATTTCACTATGAACAAACTTTGGAAGGCCGGATTCCTTCGGTTGCTTCTTGTTGGAGGCATTGTGTGGATGCTTCTCATTCTTGTTGCGCTGCTCTTTCATGTTTGGTCCTGTCAGTCTTCACTTTCATTCTTCTCAGGTATTCTACATGTTTCGTCTTGTCAATCTTCACTAGATACCGATTTCTAGCATATGATATACACTCAAGTCTTCTCGGTCTAGGAATCCAACTCTTGTTATGAGAGTAATGGATGGATTAGAGTAACATGATGTTCTTGGTAATTCACTTGCAGCCATATGCAACAAAGAAGGCAGACTTTATCTCATGTTAGACACGATTGGATTTGTAGCAAAACCGCAGCACCGTGAGATTTTCATAGTCAAGTCTATTTAGCTTCTGCTTATTCTCGATTGACGCTTACTAAAAATTCTTCTTTTTTGATATTTTGGTAGGATGCCCCATTCCAGTAGCCTATGACCCTGATCAGGTGCTCCTTCCGAGTGGAAAAACCGCAGATACAATAGTCAGGAATCTGACCTACATAACAGAGGACGAATCTTCTAAGTCTCAGTTTCCTCTATTTGGCGGCAACATAAGCTGGTCTGAACGAGAAGAAAGCTTTAAACTGAAACCCGAGATGAAGGTAAAAGGCTCTTCTTTATTTGATGGCTATACTTGTTCTACCACTAAATAACTTGTAAACGTTTGCTACCCAAACTTTTCAGGTCCATTGTGGATTCATGCCCCGTGGTGGTGCAGAAATGTCATCTCTGGATAAAGAATACGTAAAGAAATGTAGATTCGTGGTTGCAACAGGGATTTTCGATGCATATGATGAACCCCACCAGCCATCAAACATAAGCGAGCGTTCCAAGAGTCTCTTCTGTTTCCTTATGGTAGTAGACGAGGTCTCTCTCGATTTTTTAAGAAAAAACTCTACTCTGAGGAAAGATGTTAAAGGAGGCAAATGGGTTGGCATTTGGCGTCTCATTCTACTGAAAACTCCTCCATATGACGAACCTAGGAGGAACGGTAAAGTCCCGAAAATCTTAACTCACAGGTTATTCCCTGAAGCACAGTACAGCATTTGGATTGATGGGAAAATGGAGCTTATTGTTGATCCCTTGCTTATTTTAGAAAGGTAAGAAATACATGAAATTTTTAAAACAAGTAGCCAAGGATATACGACTATATGTCCATAGATGAGATTATATACTTCTCCACAGAGTTCATTATCAACACATGATGGATATCCTCTATCAGTCATGCATATTCCGGTTTCCATCTGTCTTTCAGGTATTTGTGGCGCGGGAAACAAACCTTTGCCATTGCTCAACACAAACACCACCGAAACATATATGAGGAAGCTGATGCGTGCAAGAGGAGAAAGCGATATGCCCGACCTCTGGTTGATCTTCACATGAAAATATATCGGTATGAAGGATTGGAACCATGGAGCATCAAGAAGAACACTGTTAGTGGTAAAGACCGTAACAAAAGATGGATGTCATCATGCGCCTTGTTAATATTGCGAAGCCTAAGCCCCTTGTCTTGTGTTACACAGATGTTCCAGAGGGAGCGGTGATAATAAGAGAGCACACTGCAATGAACAATCTGTTCAGCTGCCTGTGGTTCAACGAGGTACACCTGTTAACACCGAGGGACCAGCTAAGCTTTGGGTACGTAGTGGACAGACTAAAAGGAGCCTTCAAGCTGTTCATGTTTCAGAACTGTGAGTACAACTCACTATTTGAACTGCACCCTCACATCCGAGAACATTCCTCGAAGATCGAGTGGGTCAAGTCTCTTAAGGAACTCAAAGGGAAAGGAGAAAGTTTGAAGGAGAGCCGAGGCGGCTTTGGGCTCTGGACTCCTTACCCTGGGGATCTTGATTCCGTTGAGCTGCCAAAAGTAGTAAGAACTTCTAAAGCTGGTTGAGGCAGAAAACATTGTACACTACTGTCTTTCTTTCTTTGGCTTTTGTTTGATCGTTCTCTACGGGTGGATTAAATTCCAAGTTTTCCAATTTATATTGCATATATACTTCTTTTTGAATCATAATCCTTAGATTTGAAGAATCAAACGCTCATAACTCAATTGTACTTAACAAAAAAAAAAAAACATTCATGATCACATTTAGGACAAAAAACAAATGTATATATTGTTGAAAAGGTACAAAAAAAGAAAGAAAAGAAAAGGAAGATCTCATAAGAATATCTCTTTCAGAGAGAATAAGCTGCTTGCTCAGTTTCGAAGACAAATAAATAATAAAGGGTGTAGCGATTGGGAACAAACACCATTTATTTGGGACGGACAAGACATAGGTGCGAACCAACCGCAAAAGTAAAAACAAAAAGATGCATTTGGACAGAGAATCACACCAAACACTCTGTTTTTCAGTTTGTGCTGTCGCGGCTGTAAAACTGATCAAGGGTTTTCGCGGGTATACGGTGAAGCAACTCACGGGGGAAGATTCTCAGGAGCGTCCATGCCAGGTCGAGTGACTGGAAGATATTTCGGGTATCGTAAGCTCCCTGAGCCACAAACTTCCTCTCAAACTTGTCCAAGAACTCAAGATATAGCTGTTTGCATCAGACAGAAAGTGTTAACAGAGACAAGATCTGGGAGAGACCGAAAGCATTTAGACTGTGTTAGTAAAAAAAAGAAAAGAAGAGAGACCAGATCCTCGGAAGAGAGAGCTTCTTCTCCAACCACGGCTTTCATGGCCTGGACGTCCTTTCCAATAGCGTAATTGGCATACAACTGATATCACAAGAAGGAAGTTAAGCTCAGGCTCAAGTTGAAGAGTAAGACTTGCATAAACCAAGCTCATCTACAAAGGTGTTAATAGCCACACAAGAAATAAAGTCCTACTTGATTAGAAACATCAGAATGGTCCCTGCGAGTCATACCCTCCCCAATGGCACTCTGCAACACAGTCAGTTTACTTTAACAGGTGATCTCCTGGGTTAATCCATTGATTTTATGTAGCGCCACACTTACCTTCATGAGACGAGATAAAGATGGCAGGACGTTGATTGGAGGGTATATCTGCGGAACGCAAACAAAATTGGTATTTTATATATAACGTTTAGGATATTTCATATCTGCAAAACTAGAAATAACATTTAACAGTTACACAAAAGCTAAAGTGAAACAACTTTCAAATTACTGCCGTTTCAGGTATTAGAGAAAATACACAGCATAGTATATGCACAGAAACCGTTCTAGTTTTTAGCTTACGCATACATACAATTACATTTCAGTGTTTAGAAGTCATGACCAAGATGTTTCAGTTTTCCCACGAAATTTGATCTCTTTAGCCATATGCTTTCGGTATCTTAAAACTCTAAGCGGTGGTTCTCGATTTTACACACTAAGTCAAAATCCCATAGATGGGATTTTCACAGGTATGTATGTTTCTCTCAAACGTTCAAATTCACATTACACTAGTACCATTAGTGTTATATATATATATATAAAACAACTATATTCTGCAAGAATGTACCTGTCTATTGTGAAGTTGTCTATCTATATATATTTGGCCCTCTGTGATGTATCCTGTCAGATCTGGTGTTGGATGCGTAATATCTGGACAGAAAAGGAACAAAAAAAAAAAATTAGAAATCTCAACCAGAATTATTCACTTCACCAGCAAACCCTTTTATATAGAACCCACAGATATCCGCTCAGTTTGTTACAGTCCCCACACAACTAGACCTAGACAGAACAATGGCATCGGCCAGCGGCTTCTATGCCAGCTTTACTATCACCCCGATTGTTTTCTTTCAAACAGAAAGCTTTCAAAATCAAAAACACCTACAGCCAGAGATGCCACAAAGAATAATTGTAAAACGAGTTCATGAAAATAGCAACAAAGAATTACCATCGTTTGGCATGGTTAAAATGGGAATTTGAGTAATGGAACCCTTCCTCCCCTCAATTCGTCCTGCTCTCTCATATATGGTAGCCAAGTCGGTGTACATGTAACCTGGGTAACCACGCCTACCAGGCACTTCTTCACGGGCAGCAGAGACCTAAGGGTATTAAACGACGTTAAAGACTACGTCAGGCTTCCTATCTTCTTAAAGTACATGAGTTGTGATCAGAGCAGAGCATGTACATATCGATTCGCACCTCTCGAAGAGCATCAGCGTAGGAACTCATGTCTGTGAGAATAACAAGGACATGCTTTCCACATTCATATGCTAAGTACTCAGCCGTCGTGAGAGCAATACGAGGAGTGATTATACGTTCAATAGTGGGGTCGTTTGCCTGTACGAGAAACCGAATGAGAAACCTTCAGAAAGATACATCAGAACTAAAATTTGTTTCAAGATGTCCGTAGTAAGAATCCAAGACTTGCCAGGTTAAGGAAAAGTGTCACTCTCTCCATCGACCCATTCTCCTCAAAATCCCTTTTAAAGAATTGCGCAGTCTCCATGTTCACACCCATTGCTGCGAACACAATGGCGAAGTTATCATCCTCCTGGTGCTGCAAATTTACATAAATGGACCAATGTGATACTGCTAATTTTTTTTTTTTTTTTACACAATGAAAGTAGGGCATTTATACAGCTACAATTTCCACTGTAGATTTTACTGAATAGTGAATACAAACAGATCATTGCAGTGCTTTCATGAAAGAAACGTCTCAAGAGAGGAAACCCTTGCTTAAACCACTAGATTTATTTGTAATGGATATGTAATGGTCAAATACTAAATAGTGATACCTCAAGAAGATTATCTGACTTCTCTAAACGCTTAACCAAACCAGCCTGACGGCAAATCTGCGCAGCGATTTCATTATGGGGAAGACCAGCAGCAGAAAAGAGAGGAATCTTCTGTCCTCTGGCAATAGAGTTCATGACATCAATGGTGGATATCCCTGTCTGAATCATTTCTTCAGGATAAGTTCTCTCACTGGGATTGATAGAACTCCCTGGAGAAATAAAAGTGAAGAATCATATCCTGTAATTTTTTTATGACATTAGATTATGTGACAAGAGGCAAAAGAAGCTCACCAGAAATATCCAAATACGCTTCTGGCAATATAGGTGGACCATTGTCAATAGGCTTCCCTGAACCATTGAAGATGCGACCAAGCATATCCAAAGAAACAGGAGTTTTCAAAACCTATGAAGAAACATTTTGGCAAAAGCGAGACCATGAAATGGTTGAAGGATAAGCCATTAGTTTAGGGCTCTTTTACTTTTTAACATTTTAAGTACACAGCAAAAAGAGAGTACCATACCTCTCCAGTAAATTGAACAGTTGTGTATTTGTTGTCAATTCCAGATGTTCCCTCAAAAACCTGGACAAGCAAACCAAAGAAATTCAACTCGCTGATGTATTACAAGAGGCCCTGGGATGACTATGCACGATTAGGTTCGTTAACATCTTGAATTCAGTTAAGCACCATATATGGGAGTAGAGCAACAGAAAGCTAAAGAAGAAAGAGAGGAAAATTTTGACAAACCTGAACAACAGCTTTCTCACCATCAACTTCGAGAACTTGACCACGTCGTGTAGTTCCATCCCCAAGACGGATATTGACAATTTCTTGGTATTTAGGTCCCTAAAGACAAAAGAAGTAAGCTGAGGAAATACATGGGAATTTAGAAGAAAAGAATTCAAAGAACCAATCTCTAAATTACCTTGACTTTTTCAAGGATGACAAGAGGTCCCGCAACACCAGAGACAGTTCTATACTCTAAGGTGTCAAAGGAAAAAAAAAAAAAGAAAACCACATCAAATTTGAAGGACCAAAGATGATGAAGATTCGTAAGCTTCTCAAGATCACAGTCACAACCAGGGAAAGGGATATAGCAATAGATCACAATGTAGATCACAATGTTCAAGAGAAGAAGCTCTTACCCATGCCAATCTCCAAGGTACCCTCCATTTCAAGGCTGTTTTCAGCAGCACCCATTTTCTAATCAGACAAGGCAAACAAGATATCAGCAAATCAATCTTAGGATAACCAGTTAGTCCAGTGTTAGCAAAGCAAACCCAGCGAATACATTTGAGAAATTCACGGTCAAATATATGAATTATGAGGGGATAGATCTATTGACGTGAAATATATATAAATGAATTCCTGAGTCGGATCAAAGGAATAGATCCGTTGCTAGCTCAAGATAAAAAACCTCTAACCCAGGAAGGAAGATCAAAACGGAGAGACCATTGTACCTCTTAATCAAAAGATCTGCCGAGAAAGGAAGGAAGGAAGGAAGGAGAAGAGAGCGAGACGGGCAGAGATCTGTGAAGGACTATATATGCATTAATGGGACAACAAACCACAAAAAAATAATAATAATAATGAAAACTGTTTCATTTTATTTTTTCCTTCTTCGAACAATCAAAAATGAGTATAAATAAATGCCTTGAAAAAATATTATCACGCTCACAGCGTTTTAGATATCAAATTAATAAATTTGTTTTCAATCTAGTGATATCCATTCCATATTGGCTAGTGCTATTTTTTTTTTTTTTGCGTTTTGTACAGTACAAGAAAATTCTGAATACAGACAGATTATGATTCTTGTGAATTTTTTCATATAGGTTCCAAAACTATTTTCGAATGGGCTTGGAACTTTGCCAATTAGTTCATCTGGTTTGTTGGAATATGTAATGGCGCATAGGGCCTAAGTGGCCGCATGTACTGCTTTATAGAACACTAACATTTTACTAAGAAAATCTTTGAATAATAAATGCTATAGCAATGATAAAAGTAGCGAGAGAGATTCTAATACGATGATCAAGATAAAGGCATGGCTTCGTTTTATGTTTTGGCATGGAGAAATAGTTTTGGCTCCGGTTAATCATTGTCCAGTATCATCCAAATGTCATCATAGCAGAAATCGTCCGAAAACGTTGACAACAATCATCTACACATAATGAAGGGAACAAGAAATGTAACCGGCACAAAATAAAAGGATAATGGATTCATCAAAATTCAGAGGATCACACATAGCCTTGACAGTGGCTATTAACATTCCAGGGCACTTAGCCTGCATAGGATGATGACACAGCCGCAATCCGCATACATATCTGAGCTAAGCCCCATAAGACAGACTACTACACATCTTCATCCGTCTGCTCTTCTTCAAGTCTAGATTAGATTTGGCAACCACCTATTTTTTGCCTTTTTTTCCCTACAGCAGAAGAATAAATCCGTATACAGAGAAAAATGGAAACGAAATAACAAGAATTTGTGATTTTTGTTTTTGTTTGGTTACAACTATCAAGTAACAAAAGGAAACAAACAAAACTACCACTTGATATCCTTCCCAGTTCCCAGTCAATTAATAATAATAATAATGATAATTAAATATTATATATTTATATATAGTTACAGATCTTGGAAAGAATTAACAACAACAAGATAAAAAATTCAAAAGGGGCAGGGAGGGGTCAGGAGGCAGCTTGAGTGGGAGTGGTGGTGCAAGGCGCCAAGGTGTTGTGAGGAATGTTCACACCCGCGCCTCTCACTGACACGGCTGGTCCTTTCAACACGCTCGCTCTGCTCACTAGGCTTGTATCGAAGAAGACAACAATCACTGTTATGTCATCGTGGAAATGTCTTCGTACGCCTCTGTCAATCTTTTTCAGGTCTGAGTATCTCATTTCTCTCTTCTTCGCCGCTTCTTGAAGCGCCACTTTCACCAGCCGCTTTGCAATCCCCTGCAACCAAACACACACACACATACTTTAGTACAGACTACCCTACAACAACAACTCATATATGTTTGTCCGTCCGTGTCTCTCTGTAAAGTTCTTTCTTACGTTACGCGGATGATTCTGGACGATGTCTACTGCTTCTTGGTTACTCATATGTTCCCATAGCCCATCTGAAGCACATATTATAAACTGATCGTGCGGCTGCAGTGTATGCACCGTGATCGACGGCTCTGCGCTCAGTAACGGCTTCTTGAACGGTGCCCTCAGGCGGAATTTCGCGTACAGCGGTTCCCGGTTAAACTCTGGCCGTTTCAGATACACATCGCCAATGGATCTTGAAACCTGAGAGATTATCCAACAAGCCAGAGCGCCACTTTTAAAAGACAAACAAACAAGGATATCTGTAAAACAGGTTTCTCCAAACTAGTTTTTGTTTCTTGTTTTCATATTTACCTGAATGATTCCTTTTACTCGCCAAACGTTATGTTTCAGAACCACAATATCTGGATGGTCCGGATGCAGGGCCTGAAGTTCCCGACGCACTGACTCTATAGACGCATTGTGCTCAGCCGAGAGCTGAGTGGCGTGAGCTTCGCCGGTCGCCCTCATGACTTGTCCCAGCACTGCCCGTGAGTCCCCCGCATTGGCCACGTAGAGCGTCCCATCGCAGATGACGCTTACAAGGCAGCATGAACCAACGGTCGCTATTTGAGGCCTCGTTGGAAATTGACTGGTAACTATGGATATGAACCCTTCTTCAGTCGCTTGGAAGGCTTTCTTTATCACTTCCGCGGACATACACTGTTGCTCCGCAGCAAACCCTGTATTCACAGATGAGAATAGAACCCCCTTAATCTTGTAAAAAACAATGCTTATTTCCTCTTCTTCTTCTAGATGAGGCTGACTAGAGTAAAGCGATCCTAAACAAGAGTAACGCAATAAAAGGGTTTTAAGAGTCACTCACTCTTGAGATGGTGGAACAAATGATCATTGATGAAGCGTGAAGTCTCAGGGCCGCCGTGGCCATCGTAGACGCCAACAAAGGTGCCATAGGGACCAGAGTCGTGGGTGCTAAGACAGCCAGACTCGAGCTGGCTCTGGTCCTCGAGCAAGTTGTTGGCTTGGACGACAGCCATGGAGAAGTCACCAGAGACGTGCTGACCGGAGTCTCTGTACCACAAGAGTCCCTCTTGACGGCCGCCGGAATCTGAGCCTGAACGTCCCTGCTGATCTGACCGTGGCCAGAGACAGGCATTCAGAAAGTTCATCAACCCAGATAGCATCCCTCATCTCATCCGAGTCTCCCACCAGTTTTGTGACACTAACATAGAACTTTTTAAGCACAAATTCCCAATTCACAGGCAGGCAGCTCTCAGAAATCGCCAATGCGAACCTGAGTCTTGTGTTCTATAGAACAATACAGTGACACATGTAGCACAAAGTGAGAAATCTCAATTTGATAATGACAAAATAAACATATGGATTAGTGTGTTTGATGATTGAACAATCTGTGAAATTTGATACAACATTGAAAGAGAAACTAAGACTGATTTGGTCAGCCCAATCAAGAAACAGTGGTACAAGTCCAAAAGCGATTCGGAAACCAGGGATTATAGATTCAAACTTGTTCCGTGGTTCGTATTCGCCACTAAAAGGAAAACAAAAGAAAAAAGATGGAGACTTTACCTTGCAAGATGGAATCTAGTCGTGTTGTGAGTTTGAGCAAGAAAACGAAGAAGAAGAAGATCGGAGAAGGGAGGGAGTCAGGAGATGTGGGCGTGGAAATTCTCAGTTGTAGATCTACGGATCAACCAAACACAAAAAATAAAATAAAGAAAAAATATATAGTTTTATAAAACGAATCGATTAATAAACAAGTAATCAGTCGAAGGGAGCGGATGGGGAAGAAGACCAATTTATTATTAATAATAAATTAATTAAAAAAAAAAGAAGAAGAAGAAGAAGAAGAAGAAGTAAGAAATGGTAAATCGCAAGTTATGAACTTTCTAAGTCTAGAAACAGTGAGCGATGAAGGAGAGATAATAGAGATAGGTCAAGTCGCCGAACGAGACGTCTCTCTCATTCTTCTGATTGTTGTGTTTATTTTCTTTCACAAATTGAAAATTTATCTTTCACCTCTCACAACGGTAAAAATGAAATCGTGTTAACTCTCTCAAAGTTCTTCTTCTGTTTAAGAGGGGAGAGGGTGGGCATGTTGTGTAGGCAGACAAGACCCATAAAAGACCAACGATGGCGAGGTCGGAGCCAGCACATCAAAGGTCCCAGCGTTTTGGGCTCCACTTCTCTCGTCCTTTTGCCTGCCTGCCTTATTAGAGAGAGAGTGTGTGTGTGTGTGTGTGAGCAGCGAAACAGTGAGAAAGAATACGACTCGTAGATAGATATTATTTATTCTTCATCATTCAAGTTGTCTTCTCTTGAAATGTTACATATCTGTAACAATAATATTCAAAGGTTTGGTTTAGTCATCATCTATTTACATTTTAGAATGGGAAGAATTTTCTTCAAACAGTCTTTTGAAGAAGGAAACATAAAGAGAACCATTATCATCTCATCTACATACTCTCCATGACTTGAGACAGCCCGTTTTGTGAAAGCTGGGCTATAGATTTTTATATATTCGATTTGTATCTGCTGACGTGGCAGTACCTGAATGGCTAATGGCTTCCACTCTTCTCTTGGTATCCACCGACCCCTTTTTCGGCTTAATTTCTTCTTTTGCTAAAATTAAAAGCCCACTAAATTGTCTACTCTACTAACGTACACCATTCGTCCGCATAAAATTGTAATTTTTTTTATCAAACTCATTTTATATCAGCCTAAATCTATTATAATTTATGTGGATTCATGAATCTTTTTTTTTATTATTATTATTATCTCACGTCATTTGTATCAAACGTTTAATGCCCATAAAATTGGTGGTCCAAGACCCTGATAAAATAAAGCAAAATAAAATTAGAGAGAAGAGGCTTGGCCTTGAAGAATGAATAACCAAAAAAGAGTATCATCAAATTTCCTGTTTAAAAACTAAAAATAATATATTGGGACACGAAAGTGATTGGGATAAAGTGAGATATGTCACTTTACCTAACATTATTTAATTTTATATTAGTGTATATACGATATACCACTAAATTTGGCCCTTTCTCCCCATCGACTCTTTCTAAGTTGTTTATACTTTTGGAGTACCAATAATAGAACAAGCAATATCAACTATTACAATTTCAGCTAAAAGGAACAAGATTAAACAAAAATACTTGAATTAAAAAAATTAACTTTATATATTACCTGCAACAACAACAAAAAATTGTAGCCATTGTTCTAGCTTGTCTAACTTTCTGGGTCCGGATTGATGTATGTGACACTTTTTATATTGTTTCAAAAACCAAAATACACATATGTCAATGTGAAGAAAAAAGTTCATGATATGGTCGGTTTTAATGGAAGACACAAGCCATGATAAGATGCATTACAAATCTCAGAATCTAAATGAATAACTAATTTTAAGAGAGCAAAAGGGCGTATATATGCAGCTCTATCTTTCGATTCTTTCCAAACCTAGTTAATTTCTGCCAGGAGATTGTTAATCTTTGGCCGATGCTCTGTATGAGAACTTATTATATAATTTATATTTAACCAAAAAGACACTGAGAGAGAGAGACAGAAATAACATTAATTAATGTGAAATTTAGTTAGTAGGAAAATAACAAGAGACCGAAAATATAGATAGGAGGAGGGAAGGAAGGTCCCTTACTTACAGAAGATAGCTTCCATCAATCACACAAAAATCCAACCACTCTCAACCTTTCACTTCAGGACCAAACTTCATTATCCCAATACCTATATATTGTATGTATATATATATAATAACCATTCATATTTAGTTCACCAAGAGATATATAGCGAAACCTAACTTTTCAAAAAAAGGTTCATAATTCTATACATATGTTCAGTTTAGATATTGGCACATCAAAAGATCCAAAAACATTGATCATAAACTGATTTGTTTTTTCTTTTCAAATTTGTAACGCAACAGCCCTGTCTGCTAATTACAAGTCCCGCTTTTGAAAATTCAGTTTTCTTGCAAAAAAATAAACAAAAATAATCATACCAATATAAATTCATGAGATTAAGAGAGGAAATCTAGTGTCCTACAAGTTGGAACACACAAATATAATACTAATTTTTCTAAAAAAAAGTTAATTATATACTATATTTGATGCTGCTCTTAGTGCTATCTGTTATTAGCACCACAAAAAAAGCTAGGCAGTATATATGCCTATTTAAGAAAAGACGTGACAACATGTTTAATTGATCCTTTTTGTGTTTATTGTCGGACCAATGCATAAATATATAATCTTCAATAAGGTTTTTGTAACCATGAATCGAGATTACTTTTTAATGATAATAATTAACTAATTACGAATAGCGAGACACGTTCCTTGAGATGATGATTACAAGAGCATATATTCTTCATCACTTTCTAACGCATATATGTATCAGTATGTGTGTGTTGTATGTTACAAGAGCATATATTAAGGAACAAGTAAGAAGATTAATTGAAGATAGGACGTAATAAAAATGTCGGAGACTTTCAAAGTGTGCTTCTGTTGTAGCAGAAGCTTCAAGGAGAAAACGAGGCAGCCACCAGGGAGCATCAAGAGACTCTTCGAAGCATACTCAAGAAACGGCAAGATGTCTTCAGATGAGCTTCTAAGGTTTGTGAGTGAAGTCCAAGGAGAACGGCACGCAGGGCTGGACTACGTGCAGGATATATTCCACAGCGTTAAACAACACAACGTTTTCCACATCCATGGGCTTGTTCATCTCAACGCCTTCTATCGCTACCTCTTCAGCGATACCAACTCTCCTCTTCCCTTGTCTCGCCAGGTAAATAAAGTCTTCAACAGCTTTGATATATATATGGATCTTTGTTAAAAGTATCAAACTCTGAAATGGGTATGTTCTTGATTTGAGATGTTAAGGTGCATCATGATATGAAGGCGCCCTTATCGCATTACTTTGTGTACACGGGACACAACTCCTACTTGACTGGGAACCAAGTGAACAGCAGAAGCAGCGTAGAGCCGATCGTGCAGGCTCTGAGAAGAGGCGTGAAAGTGATCGAGCTCGATTTATGGCCTAACCCTTCAGGGAACGCTGCTGAAGTTCGTCATGGCGGGTTGGTCCCCCACTAACTCTCTCTTATAAGCAGACTTTAATGAAAATTTTTAAAAATCCAAAAATAAAAAACAGAGTTTCAATTCTACCTCACCAGGACACTTACATCGCATGAGGATTTGCAGAAATGTCTCAACGCCATAAAAGATAACGCGTTTCATGTGTCTGATTATCCAGTCATGATCACTCTCGAAGATCATTTGCCGCCCAATCTTCAAGGGAAAGTTGCTAAGGTGAGATTGTTTTTTCATAACATCCGATCGAGTTACTACTAATTTGAAAGAAAAAAAAAAGGAGTGATTTTTTTATATATATATAACTTGTAGATGTTAACTAAAACATTCAGAGGGATGCTGTTTCGTTGTGGGTCAGAGAGTTGGAAGCATTTTCCATCACCAGAAGAACTTAAGAAGAAGATTCTGATTTCTACAAAGCCTCCAAAGGAGTATCTTGAGAGCCAAGCTGTTCAGACCTCGAGAACTCCTCCGATAGATAAAGAGACTTGGCGGAGCCGACCTGCAAGTGTAAGATCGCAATTTAACGCAAAATGCGAATGGTTTTGCAAATTAAATATCATTGGCAAGTTCATCTGTTGTGACAGGGTACTAATATGGCATGGAGAGGAGAAAACAAGATTCCTCATCAGGACGCAGAGGAAGAGGAAGAAGCTGTTGGATACAGAGACTTGATCGCAGTTCACGCTGGAAACTGCAAAGGTAGTTTAAAGGATTGCTTGAGTGATGATCCAGAGAGGCCTCGAAGGATAAGCATGAACGAGCAGCGGCTAGAGACAGTGGTTAGAACCAGAGGAACCGATGTTATAAGGTAAATAATAAATACATACTGTATATATATAGTGAGATCGATGTGAGGAGCAAAAAAACCATGATGAGAGAGTTGGATTATTAAAAAACAAAATAAAAAAAAATGAAAACAGGTTTACACAGAGGAATCTTGTGAGGATATATCCAAAGGGAACAAGACTGAACTCATCAAATTACGACCTCTAGTAGGATGGACACACGGTGCTCAAATGGTTGCTTTTAACATGCAAGTAAGTCATCGCGCGCTCATGATAAAATTCATATGGTTGAGATGCTTTGTATGTATATATAAACGGGTTGAAGAATTTTCGGTGAAAAGGGACATGGAAAGCAACTATGGATAATGCAAGGAATGTTCAGAGCCAACGGAGGATGTGGCTACGTTAAAAAGCCTCGCGTTTTGCTACACAAGCACACACCCTTTGACCCCTGCAAAAGGCTTCCCATCAAGACCACTCTTAAGGTGAAGGTTTACACAGGCCAAGGTTGGGATTTGGATTTCCCTCAAACACACTTCGATCGCTACTCTCCCCCTGATTTCTTCGTCAAGGTAACAACTTTCCCCCTCCCTTCCTTCTTCTTCTCCGACCCTACGAGTTTTTTTTTTTTTTTAAATGTTTACTCAGAATTGTGTGTTGTATTGCATCAGATAGGAATCGCAGGGGTTCCCAGGGACACGGTCTCTTACAGAACCGAAACAGCGGTTGATCAGTGGTTTCCTATATGGAAGGACGAGTTCTTGTTCCAGCTTTCTGTTCCAGAATTAGCACTTGTGTGGTTGAGAGTCCAGGATTACGACAATGACACCCAGAATGATTTCGCCGGACAGACATGTCTTCCTCTGCCAGAGTTGAAGTCCGGGGTAAGAGCCGTCCGGCTTCATGATCGAGCAGGAAATGCTTACAAGAACGCTAGGCTTCTCGTCAGCTTCTCCTTTGACCCTCCTTATACGTTTCTCATCTCCTGAGTTTTGAACCTTTTTTTTTTTTTTTTGTCAGATTAGAAATATGTAAATAGTTTCATCCCACTTGCCCACGGTCGATGATTAGCTCTTTCTAATATTATATATTCCTATCAAACAATAAACATATATATCAAGATTCGACTTCTTATGACTGTAGCCGCCTATCTAGAATTGACTTGCCATCTTCCTCCAGACTTATTGTTTTTTTTTGTGTATTAAAAAACATAGAGCACAGGAAGAAAAGCAAGAGCTTTCTAAGATCATCAACGCACCATGGAAGAAGAAGACACCCGAGACATCGTCATCGTCGGCGCCGGAATCTCAGGCCTTTCCACCGCCGTTGGACTCCACAGGCTAGGGATTAGTAGCATGGTGCTGGAGTCTTCTGATATGCTGAGAGCCACAGGCTTCGCATTCACGACTTGGTTCAATGCTTGGAAGGCCATGGAAGCTCTCGGCATTTCTGAGCATATTCGCAGTCTCCATGATCGCCTTCAAGGGTATCAAAACTAATGTAACACCATATATTATACATATTGGCACAAACTCTATAGTTAACAAGGAAACATATCTTTTGATCTTCTTGATGCAGATGGGTGGTGGGACCCATCTCTGCAGGAAATCCTTCTAGAGAGATGCTCTTTCCCGAATCCGAGTATGTTTTTTCTTCGTCTTCTTCTTCTTCTCTTCACAAAACATATGAATGCTAAACAAAACTAAGAAAACTTTTACATCTTGTTGAATGGTTTTGTCAGAGAATATGAGTCTCGATGCGTACAGAGGAAGTTGTTGCTAGAGGCTCTCGCTGATGAATTGCCTCAAGGGACCATAAGGTTTTCGTCTAAGGTTGTTCATATCGAATTGTCTGGACACTACAAGATGGTTCATCTCTCCGACGGAACTATACTCAAAACCAAGGTTGTAACTACTTGTCCTCTGTAAAAAATTATATGAGGGCTGGTCTTGTACTGGAAATGCAGGTTTTGCTGAACCACATTTTCAGGTTTTGGTAGGGTGTGATGGTGTGAACTCAGTGGTTGGTAAGTGGCTAGGCTTCAAGAATCCGGCTACAACTGCCCGGTTAGCAATCCGAGGGCTCACACATTTTCCAGCCGGCCACGGATTTGGGAGTAAGTTCTTCCAGTTTTATGGCAACGGTGTTCGTTCGGGTTTTATCCCCTGTGACCACAACACTGTCTACTGGTTCCTAACACACACCTCTGCTGAGTTAGGTAAATGGAACTTTACTAGATGTCTCTACAAGTTCTTGTTCATATCCTCTGCCGTCAGTCGTCACTGACTGACTCTTCTTCTTGCGCTTGGTTAGATGAGGATACAAATCCAGAAAACATCAAAGAGTTTGTGCTGAAAAAGATCAAGGACTTGCCTGAAAACATTAAGAGTGTCGTAGAGACCACCGATCTTGATAGCGTTGTGATGTCTCGACTAAAGTACCGACCTCCATGGGAACTTCTATGGGCAAACATCGCAAAGTACAACGTATGCGTTGCAGGGGATGCACTTCACCCGATGACTCCTGATATTGGACAAGGCGGTTGTTCAGCCATGGAGGATGGAGTTATCCTCGCTCGTTGTCTCGGTGAAGCTATAAAGGCTAAGAATGTGAAAGGTGAAACAGAAGACGATGAAGACGAGAGTTATAAGAGGATTGAAGAAGGTTTGAAGAAGTATGCAGGAGAAAGGAAATGGAGAAGCATTGATCTTATAACTACGGCATATACAGTAGGTTTCATACAGCAGAGCACGGGGAAGTGGATGAGCCTGTTCAGAGACAAGTTCTTGTCGTCTTTCCTTTCTCGGTTGCTGCTGAAAAAGTCCCATTTCGATTGCGGAAGCCTTGTCCCATAATTCTCAACGAGCAAGCAGGATGGTAAAGCTTAGTCAAACGTTTCTTGGCTTCTTCTCATCAACTATAAACGTCAGACCAGTTTTTCACTTTTGCTTCAAGATTACTTTAATCATGTTTTTGCTTTTACATATTTCACATAAACTCTCAATATAAAGGATGAATAAAAAAAAAAATCAACGAAACGCTCGTTTACTTTAAAGGGAAAATTACCTTACCTTCAATGGAGCAAATCAGAAGGTTTACATGAACGTATGCAAACAAGAAAGCAAGTAAATAGGCTCAGTTAAAAGTGTATGACCTAACAATGTTACTCACGGAATCTGCAAAGGTTCTCGAAGTGATCTTTTTGCCAGGAACGTGGAAAGGGTTTGAGACGGCATCCACGTATGCGGCATGGAACTTCCTGAAGAACTGTAGAGAAATGCCATTGAGAAGATATAAAACAAACAAGGGAAAATCTTGTTGAGAGCAAGCTTACAACTTACACTTCTCACATCGGTGTCTCTGACATCCAAATCAGTTGTGACCATGATAAACTTCACTTTTGTATTAGTCAAGTAACCATAGCTACAGGAGAAGAAAAGAGAGACAAGGTGAGTTTTTGGCACGAAAGATGTCTGTTTGAATATACAAAAAGGAAAAGCCATCTGCTTACACTTTGTAGTTTAGTGTTGGATAAAGAAGACCAAGAAAAGCCTCGTTCAGTGTAGTACCTGACTTCTTGGGATTGTTCACTGAAAGAAATCAATTAGGAATCCCTGAATTCAAAAAAACAACAAAGTGGAGGAAGAGAAAAGAGAAAGAACCTCGCTCATCGATGACATCTAGGGAGCAATGGACGATGTGGTGGAGCTTAAGGGCATCGTCAGCTTCTGTGAAGCTCTGAATGTAAAGCGGGTTGTTCTGTTCGGATCCAAAAGCACGCAAATTGAGAAAGGATCCTACTTGATCCTATCGGATCTAACGAAATCAAATCCAATCAAATCTAACAAAAAAAAAAAAAAAAGGAGGGGGGCGCAACCTGGTGGCCAACGACGGCGACGCAGACGATCATCTTTCCCCGACTCCGGCTCCGATAAAACAAAAACGACGAATGTTTTTGGTAGATCCCGACGCTGTGTCGTTTTCGTAGACTTCGTTGGACTTCGTTGGGCTTCGTTGGGCTTGATTTTAATGAATTCTCCTATATCTAGGCCTCTCTCTTAGTTCTAGTCTCTCTACTATTGTATCCCTGTATGTTTTCGAAATGAAATTGAGAATACAGTACATCTCTGAATATATATATATATATATATATTTTCCTATGTTTTGTTCTTTTTCTTTTACCAAGAAATAGGTATATTTTAGAAATTCAGTAAATTCTTATTATTTATCAATATTAGATAACACGGACATGAAGAGAGTGAAAATTTTACCCCAATTCACCCCACCAAATACGTATATACAAGTGTTGAGATTTTATCTTTAGTTCCCTTCTCGGACCATTCTGTGTGATGATGATATTGAAACACATTATTGGCTATTTCTTTGGCTAGCTAGCCATCATTGACCAAGTCACGGCTTGCTGCTACTTGTGAAAAAAGAAAAAGAAGAAACCAAAAATCGTATAATACAAGTTGTGGATCTTGACCATCCCTGTAAATTATAATGTCATAAAATATTAAGTCAAAGTCAAATGAATAATTATCATAGACTACAATATGCATTATTTTAAACAAATATACATCAATCCACATACCTCTTGACTCATAGATATATGTATTCTTCTTATCAATCAGGAATCAGGCGTCGAAGAAACGAAACGAACCATAAGTCTTAATATTTCTCTTTCCTTCCTCTCTCTCCGGAAAAATTCCAGGTACTGCAAAATTATATAGATTCCTTACGAGTTACGACTAGTTAACATTGGCATGGCATCTAATGTTCCGTTTTACATACAGATAATTTCACAAACCCTGTTGATCCCATCCTGTGCCTGAAATGGACTTTTTCAGTTCGAGCAGAGGAAAGAAAGATGGGAAAAGATCAGGTAACTTCTTCTTTTTTTGTTCTCTTGGCTTTCCCGAATCTGCCAAGTCCTTAGTTACAGAGCCGTTTTTACTGTGCCAAAGAAATATACTAGAACCCCCTGGAAAAGCTGCCGGTGATCAGGATCATTACCTCAAGTCCCCGTCTTTTCAAAACTATCCTATTTGACGACATCCGTTGACCAATATTCTGGTTGGTTCAGGACTGTTCGGGAAGAAAAGTGCGAGCAAGAGCAATCCGGGGAGCCCTTCTCATCCCGCCGCCGGTAGATCGCCGCCACCATCATATCTGTCGAACAATAGAGAGTACGATTTCCCAATCTCCGATGAACAAACAACATACCGGAAACAGCCGGCGTCTGAACGCGTCCCCAACTCCCACCACAGGCCTCCGGTGTACGGCTATGGCACGGTATTTCATCTCTTCTCTGTTCCCGTCACCGCCAAACCAATTGTTTCTTTGGACCAAAACAATATGTAGATGACATTGAGTTTGCCCTTTTCTTCAATTGCAGCCTGAGCGTCGTAGAGACCAAATGAGTTATGAGCCAGAGACCAACGCTCCCTCGAGCCCCTTTCATCCATCTGGAAACCGCACGGTAAGTTTGACTGGTCTCAACTCTGAGTTGGAGTTTAACACAAAGCAAAGTTACAGTCTTTGATGGTCTTTTTATTACTATTAGTTACCCGATACTGATATTGGCTTTGGCTTTGTATTTTGAATGGCAGCCAGAACGGCGTCGAAAGCCAAGCGAGTACAGTCGAGAACACCACGATCGAATGTATGAGGCAGATACCCGAAGCAATGCCAGCCCATTTCACCCATTCAAAAGCCCTTCTCCATCTCCATACCACACGGTACTCTCTCCACACAAAAAAAAAAAAAAAAAAGCTCTGATGATTTGTTCTGATTCATGTTCAATCACTAAACGCTTCTAATTTTTAATTGAATTCAGCCTGATCGCCGCAGAGACCATGATACAGACGACTACGAGTACGAGGCAATGTATGAGCCAGAGGCCAACACCATATTTGAGAAGAGGAGCCCATTTCATCCAGCCAGAAGCCGCTCTCCATCACCATACACAACTGTAAGTCTTGTGAGTAGACAATTGCATACATTGGGACCTAAAAGTCTCTGTTTCTAATGGCAGCCTGATCGCCGAAGAAACCACCCTGATAACGAGCAGTTTGAGGACCTGTACGAGCGAGATGGTGATGTAACACCGCGAAACAGCTCTCCACCGAGCCCGTTCCATCCAGCTGCAAGCCGTTCGCCACCACCACAACCATACACAACGGTACTCTGGAACAGAACAAAAACAACAAAAGCTCACTGTTCCTGCTTTCTTTCTTTCTAGCGGTAAAAACAAATCAAAGTCCTCTTGACGACAATAATAATAATAATATAGAATATGGTGTGCAGCATGATAATGAGGAAATGGAGGCAATGTATGAAGCAGATGGCGATGTAATGCGGCGGAGCAGAGGAGTCCATGGAGGCGCAGCAGCATACTATTCATCCAGTGATGACGACGACAACCACTCTACCTACCTCTTCCCTGAAATCGCCACCCCAACTCGTTCCGCCAACACCACGGTATCATTCCTTGCATCTCTTTTCTTTCTTGTTTAAGAATTTTTTGAAAATTTGAATGGAATTTGAATTGGTTCCTTTCCTGCCTGCCTTGCAGCCGGTTCACCACAACTATCAGATGGTTGCGGCGGAAAGCTATGAGCAAGAGAAGCCCTGTGATGAGCCGCCGGAGCTGACGGACGAGTCTCAGAGCTTCACGGTGCAGGAGATGGCCAGAATGCGAGGCTATGAAAAGGAGGAAGAGAGCCAACTATCAATCATCTCCAGCGAGGCTTACGTATCCGTGGCCAGCTATAGAGTGAGGCAGAGCGTTGCGGAAACCCTCAAGGCCATCCTCGACAAGCACGGAGACATCGCCGCCTCATCCAAGCTCCAATCTACGATGACGAGGTCCTACTACCTAGAATCCCTTGCGGCGGTGGTCATGGAGCTGAGATCGACGGGCTTGAGGGATCTGACGAAAACGCGAGTGGAGGAGATGGCGGCGGTGGTGAAAGACATGGAGGCGGTGAGAATACAAGTGTCGTGGCTGAAGAAAGCCATGGCGGAGCTTGGGGAGGCAGTCAAGTACTTGGACGAGTACGAGGCGGCCAAGGCGGAGAGAGAGGTGTGCGAGAGGGAAGCCAAGGCGGGGAAGCAAGAGATGGAGGAGATGACGGCGGAGCTGGAGAGGAGGGACAAGGATATCAGAGATTGCCGAGAGAGGGTCACGGCGGTGGCCGGAAAACTAGGGCAGCTACAGATGAAAGGTTCGAGCTTGAACAAGAAGCTGGAGCTCTTTCACTCCAAGGTCCATCAGTTCCAAGGAGATGCCGTCCTCCTCCACCTTTAATGTATTCTTGGAGTTGTGTGTTTTCTTTCATTTCATTCATTGCCATTGCTGCTGATTTGTCTCTTTGGATTTTGTCGTACCACATGAAACCCAAAAAAAAAACAAAAAAAAATCTACGGACTCGTTGCCTATAATTCTCCTGTTTATCGGCGTGATTGATCCTTTATTCGATGTTTTAACAGAGTAAAGCCTCCCAAGAAGGAGAATAAACCTTTTTATCATCAATTTGATTGCATTTCGAAAACATAACACGATATCAAGTGCTTCTGAGAAATTTAGTGAATGGATCAAAATATCTTTCATCTCATACAATAAAAGAAAACACATAAGGCATGCCGAGAGTTTTTATCTACATCCAAACCATTAAACCAGATGCATGCATATGTACACCACATGAAACAAAACAAAGAAAAAAGAGTTCAAAAGATCCTCCTCAGGGCTTATGCTGCTTCTCTATGTCATACAGGACACAAACATCTGCAGCCGTTTTCATCTGACACACGCCGCCACAGCAACAAAACAATACCAAAACGAAAATACACGATAAGAACCATACACACTGCCTACTATATTGGAGTTTGAAAGGACTGATTTTATTTGTGGATCAGGCCTTAGATTACCTGAATCACATTGATGATCTGCTTGATCGACCACCCAAATATGCTCAAAGCCAAGAGCAAAGAGAGAGGTGAATACTGCATCAATGCGTCAACTACCACCTGAAAGATTGGAACCCCCGAGAGTTTTTACAGCACAAGACTAGCTATACAGATTAAACGGGAAGAGAAGAGAAGCTCACGTTCATCAGATTTTCCGTTTGGTTCTTTGCTATGAGCAGAAGGATTATGTAAAGAACCTGTAGTCATTTGAGCAAACTCAGTGTTACAATATCTCTTCAGAAAATCGCATCGAAACAGTTAGTTAGTTATTTCAGATATCAACTGCAATGTACCTCGCAGGAAACACAGCAATAACCCATGAACATCCGGTTTCCATAGTAGAGTTTAAACAGCCAGCTCGTGCTATCTTTCACATCCTTATGGCTGGTCTTCCCTGACAGAAATGTACTGTGACTCCAGTATTAATTTTCCTACGTACGAAAACTATATCTATATACAATGTAGAAGACGAATGAAGAATTTAAGTTGCAACAAAGAGTACCTGTACATTTGCAGCCAGTGACTAGCTATATCTAAGGCCAGCAGTGACAGGAAAGCCAAGCTAGGCCTGTTTATAGTTGAGCAAGTCCAAGACTATGTTAAACATGGATTAAATATAAAATCATCCTCCAATTCCATCAACAGAGATTCTCACATATATATTTGGGAGAGAATCACGAGAAGACACGCTGTGCTGACTCTGTAACCACGCGCAGACCCCAAAACGATGATAAATATGTTACATAATGTTAGTTGAAAAAGAAAATAGCAAGTGAGAATATCTGGTATATGTAGCAGATGATTAACCTGTCTGTAACCATGTCCAGAACAGCTCCAAATGTAGAAACTGAAAGGGGAAGAAGAGATATTCTGTGAGTCACTATCAAGCTCCAGCGATATTGATACTATAGAACAGCATTAAGCTGCATATGGGCTCGAAATATCCAACTACACTACATTGAAACTCAAAAAACTAGTAACATCAAGTCCCACTCTTGATCAATGCCAGGATCCTATGAGCAAACACAAACAAATATGAGTTGGTTGAAGCTGAAAAATGAGGGTAAAAGCACCTTGGTTGAATTTACGAGCGCACCATCCATCGACAGCATCACAACAAAAGCTGGAAAACAACAATTGATCAAAGGATACGGGATTAAACGAGTATGGAACACACAAGAAGAAGAAGATGATGATAGTGTCAACAGGGAGGATTTGGTAAACCTGAAAAAGTACAAGAGCGAGAAGAGGGTCTTGTTGGAGAAGCACACAGCAAAGGCAATGCAGTTCAAGAGAACTCTCATGTACCCTGCAATTTTTGCATGTAACACTAACATCAAAAACCCTAAATCCTTTCATCTAAAGGAAAAAAAATCGCAACTATAAACAGAAAAAAAAGTTTCCAGGGAAATGAAAAAAAAAAAAAACCCCACCAACGATATTGGGAATGTAAAGGTAGACTGAGAGCTTCGCCGGTCTCTGATCCGTTTTGTTAGCCATAAGAGAGTTCACTTTTGCAATATGCTCCCCCCCCAGAAAATCAAGATCTCACCGAACGAACAATGCACCTACGCGAGATAAGGGAGGAGGACCCAACAACCAAAAAGAAAAAGGAACAAACTTTATCACAACTCAACAAGGAAATTGCTCCCTTTGTCCACACCAGTAGGTCGAATCAGTACGCAATTGGAAAGAGGAAAAGAAGCAAATTTCAAGTAGAAAAACGGGAATCAGGGGGATAACTTTGGAGGAGTAATAGAGAGAGAGAGAGATCCGTGCAGAGCTGTTAGTTCAAGTCGGAATCAGATTCGCCTCGTCTCTGAAACAAACTAACGATAGCAGACGTTTCGTTTAATATTCGCCCCCTTAAAACACTTGAATTTTGTGAAATACATACAAATACAATTTATACAATTTGTAATATTTTTCATTTATTTACAGAACTCGGACCCTCTTTTTCTTTTGGGTTCCAGACCAAATTTAGTTTCTGATAATATTCGCCTCTGAAATTTTATAGGTTTACTTGTTGTTGTTAACCAAAGAGCAGTATCTTCTTTTCAGTAATCTTCTACACACATTTGACCGGTTTTCAATTCGGATCTTGACATAGCACCAATACTAATACAAATATAAAAAGATTCCGGAAATCCAATCTGAAAATCACGTTCAGAGAGTTCTACTTTGTTTCCAAGTTTGAATCTGGATATTTGAATTTCATGGCTCATGGGATAGTCCAACGTATTTTGTATTCTGCATATCCAACCAAGCTTGACTTTAATATCGCCATAATTGAAAAAAAATGGTTTAAAATAAAAAACAATGTGGGCCTCATAACGATCCATTAAAGGCCCGAGTTTCGAGCGAGACCAATTTTTTAAAAAGGAAAAAAGAGTGGTCAAGGGTCGGCACGTCGGTGTGACTAGCGAGTCATCATCGATTATCCAAAAACAATAACTCTGTTCCCCATACATCGAATTAACTCTGTTTATTATTTTATTTATTTTTTTGGTCTTATAAGTGAATCTAACGAAGAGAAGAGTATTAAGCTGGTGGGACCAGGAGAGAAAGGTGATCCATCATTAATATTACTATTTAGTATTAATTTTTAAATGTCTTTATAAATATGCTTTCTCCCCATTTTCATTTCATCTTTTACTTTTCTTCACTTTCCCTTTAACAGATTTTACACTGAGCTGTGTGCAACTCTCTCTCTCTCTCTCCTTCTCCTAAAGGTTCCTATTTCAGTTCTTCTGGGTTCTTCGACATCACTCAGTTTTTTCTATTTTCGGGAATTATAAAAAAAAAAAAAGAAGGATACATATGGGTGTTCTTGATCATGTCTCTGAAATGTTTGATTGCTCTCATGGACACAAGATTAAAAAGCGGAGACAGTTGCAGGTAAACCCTCCCACTTTTCTTTTTCTTTTTACAATATTATGCAGATTCATTTAGCTGAGAATTTTTAGATCTTGGTTTTAGTCTTTTAGAAAGAAACTAAAAAAGATTCGTTGGAAAGTGACGATCGACTAGCTCTTATTATAGAAACTAGGTTCGATGAGAAGGAAAGTTCGAGTGAGATGTGACCGTTACTTGGGAGTAGGGAACTTCTCGTGATTTACTTTGCATATTCTTCAATTACTATTCTTCTTCTAACTTCTTCCTACTTTATACCTCAGAGAGTACATATGGCGAAGTTTCAGATTTATTTTGTTTTCAATTACCTTCTTTTTCTTTTGTTTTCTTAATAGAATACAATCATGGTTGCATATACATAGAGTAGATTTGTTTTACATATAACCACAAGAATGAAGTGGAAAAAAATTCAATAACTTGGATTTTACCTGAAGCGATTTTTGTTCCGAACGCCGACCAAGTAATATAGATTCGTTTTAAGGTTAAAAAAGAAGAAGAAAAGTAATAGATTCGTTTTAATCGGGCAAAATTAGCTGCAGCCATCTGTTAGATTTACACCGGGATTAGTAGTGTATTCGCTGTCGCCTGTCGGTAATTAAATAAACGTAATATCTGGGGAAAATTAATCACGTGAATTTCGCTCACTAGTCATGATGACATTTACTCTTTTTCTTAACTAGATTTTTTTTTTATTAAAAGGAAGCGACATTGATTGTTTTTTGTCGTGGTTATGTTAATCTGGTCATTCTCTCGTAGACGGTAGAGATAAAAGTGAAGATGGACTGCGAAGGGTGCGAGCGCAAAGTGCGGCGGTCGGTGGAAGGAATGAAGGGTGTGTCTTCTGTCTCTTTGGAGCCCAAAGCCCACAAAGTCACTGTTGTGGGCTACGTCGACCCAAACAAGGTTGTGGCTCGAATGGCTCACAGGACTGGCAAGAAGGTCGAGCTCTGGCCCTATGTGCCCTACGACGTGGTGGCTCATCCTTACGCTGCCGGTGTCTACGACAAGAAGGCACCCTCGGGTTATGTGCGCAGAGCCGATGACCCTGGAGTGTCTCAGCTTGCTCGTGCCAGCTCCACCGAGGTCCGCTACACTACTGCTTTTAGCGATGAGAATCCAGCGGCTTGTGTTGTCATGTGATGTTTTGTCATATACTGTAGACCGTTTCAACTTTTCCATTACTGCTGGTGCGACGTGTGCTGTTTTTTTTTTTTTTTTTTTGGTAAAAAAGTGTGTTGTTTCTTGTTTCGTTGTATATTAATACCATATGGTAGCTAGGCTTCTTGTTTATTTGGTTTTAGTTCCTTGGTCTCTGTACTCTTATGATCGATTGTAATATTTTCTTCTTTTATTCTTTCCTTGCTCCAAAGATAAATGTTGAAAAACTAAGTCGATATCTTTTCTATTAAAACAGAAGCACATTTAGTCCTTGTATCCAAATATTCTCAAAGTGTTTTTATTATATTTTATTTTATTTTTATATTTAATTTCTAAAAATTAGTTATTAATTTAGATATTTTAAGATTTTCTAAAATCTAGGTCATTTTTAATTTAAATTTCAAATTATTAGAAATTTAATTAAATTTAGTTACAAAAATTTGTATTTAATTTAATTTAAATTCAAAAAATTCAAAAAAATTATAATTAAATTTTATTACAAAAATTTAGATAATAATTTTAATACTTTAGAATTTAATTTAATTTAAAATTTAAAATTTAAATAATATTTATAAAAATGTATAGTAAATAAATATTTTATCGTATTTTATCATAAACAATCGGTCTAAAATATCAAATATTTGAGATTAATAAATATTTATATTATACAATAATATGATCGAGATTAGAGTTATATATATATATATATATTTAAGGTTCATGAGTTAATTTATTAAAACATGTAAGATATTAAGATGATTGGAGACAATTAAACTAACAGGTTAGTCCGTATATATATATATATATATATATACATTTTTTAATAGCACAAATAGTAAATAAATATCTTATTATATTTTTCATAATCAATTGGTCCAAATATTCCATATTAGTAAATATTTATAGGGTTATACAATTATAATTATAGTCTTATACTGGTTAGTTTGTCAAAACATGTAAGATATTAAAAATGATTTAAGACAACTAAACGGATGGATTAGCAAATTCATAGATATATAGATTGTTTATGTATAAATCTAAATTCACATAATAACAAAGTTTATAATTAACATTAAATCAATGTATATTTAATTAACGTATACTCTTATTCTACTAATATACAAATTTTACTGTTTAAAATTAAAGTATGATAACAATTTTTTGATTTAAAAAACTAAATAACAAAAATAAATTATATCTAAACAAAAAAGATAAATGCAACTTCTATTAGAAATAAAAAAAAATAAAACATTCTCGTGCGGACGCACGGGTTAAAATCTAGTTGTTTCTTACTTTAAAATATGTAAAAGAAAACCTATCATATACTGTAATAGTAAAGCATTAGATATCTATATTATTAACATTTTGGGCAGGATATAAGAAGGCTGTTCAAAACTACGAAGGCCGACCAACGGAATCGTGGACTTGATGTCTGTGACCAATAAGTACGTACGAACGGTCTTTCATGGACTAATTGATCAGCCCATCTGGCATCTGATATATTGCGATCGCATCAAATATAGAACTATATTTTTCTAAGGGAAAACGCTATTTATCATATAGCCCGAACAATGCGGATCAATTTGTAATAAACAAAAGCAGTAAACATTTCATATTTTGAAGTGAAATAAAAAATGAAGTCGAGAACACAATACTTGATAGCGATTCTGCTTTCTAAAATCGACATCTGTTTAAAGGCAGGCAATGCTGGGGGTCCTGATGACGATGACAAAAAAAAAAAAAGGCTGATGTACGTGATTTGGGAGGCCATTGATAGGAGAATGGATTCTAGGAGTAAAAACTCTATGCTATGCAGAGATCGCGAGGTTCAAGGATGAAATTGAGGATTTCTGAGCAAATTGGAGATTTGACTGCGAACTCAAAACTTATTCGTATCTTTTTTTCATTTAATAAGAAAACAGTCACCATCTGACTTTCTGAGCATCTTTAGCTTCTGACAAATTATTTAAATCCAAAAATTAAAATCAAAATGAGAGTTTTTCTATAGAAATGTGCAGAAAGATAGAGAGGCTTGGTTTATAGATCGAACGATAAAGTCAAAATCCTCATGGATTCTGAAAAGAAATATATCATATCAAGTAGATCAAACAATGCTGCCAACGACGTCGAAATCTTCTCTTATCTTTAATAGAATTATCCACGTAACTAATTAAAAGAATGTAAAACTATGTACTCAATGATATAAGTACCATTACATACACTTGCCATGCATGTTGCTTTTTTATGAGGTCAAGGTGAGTGTTAAGCACTCAACTTTCATTTGTATATATTGCTTATACCTTTAATTCAACCAATTTGATATATGATGTAGGTTTGCCCAAATGTCCATCCGATTAATTGGAAAATGAATAATCTTTTTGTCGTATATCATCATTTCTATATTAATTGTGTGCTAGCTTATATCGTAAACCATTATCGTCTACGTATGTGTAAACTACGCTACACAAATGGAATTCCTAAAATTTTGTTAACTATCAAATAGACAAAGTGCAAACGTTAGACTTTTTTTGGCAAACTAGTTATAATTTTCTCTTCCCTTTTAGAGCAAGATATGTGGGAAAGACAAAAAAAAAAAAGTGCCACAAGACTCGCAGCTATATCAAATTCTATTTTATTTTAAAATACAATAGAAGCTTCTATGGCATCTACGGATCTACCTAACAACTTTGAGAAAGTCGTTTTAAAAAATCAAAATAAACTAAAGCTAAAATAAATAAAGTTTTTAGAAAGAAGAAGAGGCAGGTGCGTCTGTCTTCTTCACTTGTGATGGTCATCTTTTGTCTTTTTCCGCTTTTTCCTTATCTTCAGTTCTCACCACTCCTCTACCATCTCTTTCATCTCCAAATATCCTATCAAGTGTATATTGATAATCGTAACTTCGAAGTTCGAAATGTAATCAATCAATTAATGAAAACTGAAAATCTCGATATGAAAAAAAAAATCTGGTAAAAATTGAAATCTTAGTAATATTACAATTGATTTCTGAGTTCATTAAATTGTTGTAACCAGATAAATGTCTTTATATCATTATACTGTTCAGGTTGTCTCTTCACCATAATGATATATCCTATGCTTAAGCCCTATACGTAATTTGTTTAGAATCTATTGGCTGAGATCATACCGATATATATATATATATATATATAATATGACCTATAAACGAAAAGAGCTAATTACAACCAATTGGTCAATTTGAACACAGCATTTTTCCGTGTGTGCTATAGACCAATGGATCTGGTGCCGTAAAAAGTTATCACCAAAATATTAACTGCAGATTGGTGACAGATTGCAGTGATCGCTAATCCGTTTTAATAGCCTAGCAAATATGGTTATATGTATTTGTCACTTGTCAGCAACTTATCGCGTAATGAATATTTATAAGAAGTTGAAAAAAATAATATTTATAAGATATATATATATTGATATACATATAGGAGTAACTATTATTTTGGGACTTGAGATGAGATAGTAGCAGAGGGGTGTTTTCGAAGTTGTGTGCAGATAAAAGAACATATCAAACACCGGTTTAATAACCATATATCTTGCGATAAAACGATGGTTTACTATACGTAGAGTCACTCTTTCTAATATCAAGCATGTGGCCACATTCAATGAAACTCTATACAACTTTGATATGCATATATTTCTTGTGTATAGATTGCATGTATGCATGTGGATATGTATGTGTGTATGTATGTGTGTATGTATCATGTATGTATGTATGTATGTATGTATGTATGTAAGTGGACAAAAGATGAGGAAAGGTTGGTATATAGGTTGGTAGGGAGATGGGTAGTGAGAAATAAATAGAGTTTGGTAGAAGAAAGGGTCCATTGGTTGTTGCTTCCTTCATTTATGTTTTTCTCTTCTTTTTTTTTCCTTTTGTTTTTTTCATTTTTTCCAAATATTTATCTTTTCCTTTGATATCTAACATTTTTTTCCCTACATCCTCTGTTACAACTTATCTACTTGTGCCAAATTAACTACAAACCTCACTCTCCACTTGTCACGAATCAGTTGGATTTGTTTTCATTTCATTTTCTTCGTGATTTTTTTTATTTTTATAAGAGAGCTTAATTAACAAGAAATTATCTTTTTATAATCTAAGTATTATGTGATGAAGCTATACTAATCATCCTTTTCTCCTTATTTGGCTTATCTCCAACATTGGATAATGAGTTTTTTTGGGAAACCAGCCAGTTATTAACAAAAAAAACTAGTAATCTCAACTGTATAAAATTATCTTACAGCTAATATTATACGATTTTCAAATATTCTCATCAAGTAGAGATCGATCTACAATCATTATATATAGGCTTGAGCATCTAGAAAAATACTAAACTAAAAAAACTCTACTTGATTTCAGTATGGAAAATCTGATCACCGATAATTCATAGATGGGGGTATTCAATATCGTTGGTTTTGCAAAGAAGTTTGTTAAAGAAAATGGTTAATTGCCTAATAAAAATATGTTTTGTATAAAGTTTAAAATTCAACAGTAAAGTTACTCGTGATACAAAGCGCGATGAAGAAATTACCTTCCAAAATCTCTAGGCAAAAAAAAGATTGTACAGTTACGCCTAAAAATTGACAATAATTATTTCATCTCCAAACTTCTAAAACCCAAAAGAGAAGTGGTTTCTTTCTTTGCCAACCCTAAAAAATCAAATCCGTTGCTTATGTCACTCCCGTTGCCACTGCCGCTGCTACCTCCGACAACATCGCATCTCCTTCTTCCACATCTGCACTCCATGCCGTTTATCATCCCTAAGCTGCAGTTGAAACAACGCGGCGTCGTTAAGATCCCCTCTCCCACCAAGCCTTGGCGACGATCAGCAACATCAGGAAGACTGATTCTGAGCTCAAGATTCAAATCTGGGAACTTTTCTTCGATTGGGCGCTCATCTTTTTCTTCTTTGAACGTAAGCATTGAGATTTTCTCTGACTTTCCCGGAAAACTTATGCTTTCCTGGAAAGTTTCGACCTTTGGAGTAGAAGAGGAAGAAGTGAAGGAGATATTAATGGTGTTATTACTCGTGATTGGTTCTAGCTGTATAGGTTTAGAATCCTGAGAAGCTGATGATTCTTGGATTGGTCTATGAGTCGTTGGATCAATCCCTCTGTTTATCAGCTTTCTTCGTATATGTGTGTTCCAATAGTTCTTTATCTCGTTATCTGTTCTTCCCGGTAATCTCCCCGCGATAAGCGACCATCTGTCAACATAAATAATATAGCTACGTTAGACATCGAAGTTCCTTGGTTTTTTTTTTTTTAGTCTTGTTTGTGTTTTTGCATGTATTAACAACGACAAAAAAGTCCCTAGCTAGAGACTATATATGTATGTATGTATATTAATAAGGTACTCACTTGTTGCCAAGAAGGCTATGGAGCTTGATGATGAGCTCATCCTCTTCCTCGGTGAAGTTTCCGCGCTTAAGGTCAGGCCGGAGATAGTTGATCCACCGGAGACGGCAGCTTTTGCCACAGCGGAGAAGGCCGGCGGCTTTAGGGAGAGATCTCCAGCAGCCTTCGCCATGAGCTTTAATGTAAGCTATGAGTCTCTCGTCCTCTTCTTTCGTCCATGCTCCTTTGTTCGTGTGAGCTTTTTCACAACATGGTGACCTTCCCATACCTTTTTTTCTTCTTCTTCTTCCTGTTTTTTTTTTGGTTGTGTGTAGATCTTATTTTTTGATGTCTTGATATAAACTCTTCTACATATATATATTCACATATCAAAAAGTGGTATAAATTGATCAAGTGTGTGTTCTTATTATTTTATATATACTGGGGGTTGGCTTTTAGCGAGGGTTTTGGCTCAAAGGGTATAAAGGGATTAAGTTGTTTTTTTGCGTAGTGGAAGAGGATTGAAGCATTTGGTGGGGCACTTGGATTTTGGGTTTGGTTGAAGGTTCAAAGCTTTGGTGTATAGTTTATATAGGGTATTGACTTAAAGCTAGAGAGGGATATATACACACACATATATATATATATACACAATTGCTTCTAGATGATAGGGAGGAGAGAGAGAGAGAGAGTTGAACTTATAATTGCTTCTAGATGTGAGTTGGTGGGATGGATTTGAATGAGTAGTGTATGGTGGCCTTTCGTTTTGGTACAATAAGTGAGAAGCTTGACATATATGGCATCATGGTCTTTTGAGACGTTTTTTGATAAACATGACAACAATTTAATTAATATTTTATTGCTGCAAAAATAGTATCAAATAAAATTATCTTATTGGTACATAATCGCTCCTTTATAATACATAAATTCAAAATGATTGACCATTTTTGGTTTATCTTCACTTTTTCCTTTGCATTTAAAACGATTTTCATATATCATATATAATACTAACCTTTGTTTTCAAGATACTACTGCGTACATTTAGTGTTTGACAAATCGTCATTTAGATCCGGTAGATTACATTTTTATTTTTGCTTGTTTTAATCGCATGATCAAGTTTGTAAATTTGTTATAAAAGTAGGAGAGAAGAAAAAATAATTACTTATGAAAAAACTGAAAGTTTGTCAATGGCTTTTACCGTCATATATTGGCCCAAATAAAATTATAATATATAAATAAGAAAGGGATTCTTAAAAAATTTGGTAGCAAATAGCAATAATGAAGAGGAGGGATAATTAAGTTGTGGAGGTTGGTGGTAAAGTTAATAAGTGATTTTGTACAAGTAAAGGTCAACTATAGGCTGTGTGGTTTGTACTGGTCAACTGCATTAGGTTAATTATTGTTTTTTCAATTAATAACATACATAGATCTTAACAAAGCATTATTAAACAACTAATTATGTGTGGGCAGGGCATGATTAACACAAATATATGTGGTACATATGGTTTTAAAAATTTGTCTCAAATGACAAAGCACTTCGTGTTTAGAATATTTGTGATAATGGGCATGCTTCTTTTATATGTCCGTATGAAAACTATACAACAAGAACCACCAAAACAGTATATATATAAAGAAAATTGTGAATTAAAGAATGTGCCTTCTAGAAACTTGACTAGGAATGTGGTTTTACCTTACCAACTTCTTAACAGTTTTTTAATTAGAGACTTGAGGACCAAGACTTAACAAATGTTCTCGGGGTAGTTTTAACCTTTAAATGGACTGAAATATAATCGTATGTATCACGTATACGTTTTTGTAGAATAAGATAAGTTGATAACACTAATCCTTGATTCCATTTCCATCGTATTAATTTTTGCAACATTGCTTTGATTATGTACGAAAAATAGTAGAACGATGGAAAACATAACAGTAGTTAGTAGACGAATATATTTAACTATATCTCTGTGTATGTATGCATACCCGTATGTTAAACAAAGAAGTTGAACGAAAATGTGAAATTTGGTAAGTTAGGTGGAAAATTTGAGAAGATTTTTAAAAATGAATGATTAATAATATTATTGAAAAAAGACGGAAAAAAAACGAAAAAGAGAGAGTTGTTGAATTTAATTATTTTAATCTATTGGTATACAATCACTCGTCTCATGCATGATGATGGCGCTCTTCTAGAAGATTAGGTTCTCAGCTAAAGCCCAATTATTTCTTTATATCAGCAACATTCACTTACATTTGAATCAAATCAAACCCCAAATTCACCAAGTACCCCAATTAATTGAATTCTTGGTCTATTTTCCTTACAGTTTGTTAAATAGAGACTAGCTAGTATTAATTGTTTAGGAAAACCAAATGCATAAACACTACTTTATCCTTGACAGGAAAAAAAATACCACATGCAATGATTCAAAGAGCGTTATAAAATATAAACACAATGGAAATAAATTAGTCGTTCTGGTGAATTATTCTTTCTATATATGTTTTTTTTTTTGTAATAGAAAAACACTTGTTATTACTGATGGCATTTTAAATGACGTGGACGATATAGCGATGTGTGATGATATAACAATAGTAATTTTTGTGTCTTTGTCAAATATAATATAGATGCCTTATAATATACTAATTAATTTGTCATTTTCTTGAAATGATATATATTTAAGAGTTGGATATATAAATTATTTAGGTCCGTAAGCCGTTGGGGACGTGGGATTTGGTTCACCTTCCACTTTTATTTTTATTTGTTTTATTATCTATTCATTAATTTGTTTGATATTTTGATTTAAGTTTGCATATTATGAAATCCGATTGTTTCATTAAATTAAAGCATTGCAATGGACTCTGTGAATGCTAACACAATGTGAACTTTGCCCAGTGCTCTGAACATTAAAGTGAATAAATTTAACTAAGGACGGATTAAAACGGTGGAAGTAACTATGACTGAAGAAAAAAAACAGAAAAACTTGGTCGTTGCGTGATATACTTTTATCACAAGGTAATGGTATATTTTATTGACAAACCCCCCCCCCCCCCCCCCCCAAAAAAAAAAATTTGTAACAATTGTGATAAACTAGTATAGGATTCCACTTAATTGTAACGAGAAGAGTAAGATACTACTATTATCTGTTTTGCTTGCGAGACGTGAAAAAAAGGTGGATGGTTGGTGACGGTGGAGGATTAATTACAATAAATAAATGGTCAAAGTCACTCGTATCTACTTGTATAAATACATAGTAGATATAGTGGATATATAGAGATAGAGAGTGAAGGTATTTAACTGTGCTATGCCTACTCTTTATTAGTTGAGAATCTCATTTCTTTGCTAAACGGCTAAAGCCTTTGATTATTTGTCGTTAATATCTTCAAACGGTAATGAAAATGTGTCCTACAGAACCACTAGTTCAGAAAAAGGAGATTAAAAAAAAATACAGTAGACCAAGTCAACCGAAATCAATTAGGACAATATTTCGGGGGAGATGAGATTGAGTTTGACGGATAAACCAGATCTGTTATCCATGCAATCTATATATATTTTGTTCGAAAATGATCTTATCGGTGTTACGCATCACAAAGAGGCCACGCATGTGACAAATTTGAAGCAAATCCATATTAATTTTGTTTACCAAATAGTTTCGAAAGATAAAGAAAAACGCTCATAACGTGGGGTTAGGACTTAGGAGCAATTCACAAGGGTCTGCATGCAGTTTTTATGATTGATATTCTAGCTTCCCCTATGTTCAAGTTTTCTTTGATGTGGAACTGATTTTTACCATCATGCAACGACAACACGTCTATGAGTGGGACGGGAGGCCCTCAAAGTGACTAAGAGAAAAACATATATAGAAGCTGTAAAGAATTTTACATTAAAATAGCAGACGGTGACTAACAAAAAAACATTAAAAACCATCTATTGTGGATTTTAGAAGAGGAACATAAAGTACTAGATCAAAAGAAAATTCTAAACTGTGAGTTTTGTAAGGAGCTATGATAGTTGTGAATTGTGACTTGTGAGAAGGTAGAGTCAAATATAAGAAAGTGAAGCTTTATAATTTCTAATGGGCTTTAAACCGTGGATGCTTGCAGAGCTCAGTAACTGATAGACGGGCCCGGCCACACATCTTTTGGTCGGTAATTTAATTGTCTAAATACTGTATGTAGGTCGTATATTTATAAAAATTTTTTTATAAAACTCCATGGTTTTTTATTATATTTTAAAATAGACGAATATTGTGTGAAATTTAGATAAAAAACTAAGGTGATAAAAAAACTGCAATGGTGTATATATCTTGCTGCAAAAAAAAAAAAAAATAGATACCATAAGTTATTTCATTTGATATATGGTGTTTTGTTATATCATCAAAGATTGAAAAGACCAGTATATCATTCATATAAAAATAAATACAAATGTTGGAAAAAGAATGAATATGTCTAGTAGGCGTCATAAAGCGCTGGACCGGACAAGGAAGAGAAAGACCGAAGACGGCGAGCAGACCAAAACCAAATGTTGTGAAACGTTGTCGTATGAGCTTCAATGGAGTAAACGAATCACACGTAGCGGAAGGATCCTCCCCCCCGTGTCCAAAAACAAAAAGCCGCAAGGAGGAAAACGGTATCGTATTCGCTTCGCTTCGCTTTCTATTATATTTTGATTTTCTGCAGAAGCCCTTTTTTTTTTTTGTCTACGCTTCTCCTCCATTTTTATTTTTAATTTTTGGTTTGGTTTCTTCTTCCCCAACTCGATTCGATTTAGGGTTTCCTAATCGATCCTCCTTAGCTCCCCTCTCGATTCCGATCTCTTTGTTGATTTCGTAATTCGCGTCGTGATTTTTCGACTAGCTGTGGAGGTTCTTCTGGGCTGTGATTTCCCGTCGACGATTCCGCTGGCAAATTAGGGTTTTCGATGCGAGCGAGTGTCCGATCAGAATCTCTCTGATCGAGCAAATCCCAAACTCGGGGTTTCTTCCTTTGTATGGAAACTCGGAGCCGCAAGCGTGCGGAGGCGACCTCAACTGCCCCATCTTCTTCTTCTTCCTCACCTCCTCCCTCAGGTCCCACCACCCGCAGCAAACGCGCCCGCCTTTCGTCTTCCTCTTCCTCCTCTGTCACCACCCGCTCTCGTTCTTCTCGCTCCGTCGCTACTGCTTCTGCTGCTCCCGCTCCCATGGACACCTCCACCGAGTCTTCTGGTCTTCGCCGAGGCGGACGAGGTAATAGGGGAAACAACGACAACACTAATTCTGACAAGGGTAAGGAGAAGGAGCATGATGTTAGGATTCGGGACAGAGAAAGAGAAAGAGACCGTGCCAGAGAACAGCTCAACATCGATGCTGCTGCCGCTGCCGCCGCCGCCGCCGACGACGATGACGACAATGACAGTGAGGATGGCAACGGCGGATTCATGCATCCTAACATGAGCTCCGCCAGCAGTGCTTTACAAGGTCTACTGAGGAAGCTTGGAGCTGGATTGGATGACTTGCTTCCTTCCTCCGGTATCGGCTCTGCTTCTTCTTCCCACTTAAATGGGAGGATGAAGAAGATACTCTCTGGCTTGCGCTCCGATGGTGAAGAGGGCAAGCAGGTCGAGGCTTTAACCCAGCTCTGCGAGATGTTATCCATTGGGACCGAAGACTCCTTAAGCACCTTCTCTGTTGATTCCTTCGTCCCTGTTCTCGTTGGTCTACTAAACCATGAAAGCAATCCCGACATTATGCTTCTTGCAGCCAGGGCTCTTACCCATCTATGTGATGTCTTGCCGTCTTCTTGTGCTGCCGTTGTACATTACGGTGCTGTTTCATGCTTTGTCGCCAGATTGCTAACCATTGAATACATGGACTTGGCCGAGCAGGTTGGCTATCCCATCAAAACTTTGAAATTTTTTTTGCTGAATTTTTGATTTATTTATTTTAATTCTAAAATCAGAAATGATATAATATAATGTTGTCAATCCTCAGATGGTTTATGCTGCTTTTGAATTAGAACTCAGGCAGTTGCTACACATATCCAGTGTTTTATTTTGCTCACGGACCAAAAACCTGACTTGTATTCTAAATTTGTTACAACAGTCTCTGCAAGCTCTTAAAAAGATATCTCAGGAGCACCCAACTGCTTGTTTGCGAGCTGGCGCTCTTATGGCAGTGCTCTCATATCTGGATTTCTTCTCCACTGGCGTCCAGGTGGGTAATTTTTTAACTTCTCTTTTATGTTTTATCTTCACGTGTATCTAATGCCCATATTGCTTGGCTTCTTGTAGCGTGTAGCTCTATCTACTGCTGCAAATATGTGCAAGAAATTACCTTCAGATGCATCTGATTATGTCATGGAAGCTGTACCATTACTGACGAACCTACTTCAGTATCATGATTCGAAGGTAATATACTTTCTTTTCGTTATATTATGGTATTATCTTTTTTTCCGGTCTTGCCCCGGTTTCCTCCATAATTTGTTCGTATGGTGGCAGGTTTTGGAATATGCTTCTATATGTCTGACTCGGATTGCTGAATCATTTGCATCATACCCTGAGAAATTAGATGAATTATGCAACCATGGCCTGGTGACTCAAGCTGCGTCTCTTATATCCACTAGTAATTCAGGAGGTGGACAAGTATCTCTCGGGGTTTCAACATACACGGTATGAGTAAATTCTTTTGTGTATTCTATTTATCTTTATTCACAAGATGACACTCTCACCATATTACGCACAGGGGTTAATCCGATTACTTTCCATCTGTGCAAGCGGGTCACCTCTTGGATTCAGGACATTACTTCTTCTCGGTATTAGTAGCATTCTTAAGGATATTCTGTTGGGTTCTGGTGTCTCTGCTAATGCATCTGTATCCCCAGCACTGAGCAGGCCTGCAGATCAGGTACTGAAAATAATGTTTGTTCAATTACCTGATTATATAGTACTCGCTTTTATAAAAATGGTATAAAGTGAGATGGATAGGCGAAACATCTACAAATTGATCACTTGGATTTGGGATAAATTTTCTATTTCAGCTTTAATTTCCGCATTTTGTTTGCCGTATTTTGCTTAGGTTTTTTTTTTAATAGTGGATAGTTCATAATCTATGTACTGGTATTTTGAGCTTTATTTTATGTTGGAGCAGATGGCTCGATTCCTATGCTTGTTTTCTGGTCTTATGTTAGAGGTGGTATAGAGAGAAGAGCTTTATCATTGTGCTTTGTCTGGTTTATTTGGTTTCTAGCCCCTGGACCGCTAATTCTTAAATTTATTGTTTTGAGAAATATTCTCAATTATAACTTCTGTTTTGTATCTTAGATTTTTGAGATAGTCAACCTAGCGAATGAGCTTCTCCCTCCGTTGCCAGAAGGAGTTATCTCCCTTCCTACTGGCACAAACACTTTGGTGAAAGGTTCAGGTCAAAAGAAATCTTCTCCAAGTACTTCAGGAAAACAAGAAGATGCTCTAAAAGTCTCACCTAGAGAAAAATTACTTGGTGATCAACCTGAACTTCTGCAGCAATTTGGATTAGATCTTCTTCCAGTTTTAGTGCAGGTAATTTTTTTTCTTTCATTTGCTACAAAATAATGTTCATACTACCTTTATGTCTAACCGTCCTTACTTTCATTCCAACAGATTTATGGTTCTAGTGTGAATGGTACTATTCGCCACAAATGTCTCTCAGTTATCGGAAAGTTGATGTATTTCAGCACTTCAGATATGATTCAATCTCTAATTGGTGACACAAATATATCGAGGTTCGTTATTTATGATTAAAATTATGTTTGGCATGGCAGTGGGTGCAACTTCTTATCTTTTTTTTTTTCCTATGTAGCTTCTTGGCTGGTGTTTTGGCATGGAAAGATCCACAAGTCTTGGTTCCTGCTCTACAAGTTGCAGAAATTCTGATGGAAAAGCTTCCTGAAACATTCTCGAAAGTGTTTGTGAGGGAAGGGGTGGTTCATGCTGTAGATCAACTTGTCTTGGTTGGTAAACCTATTTCTCATGCTTCACCTACTGATAAGGAAAATGACTGTGTGCCTGGATCTGCACGATCTAGGCGTTATAGACGGCGAAGTAGTAATCCCAGTTCTGATGGAAATCAGTCGGAAGAGCTCAAGAATTCTGCGTCCGTTAACATAGGTGCAAACCATAATTCCGTGGATACTCCTACAGCTAGCTTCATGTTAAGGGAAACAGTTAGCTCCTGTGCCAAAGCATTCAAAGACAAGCACTTCCCGTCTGATGGTGGGGATCTTGATGTTGGAGTTACTGATGATCTCTTGCATCTGAAGAATCTTTGCGCGAAGCTAACTGGTAGTATAGATGATCATAAAGTGAAAGGAAAAGGAAAATCTAAAGCCTCTGGGCCATGCCTTGGAGATTTTTCTGCTAGCAAGGAAGAGTACTTGACTGGTGTCATTTCTGAGATACTTGGCGAGCTAAGCAAAGGGGACGGTGTCTCAACTTTTGAGTTTATTGGCAGTGGTGTGGTTGCAGCATTGCTTAACTATTTTTCTTGTGGATACTTTTCCAAAGAGAAGATCTCCGACTTCAATTTGCCTAAACTTCGCCTGGAGGGGCTAAGAAGGTTCAAAGCTTTTCTAGAAGTCGCACTTCCTTCTGATGGTAATGAGGGAAAGATCCCTCCTATGACAGTTTTGATTCAGAAACTTCAAGATGCTTTATCTTCACTGGAACGCTTTCCCGTCGTCCTTAGCCATCCCTCAAGGTCACTAAGTGGAAGTGCTCGTCTTTCATCTGGATTGAGTGCTTTGGCACATCCTTTAAAGTTGCGATTATGCCGTGCACCTGGAGAGAAGACACTACGTGATTACTCCTCCAATATTGTTCTTATAGATCCATTGGCAAGCATAGCAGCAGTAGAGGACTTTCTCTGGCCCCGAGTTCAACGCAGTGACTCTGCTACGAAGACAGCAGCGCCTGCTGGAAATACAGAGCCAGGCACGGTACCTAGCGGTGCTGGTGTTTCATCACCATCCTCGTCAACTCCAGCCTCCACCACTCGTCGTCATTCTTCTAGATCTAGATCAGCAATTAACATAGGTGATACCTCAAAGAAAGAACCTGTGCATGAGAAAGGTTCCAGCTCATCGAAAGGTAAAGGTAAAGGTGTTATGAAGCCCGCTCAGGCGGATAAGGGGCCTCAAACAAGGAGCAGTGCTCAAAGGAGAGCTGTTCTTGACAAAGATACACAAATGAAACCAGCTAGCGGAGACTCCAGCTCTGAGGTATGCTATTGTACAAAGTTTTGGATTCCATGATTATTTAATTGTGTTATGTCTTTTGATGTTTGTGGGGTGCTTACTCAGCACTATCTTACTTATATGCCTTGCAGGATGAGGAATTGGAAATATCCCCTGTCGACATTGATGATGCCTTGGTGATTGAAGAGGATGACATTTCTGATGAAGAAGATGATGATAATGAAGATGTAAGTATTCCTTCACTTTTTAACCAAGTATGTACATTACACCCGGCAGTTATTTCTCTTGCTAACAACACGAAAGATATTACGTTTGGCAATAATGATTGCCAGCTTCCATATCTTTGGATTATTTTGCCATGTTGAAACGAACCGCATTCATTTGGAAACTTTTCTCTTGGAATTTCTAGCTTAATACCATTATTTCTCTTATTTATCTAGATGAAATCGTTATAGCTTTGTGGTCTGAGCTTCTATAATAACTTCACAATCATATATACACATTTATTTCCAGGTGTTGGATGACAGTCTTCCCATGTGCACACCTGATAAAGTGCATGATGTAAAATTGGGAGACGCAGTGGATGATGACGGTGCTGGTCTGGCAACTAGCGGCCGACAGATGAATCCAGCTTTGGGAGGCACTAGTGGAGCTGCAGCAGCACGGGGATCTGATTCTACTGATGCTGGCATTGGGAATTCTTACGGTTCTAGGGGTGCACTCTCCTTTGCTGCTGCGGCGATGGCTGGGCTTGGAGCTGCCAGTGGTAGAGGTATCAGGGGAAGTAGAGATCTGCATGGGCGTACCCTACATCGAAGTTCCGATGAGCCCTCTAAGTTGATATTTACTACAGGAGGAAAGCAACTTAGTAGACATTTGACGATTTATCAGGCTGTGCAGCGACAACTTATGCTAGATGATGATGATGATGACAGGTTCGGTGGCAGCGATTTCATCTCAAGTGATGGAAGCAGAGTCAATGATATTTACACCATCATGTACCAGAGGCCGGATAGCCAAGCAAATAGGTTGTCTGTTGGTGGAGCAAGTTCTACCACACCATCAAAATCCACTAAATCGGCTACGAGCAATTCTAGCCTAGAATCTCAGTCATGTAGGGCATCTCTTTTGGATAGTATCTTACAAGGGGAGCTTCCGTGCGACCTTGAGAAGTCAAACTCTACATATAATGTTCTGGCGCTCTTGCGTGTTTTAGAGGGTTTAAATCAGCTTGGCCCTCGGTTAAGAGCCCAAACTGTTTCTGATCGTTTCGTAGAGGGTAAAATTACTAGTCTAGATGATCTGAATACAGCTGTTGCTAAGGTTTCTCATGAAGAATTCATCAATAGCAAACTTACACCCAAACTAGCTCGACAGATCCAGGATGCGCTTGCTTTGTGTAGTGGAAGTCTCCCCCCTTGGTGCTACCAGTTAACTAGAGCATGCCCTTTTTTGTTTCCGTTTCAGACCCGTAGACAGTATTTTTATTCAACTGCTTTTGGGTTATCCCGTGCATTGAATCGCTTGCAGCAGCAACAAGGTGCTGACGGCAGTGGGTCTACCAATGAACGAGAGATGAGAATAGGGAGATTGCAGCGCCAGAAAGTCCGTGTATCCCGAAATAGAATATTAGATTCTGCAGCGAAAGTTATGGAGATGTATTCTAGCCAAAAAGCTGTGCTTGAAGTAGAATATTTTGGTGAAGTTGGTACTGGTCTAGGACCTACACTTGAGTTTTACACACTCCTAAGCCATGATCTACAAAAGGTTGCACTTGGGATGTGGAGATCAAATTCTGGCGACAAGGTATCAATGCAAATTGATAGAGATGAGATTGAAGACGGGAAATCATCTGCAGCTAGGGACGGAGATATAGTTCAGGCACCACTTGGGTTGTTTCCTCGACCTTGGCCCTCAACAGCTGACGTATCTGAAGGTAGTCGTTTTCATAAAGTCATTGAATATTTCCGGCTCTTGGGGCGTGTGATGGCAAAAGCACTTCAAGATGGACGGCTATTGGACGTCCCATTGAGTACAGCGTTTTATAAGCTTATTCTTGGTCAAGTGAGTTTTTTACTATTCAGTAATGTTTTTTTTGTTTAGTTGAGAGTGAAATAGTGGTTTCTACTTCTTCACTTTTGTTTTTAATTTCCTCGGTTCTTTTCCTCACTTACGCAGGAGCTTGATTTGCACGATATTATGTTATTTGATGCTGAACTCGGCAAGACTTTGCAAGAGTTTCGTGTTCTTGTTGGCCGCAAGCACTATCTGGAGGCAATAGGTGGTGACAATTGCAGCGCGATTTCTGATTTAAGTTTACGTGGATCTCGTATAGAAGATCTATGCTTGGACTTCACGCTACCTGGCTATCCTGAATACATTCTGAGATCAGGAGATGAAATTGTACTGTCTTATAGCTTACATCCCACGTCTTACTATTCTTTTACTCCCCGTCCATGATTGCTGATGCCGTGCTCTCTGTTACAGGTTGATATGAATAGTCTTGAGGAGTATATATCCCTGGTCGTTGATGCTACTGTCAAGAGAGGAGTTGCCCGGCAGATTGAAGCCTTTAGATCTGGATTTAATCAGGTTTGCTGTTTCGCAGAGACTCTGCTGTGTGTCTCTCTCTTTTCTTGTTGCCTTGTAAAACAATATAGAAAGAGTGATCTCTGTTGAGTAGAGACTTCTGTTGTCTTTGTTTTAGACTGACCGCAAACTTTTCTCTGCATTTTCATCCTTATAAAACCTGTGTGTTAATGCGCATAATTCTCAGGTGTTTGACATAACATCTCTACAAATATTCACCCCTTCTGAGCTGGACTACTTGCTATGTGGTCGTAGAGAGTTGTGGGAGGTGATTTTTCAACTTTATAGTTCCCCATACCCAGTAGATGTGATTCCATTAGATATATAACTGCATTACTGAAACCTTGTTTTCTTGCAGGCGGAGACTCTAGCTGAACATATTAAGTTTGATCACGGTTATACTGCCAAAAGTCCGACAATCATTAATGTATGTTGTTAATCTATCCGTTTATTGAGTTGTTATACAGTCAGGTTTTTATCCGTTTATTGAGTTGTTATACAATCATTAATGTATGTTGTTAATCTATCCGTTTATTTCTCTATACAATCAGCTTTTGCTTTTTTGCTTGTGTACTCTGTTGATTCATTTCTGACCCTGATTTTCATGCTCACTGTAGTTACTGGAGATCATGGGAGAGCTTACAGCGGATCAACAGCGGGCTTTCTGTCAATTTGTAACTGGAGCTCCTAGGCTTCCTCCGGGTGGTCTAGCTGTTCTGAACCCAAAGCTGACGATTGTCAGAAAGGTAAGAAATCTTTACTTAATGTATTCGGCTGAAAAGAGCCATTTTTGTGATTCAGACATGAAGCTTATTATCAGAATGCATCTATCTTATCTATGCGTGGTGATCTATGGGCTTTTTCCAAGAGGAGCAGACACATTGTGGTGTTTTTCAGATGAATTAAGTCATTACTTTCGTGTAGTTGCTGTGTCTTTCACTGTTTTTATGGGATTCTAAAACTTGCTGTGTCTTTGGGGGTGGTGCAGCACTCATCAACCTCAAGTGCGGCAGCCAACGGAACAGGGGCTTCGGAGACGGCAGACGATGATCTTCCCAGTGTAATGACTTGCGCCAACTATCTTAAGCTCCCTCCTTATTCTACAAAGGTGAGTCATATGTCACTTTTTGTCTTTTAAGTCCATGTTTTCGTGGTGGTTGTTTGTAAAGCCTGAGGAGGATTATTTGTACCTGAAACAGGAAATCATGTACAAGAAACTTCTCTACGCCATCAACGAAGGGCAAGGATCGTTCGACCTGTCATAAGCATTTTCTGTTGAGGCTATATGTTATAAGATCTGAAAAAAAAATAGTGGCATGTGTTTATTATTACTACAATTTTTTCTTAACTAATGACATCTTTAGTTAAAAATATAAGATGTAAAAATTTATGGATCAAGATTTTAGGTGGGGTCTTTACTGAAAATTAAGGATTAGAGTTGCGGTTATAACGACAAAAAAAAGGGTTGGGGTTATAAACTAATTTATTCCATATTAAGCCCACTAGAAACTATGATTTATGGGCTTTCAAAAGTTCACTATTGGCCCATAATATAGCTTAATGGGCGTACAGAGATTTTAACAGCATGTGGATCTGCGAATTATGGGCCTTAATAAACTAATTTATTCTTCGTTCAGCCCATTAGACCTATTATATATGGTCTTTTAAAGGTTCGCTACTGGGCCTGTAGTTTAATAGGCCTACTACAGATAGTTTAAACCGTTTGTGGGTCCACAAAATATGGGCCGTAATAAACTAATTTATTCTTCGTTAAGCCCATTATAATTATATTATATGGGCTTTGATCGTTAATGGGTCATTATGTTGGTTCAATAGGCCTACAACTATTTTCACGAATTGTGGGTCCACGAACTATGGGCCTGAACTTGGTATTTTTCGCCAAGCCCATTAGACCTATTGTATATGGGCTTTAAAAAGTACGATATTGGGCCATTATGTAGTTGAAGGCCTACTACAGAAATTTTAAACAGCTTGTGGGTCCACAAAATATGGGCCGTAATAAACTAATTTATTCTTCGTTAAGCCCATTTCAGTTATATAATATGGGCTTTTAAAATTCATTATTGGGCCATTATGAGGTTGAATAGGCGTACAACTATTTTCACAAATTGTTGGTTCACGACTATGGGCCTTAACTTAGTAAACTAATTTATTCTTTGCCAATTAGATTCAAATATTAATTCAATACATATAAGCAGTGATTTCAAATCCCGAGGTTAATCGTACTCTGGCTTTGAAAACAAAAAAGGAAAGTACCAAATTATAGTTTATTGGGATCGGTTTGTTGGGATTTAAAGAGTTGACAAATCCTGAAAATCTTGTAAAAAATGTGGCGATGTAAAGTTAAAATCTAATAATAATATATAAGGGATTAAAGAAAAAGCGAGAGACGAAACAAAAGTCATACATATCGTAAGACAGAGAGAATAATAAGAGTTGCTCTTCATCAGTCTCATAAAATCTCTCTATCAAACCAAAGAGACGAGAGAAATTTTATTGAGAGCCATTGATGATATGTCTTCTTCCCCTTCTTCATTTCTTCTCATCCTCACCTTTGCTACTACTCTCTTCCTCCTCGTTACGCTGCATTTTTTTTTTTGTTTTAAACATTATACATTATCAGACTTGTATATCAAATGACAAAACATGCAAAAACCAATGAAGCTACGCACCTTTGATTCGTCTGGCAGAGACGCTAGCAGCGCTTTAACCGCCGGATCATTTGGATCTACCCCTGGAAGCTGTGCGTTCACAAACAGTTAGGACAAACTAACGCTACTAAGCTATTCTCTTTCATTTTGCTTGTAAAAATCCTGACTTTGACTTAAGTAGAAGCTTACCGATGAGAGAACAGATGATATGAAAGCTTGATCTCCTAAGAGGTTTCCAGCACCTGTAGCTTCACTTGACTCCTCCCCACTCATTGACATTTGCAGAGCTGCACATAAAGGATCGAGCCAAAATATAAGTGTCTGTCTTTCATCAAAACACCTAAACACCTAAAGGTATCAAACTTTTCTTGCGAAGGAATGGCAGTCAAAATGCTTTTACCACAGCTCTACTCACCTAAAGCCAAATCCTGGTCCTCATCCGCCGCTTCTGACATGTTTACATCACCTACCGACATAGCAATTGCCTGATCTAGCAATGCGTTGTCCTCATCCTGCCACAGAATTTATGGTAAAATAAGAAAATTGTATGATAAACAATTTGTGCCTGTGGCTATATAAGAATGCCATACTCAACATAACGACTAACCATTGGTTCAGCATTCTTCTCAGTTGTCCTAGCAACCGTCTCCTGTGAGGCAGAAGCTGTATCTCCGTCTTTGTCTTTCTGTCCTGCCTCATCCGCTGCCTTCTTAGCAGCAGCCTCTTGCCTTGCTCTCTCCTCCTCCATGGAAACGCGAAGGGCGAGAGCAAGCTCTGGATCGATATTTGGATCCACACCAAAGTCAAAGTCCCCACCTGCGGCTGCCGCAGCAGCTGCCGCAGAAACATACCCACTTGCACCCTCATCACCAGTGAATACAGGTGTGCTGAAAGAAAATTTTTACGAAGATAATTTAAACTAGAGAAAACGTGGTAACAACACTTGTCTAGATAACACAAGCAGATATAAACAATGTTCTTTTTAATTTTGTAGTTTTGATATAAATCAAGACACCGGAGCTCAAAGACCTAAACCAAACCCATGCAATGCCCTTGTCAACCTGGATAATGTTTGAACTCTACCATTTATAATCTACATACAGGCCTGTCAAAGTTTAGGTAAGGAAGAAAATGTATTCTACCTGAGCAGCACATCTGAGAGGGCATTGGCTCCAGATGGAACATGGACAATGTGGCTACCGTCGTTGTTATTCACAGCTGTCAAGAGGGCCTCCAGTTTCTGAGGCTTTTCCTCATCATCATCTTCTCCAAAATTGACAATGTCAAGAGAGACACTATTCTTTTTGAGCCTTTTCCCAACTATCTCCAAGGCCTTCTTTTCATACTTGATTGGACTATAAATTAAAGCATAAGGAAGTAAATAAAAATATAAAAAGAAATAAGAGAACTATACAAAAATGCTATTCACACAAGAAATTCAGTACCTTCCAGCAAAAACAATAATCCTTTGGCGTTGATTCTTGTTTTGCCGATGCTTAAGAGCTAGCTGAGCAATCTGGATCGCTGCTGTTAAGTTAATCTCTCCTCCCACATCGAGGCCTAAAAAGATGGTGAAAGTAGAAACACTGATGTCAATGATTCCTAGAAAGAAAATCAGAACCTAAACGATAGCAAAACTAGGCCAATTTACAATTGCTTTCAATAGACTTACCGTGCATACACGCCAAAATTTTGCCAAGATCAGAGGTAGGCGTTGTCAAAACTCTAACTCCTTTCCCTGCCATAGTCAAAATCCCCACCGTATTCTCCGGATTCGACTGCAATTGAAAACGAACGAACCCTAAAATCAAAACCAAAAAAAACCCTAATCGAATCCAGAAGAAAAGAACGTTGATAACTCTCAATTTACCTGGGTTTTCGCCCCGCATAGAAGATTAACAGCTTCCGTTTGAGCCTGTAACCTAGACGGAGAGTAATCTCCGTTTCGCATCCACTCGGAGTTATCGATGCATATCATAGTCGCCTACGCACAAACAACCAGAAAACAACCATCCAACTTAGTAATAAATCAAGAATCAAGCAAGGGATCGACGAAGAAATCGAAATACTCAAATCAGAAGCAGATGTAATTCGAAAATCACCTCGAGAACCATTGTGTCGAAAAGTAGAGAGAGAGAAGCCTTCGATTTGTGTCGTAGAGAGAAAGTCAGGCACTTGTTATTTCTTCTTCTTCTCCGATTTATTTATTTAGACTCACCCATTCGAAGCGTGGCCCATATGTTTCTTTAATAGGCCTTCATATTTTTACCTTTCCTCTCTTAACGCCCTAATATTTTATGTTTTTTAGCCACAAATATTCGACGGGAGCAATTTAGCCCACATTGGTGTTTATTAACATTACAAAAAAGGGGCGTTCTGTTACCTTTATAGAGAGAAAAAAACAGACACCTTACAAAACGTCAATATAAACCCCAAGAGACAAACGACCGTTCACCAGATTCACTTACTCAGGAATTTACAATGGTGAAAAACTAATGTCGAACAAAAATAAAAGACAAAAACGGATACAACAAGCAGAGACACTGGGGACATCTTCTTCTATGCATTAAGAAAGAGCATTTGGGATGAGAGAAGATCTAGTGCTTCTGCTAATAGGCAAGTGGACATAGACCTCGTGAACTTCCTGCTTACAAACATCTCCTTTGTCTCGATCAATGGCGTAACATACATAAATTGTGTCGATCACATTGTCAAGAACATGTACAAAGAAAGCCAAGATCACAATCAGTAAGAGCCACGCGAGAATAGCCACCAGGTACGAATCTACACCCAAGTTGCTCACTCCTTTCAGAACAGCCCATGTCTGGTTTTTGCGCACCATCAAACCCAAATATTAGTATCTCAGACAAATAAAAGGTTTGGTTAGTGAGAAGCAGAAGTTTATACTTACCGCGACTGCATATGCGGCTGAGAGGACAAAGACAATACCGGTTAGGATTCGGGTAGAAACTGTTTCGACAAAAACAGCTGAGAGAAGGTTGCGTCTTAAGAGTTCGTAAGTCATTTTGGCAGATGTGCAATAGGCTTCGCCTGTTATTGCAGCAAAGTTGATGGTAAACTTGTTGAGATAGTCAAGAGCTCCAAGTAAGGCGTTTGCGCAGCAACGGAGAACCAAGCTCAATATGCCTTGTGGATTCTCTTCTCTTGCATTGTCCACAATGGCCCGGACAACACGAACAACGCAGATGAGAGTTCCTGAGAGACATATTGTACCGAAGGATTGGCCAAAGGCGTTCCTGAAGAGATAGAGAGATATGAAAAAGAGTAAGGGTCGCACATGATTTGATAGAAACCACAACAGATTCATACTAACACGGATTTGGATCCTCAAACTAGAATCAAATTTTTTCAGAGTTTACCACTGCATTCCACCATTCCAAATAACAAACAAGATCAGACAAATTAAGGGAAACGAAACTAAAGGAATCAAAAGATATTGTGGGGAATTACCTCAAAGAACTCCGGATGCATTTTTTAGGAATTATGTCTTCCTTGGAGAAATACCACTGAGCAATAGCTCCACTTATCACATACACTTGCATTTCCACCATTACAGCAAGAGACCAGAGCATAGTTAAAATGGCAAGCGCGAAATAGGCAGGAACCCAAGAATCTTCTTTCCACTCACAAAAGTATTCACCGTCCAGCTCCCTCGGCACGAACTTCCCATTGAACCTTGCAAACACCAAGAACACCACAATCGGCGCATAGTAGACCACTAAGCCGAGGGTCAGCAAGGGCAACACAAGAAAAAGCTTCAAGTTTTTGGACAAGGCATCTGATGCAACACCGATGATTTGGATGGTGAGCTCGATTCTGTGCCAATTAGCTACTATGATCCAGACAATAATCCCGATGATCAAGAAAACGAAGACTAGGACAAGGATTCTGTAAGCCAGAGGGAGGGCATCACTACAAGAAGAGCTAAGAGTACAAGCGACGAACCAATAGAGATTGAAAAAGATGGGAAATACGACAAAGAGAGGCAAACAAGCATAAACTATCTGCTTGGTGTAGTGTTTGAGCAAAAGGAGGAGGACAAAACACAAGGGCGCGCTTAAAAGTAGCGTCACAACAAGGGTCCAGATCAAATCTTTGTCAAAGACTGAATCAGACGAAGGAAGCATGGCGTACATGACACTCGAAGAAGCCCCATAGCTATTGGAAACTCTATTGAAGGTGGAGTTTTTGACGCAAGAGCTAGAGGCGAGATCGTAGGAGAAGGAAGAGGAGCTGCCGTAATCAGTATTCCTATGGAAGATGGAGAAGATACCGAAAGCGAAAGTGGAGAAGACGAAGAGATCGAAGAGAAGAAGGAAAGGGATGTCTTTGAAAGGTCTGGGGCCAAAGTTGAAGGAGATCTGAAGAAACTGGGTCGGGTCAGATTCAGGATCACATGGACGCGGAGAATCGAGAGCGGACGTGGAGGGTTTTGAGAGAAGAGGGTGCGAGGGAGAGGATGAGTCATAGATCGCACCGAATTTGGTGGGGTCGCCGTCGTCCGCCGCCATGGTCGACCAAAGAAAGAGAGAGAGAGAGAGCCCCGCCTCTGGAGTTGAGCTAAAAAGTGAAGAAGGTAGGAGAAGCAGAAGACGACGAGACTCGAATTTGCATTAATCACTAATAATTAGTGACGACGACCACCGCCCAAGCGGCGAAGGGAAGATGATCGATAACGATCGCCACCACAACCAAAGTACTCACTCTGTCTCAATTAGTATAAGATTCGTTGATTTAAAACTAAAATGTTTACGTTCAAAGGTAATCTAATGAACTATTGCTAAATGTTATCTTCACTCCCATTAAAGTATTAGACATTAGTTATAGATGTCTCTTTACCACAATTTTTTTATAAAGGAAAAAAATAACACAATAATATAAGACAATGGAGATCCAAATCAAATCCCCCAAAAATACATAAATTCGAGACTCCATACGAAATGGGGCCTAACGATGAAACGTGATTAAACAGTCTGATCCGAGCCCATTGGGCGCAATCTATTAAAGCCCAAAGCGTCGCATGCGAGAGGAAATATGGTCCCCCAAGGACCAAGGAGCGTGCACTTGAAATATGCAGGCGTGAGAGTTTTTTGTTTCTTAATTTCTTCTCTTTTATTTATTTTTGGAGGGCAAGAAATGGGAAGGAGTTGTTGGATTAAAACTTGTAACCAAAGCATCCTCCCGTGGCAAAGACAGTACTAAAGCGTAGCTCTATATATATAAAAAAAGGAAAGAAGCACGGGAAGCATTGACACAGAACCCACTTCGCGTATAACAACATCATCACGTGAACTCACTTAATAGTTTTCTGACATATTGTTGTTCCCTCTCTGATTCCGATTCTACCAAATAGGGAATGGCGTAACCTCCCATCCAAATCATATCAAGACAAATTGGTTTCATCCCCCAACTATTTATAATATATCCCTTTCCAAACTCAGGATTTTGTGTTCTTGCAGCTTTTGAGTCATGAGACATTCTTCCATGTCTGGTTTGGTTTTCTGGACCATATTTCTCCTCACCGCCTCCACTCAAGCTTATTACGGTACGTAATATTATACAGAAACGCTAATATACATTTATGTACAAGATTTTAGCCTGATATACTAGGTGCTTTGTATCTTCATGTACAGACGGACCTTTCTACGATTCTACTGCCTACACAGAGGTTTAAAGCTTTGGATTATTACATATAAATATATATATATATAGTGTTAAATACTGATTTCTGAAAGAGAAAAAAACAAACACAACGGAAATGAGCAGTGTAGAGCGGAACCAGAGAAGCCACTTTACAATGGAGGGATACTGAAAGACAAAGAACCTTCTGTGTCAGGCACAGACACTCTAAGGAGCGTTGGTACTCGTTACACGCCAGCTTACATATTGCACAATCTCACGCAAAACACCATCTATTGCTTCTCCAGTTAAGTATTCCATCCTTGATTATCACTACCTAGAATATTGATGTAAATATATATGAAGCAATGTGACAATCTGAAAGAGACTGATAGAACAAAACACAAATAAAAAAACAGTTTGGGTGAAGATAGAGGAAGGAGGTGCTGCATCAGCTCGTGTAAGAGCAAGGCTGAGAACAGAAAACGCCACTTTAAGCTGCGTTGGTTCAGTATCTGCCAAAAATGGTTGTTGGTCTTTCCTCAAAGGAGGCTTCCTTGCTCATTCTCCTTCCCAACTATCCATACTCTTCTTTGAGGTCAATTCCATATATATAGATATATATATATATATATATATATATGCTCAACAGATTTGGTTCAAAGATTGTAATTCTTTTCCTTTGGATAGTGCAGACATCAAACGACGAAGGGAAGATCCAAATAGATGTGGCGAGTGCCTCTCTTCAGCCCTTCACGCAGGAGCAATGGAGGAAAAACCAAGATTACCTCATTAATACCGTAAGTTTCAGAAACTCTCTTTCTTGTAACATGGAAAGATAGGAAAAACTCTAGATACATATATTCTTTAAGTGGGTTTTGGGTGATTTTTCGAAGGCGAGAAAACGAGCAGTGACAATTCACGTGGCCGGAGAAAACGGAGAGAGCGTTCAAGGAGCAGCGGTCAGAGTAGAGCAAATCTCTAAAGACTTCCCCATTGGATCTGCCATCTCCAAAACCATTCTCCGTAACATTCCTTACCAAGTAAGTAAGTAAGCAAGCAAGCACGCCATTTCCTGTCACGATCATCATATATCCAGTCACTCCCTCATCTCATTCTCTCGTAGGAGTGGTTCGTGAAGAGATTCGACGCGACGGTGTTCGAGAACGAGCTGAAATGGTACGCGACGGAGCCCGATCGAGGCAGACTCAACTACACACTCGCTGATGAGATGATGAATTTCGTCAGGGCCAAGAGAATCATCGCTCGTGGCCACAACATCTTCTGGGAAGATCCCAAATACACTCCCGACTGGGTTCGCAATCTAACCGGCGAAGATCTCCGGTCGGCGGTGAGCGGGCGAATCAGGAGCCTCATGACTCGGTACAGAGGAGAGTTCGTGCACTGGGACGTGAGCAACGAGATGCTCCACTTCGACTTCTACGAGAGCCGCTTGGGGGAGAACGCGTCCTACGGGTTCTTCGAGGCGGCGCGTGAGATTGACTCGCTGGCGACTCTGTTCCTCAATGATTTCAACGTGGTGGAGACTTGCATCGACGAGAGGTCGACGGTCGACGAGTACATCGCGAGGGTCAGGGAGCTCCAACGGTACGGCGACGGAGGAGTACGGATGGACGGAGTCGGGCTCGAGGGTCACTTCACGGTGCCGAACGCGGCGCTGATGAGAGCCAACCTCGACAAACTAGCGACGCTTGAGCTTCCGATCTGGCTCACCGAGATTGATATCAGCTCCACCCTCGACCACCACACTCAGGTTAACCACCATTCTTTTCCTTCCGGTTTATTCCCGGTCTATTTCATACATTAATACAATATATATACGTACACACAATTTTAAACCGAATTGACCACACCATAATTGAATCTGGCTGTGGTTACAGATTTTTATTTACGCATGTTTATATGGATTTTTTTATGCATGTTATTGTCTATATTTAGACTAATGTAATAATGATAACAATAATAACATAGAGGAATGAAACATTCATATACATTTTGGGGGTGATGAAAATAATTTAATACATTACATATCCTAGTGGTTACGATATATTATTTTCAAGTCGGTACAAATATACTTTTTGTTGTTACCACTTACCAGTTGCCGGTTTTCCGATCGTTTTGCAGGCGATTTATTTGGAGCAAGTGTTACGTGAAGGATTCTCGCACCCATCGGTGAACGGTATAATGCTATGGACCGCACTTCATCCTAACGGCTGTTACCAAATGTGCCTCACTGACGATAATTTCCGGAACCTTCCGGCCGGCGACACGGTGGATAAGAAGCTTCTAGAATGGAAGACCGGTGAGCTTAAGGCGACGACCGACGACCATGGTTCTTTCAGCTTCTTCGGCTTTTTGGGAGAGTATGAGGTCGGCATCATATACCAGGGTAAAACGGTGAATTCTTCTTTCTCGCTATCTCGAGACCCTGAGACCAAACATGTTAGGCTCCAAATCTAACGTGTCTTATGTTTAAGATTATCATCTGTTAACTAACATACGCTGCGAATCTTATATGGTCGATAAAGATACTTCTAAGTATAGGGTTATCATCAATAAAGAGCACATAAATTGGATAAATTTGCACCTTAAAAAAAGTAGAAAATTTGAAAATTGAATTTACTGGTGGTGGTGGTGGAGACAAAAGTGACAACGGGTCAAAAAGTGGATGAAATGAGACGCAACTTATTTTTATTTTTTTGGCGTGAGCAAACTTTTTATTTGTTTAGAAATTAAAAAAAAAAAAAAAACATAATGAGACATCAAATCAAAATATAAATTTTCTGAAAAGTAACTTAAAAAGCTTAAGTGGCAATATTCAGATCACACAGCCATTAACTGCGAGGCCCCGTTGGCTCTGGCGAGTGGCGACATTATCATATATTGACTTGCTAAAGAATTTAAGAAATATACCAACCAAATATCTCACACACAATAAATATCATTTTAATTCAAGGGATATATAATCGCTTTGGCGCTTTTGGATCTAAACGCACCTAAGATCATTGAGTCACAAAAACATGGGTATCTCACAATTTGGAACACGGAAACACTCTTTCAAAGAGAGATGAAGCAAGAACACGCACACACAAAGCTAAAATGCAGTAAAACTAGAATTGTTGCAGTCCTACGCGAAAAAACGAGTATCAACAAGACAATCTAGAATTAGAAATTAAACAAAGGCAAAACTGCTAACAAAACGAACTACCAAATACAAAGATGATGCTACGAGAAAATAAACAGAAACGCAGAGGTAAATGCAGCGAGTAGCATTGCTAGTAGTGAAGTGCTGGCTACTCGGCTCGAGTCTCCCATGGCCAAACCCGCCATCCACGATCCATCTTGTAACATCGTCTCTCCCGAACCTAGCTCCGACCCATCAAAACCCTGACCCTGTTGTTGACCCTGACCCTGTTGTTGACCCTGACCCTGTTGTTGACCCTGACCCGAGTAACCCGCATCTGAACCGGGCACCGGATCTGAACCTTGAGAGGTCGCCGACGAGTCGGAAACTGGTGTGGAGTAGCTTGTCGATTTCTGGCTGTTTACAAGAAAACGATAAAAGAAAAAACAAACACACTAATCCATAAATTTGTAATTTTAGATATTGGAACTTGCATTTTCAAATAAATTTGGAATTTTATGCAACATTTTGCTAAAAACTTTCTCGTGAAAATTCATTCATCGTTATTGTCAAACAAAGAGAATCTTTTTGCCTCTCCATATGGTGTTTTATGAAAAGAAGAGAAACAAACATCGGCTTTTTGAAAAAACATATAGCCAAATCTTTTATTACAAAAAGAGGAGATCCTAATAAGGTTAATAATTACGAAACCCATTAACACATAATAAAGTGTGAATTTTTGTTTAAAAAACCAAAAAATTTGTGGAAAACAAAAAAAAGAAATAATATAAAAGCAGGAGAGAAAATCGAGGGGCATTACCTTGGGGAGGAGGGGCAAAACGTCACCGTATAATCTCCGCCGGAGCAAGTGAAGGTGCTGGTGGCATCATCGTAAGCGTAGCTGTAGGAGCGAGGACACGCAGCTTTGAACATCTCAGAGTAAACCGAAGGCCTACAAGTGGAAGGTGTAGCGTACGCGCCGCTGCAACAGTACTCAGGACTCCGAAACGCTTCGCACGCGCTTTTACACGCGTCCCCGTCGCCGAAACGCAACTCAGCAGGGCACTGAAGGTTGAGATCGGATGTACAACCCGTAGAAGCACACTGTCCAGATCCGCCGGTGACTTCAACGATCATCGGAATGTTGTAGCCGTCGACGAGGCTCACGTCGTAGAAATCGTCGCCGCCTGTGCCTAGAGTGAACTCCGCGAGGGTAACAGGAGGAGCGGCGCCGAGTCCACCGCATTCGACTTGGTTGGAGCCGCAATCTCCGGTTGTGCAAGTACCGGAGCCAGAACCGCCGAAGCTGCAACCGGTTCGAGCCCAGAATCGACCGGACCAACCGGTTGGGGCTTGGAGAGAGCGTGAGGAGTCCTTAGGGAGCTCGAATCCGGTGGTGGACAGAGTAGGTGAGCCCGCATTCGCCAGAATTCCAGGCCATACGGTGAAGCCACACCGATTTGCGAATGTGAACTTTGAGCCATACGAACCTTGGAGCAAAGGTTTAGAAGAAGAAGCAAATCAGAAAGAAAGAAAAAGGAAGAAGGAGAAAGTCTGAGACCTTTTCTTCTTCTTAGAGCAAAGGTTAAGAAGAACTTGCTTTACCTGTGGAGGCTAAGAGAATAACTATGAAGCCCAGTGTGAGAGTAGAAGAGCTGCGACGAGAGAAAAGATCCATTACAGTTTTTAAAAAAAAAATTCTTACTCTCACTCCGACCTAATGAAAAGTGAAGAAATTGGTGTTTTGAAGAAGAAGAGAGAGAGAGAGATTAGAAAAACTGTAAAGCTTCTTTGGTTGAGATGAATTTATGTTCTTTATTTTAGTTATTTCCATGAATTTGTTATTGGGTGATAGTTCTAGGCGTTCGGATATTCGGTTCGGTTTCGGTTCGGAACTAATCGGTTCTAGATATTTCGGATAGAAGAAGTTAGGATCCATCGGGTATTTTTATAAATTTCGGTTCGGGTTCGGTACCTTTATTTCGGTTCAGTTCCGGTTCGGATAATCGGATCCGGATCTTTTGCTTCAAATTTTTAATTCGACTCACACTTTTTTAATAACAAAAATTCAAAAATATATATATCAAAACTTAAAAATATACCCAAAAGTCTCAAAAATAAAGAAAATATATCTGTAAAACCAGAAATATATACCAAATATCAAAAATATCAAAAAAAAACTAATATTTAGAAGGATATATAAATATACTTTGAATAATTCGGGTACCTAATCGGTTCTCGGTTTGGTACTAGTTCGGTTCCGGTTCTTCGGGTATAAGAGTTTAAAATCCTTCGGATATTTTTAAAAATTTCGGTTCGGATTCGATACCTCCATTTCGGTTCGGTTTCGGTTCGGATATTCGGATTCAGGTTTTTTGTCCAGTGATACTGGGCTCTATGTTATGTCTGAAAACCTGACAAATTTTATCTTATGCAATTATTATATGCTTTATTTTAAATAAAACGATTAATGGGTGGAGAGAGACAGGACCAAAATTGTTTAGGACATCATTAGTTTGACCGGTTTTTCTGTCAAGTCACTTAATATTCATTAAAAGTTTGTGTACATTCGTTCGTTGATGTAGCCTAGTAGCCGAGGAACTGTTTGGCCAAGTGGTTTCCAACTTTGCTCCGCTTTTCAGGCGTGTAGGGTTCCACCCTAGTTTATCTTTGTGTGGTTTTAGGTCCAAAATTTTATTTTGTCGAACGATATAGACATAAACCAAAAAAAAGGGCATCCCCCGAGTGTTAGCCAATAGCCCATAAGATCAATTGGGCTTGAGCCTCGGCACATAATTAGGTTTCCGGAAAGTGAGAGTAAAAAAACAATAAAAAAGGGACCTACATAATAAAGCATATTTATATCGTGAAGTGACATTACGCACGGAACAATGACTGCCACACTCCACTCAAAAATGAGTTAATCCAAGAAGAAAAAAAAAAGAGAAAAAAAGGAAAAAGAAGAGAGAAAGTGAAGGACAGAGGGCAAAGGCTTGGTTTTTGCCGACGAGCGTGCTAAATGGGCTGTGCCTATTATATCGATCCCTTGAACAGTATTTTTAGTTTTACAATGTGCAGTAAAAACCACGCAAGATGGCATTTTTATCTTAAGATGGACAAAGAAGAAGCAGAGGACAAAAACAGCAATTCTTGGGTGGAAATTTTGAAACAAGAAAGGGGATGCAAAAGAAGAGGATATATATTTACACAATTTCCCACCCTTAGTATCACCAACTTTACATGAATTTTGCTATCTGCCTGCAAGAAAAAATAAGGGCCTTGAGAAAATACATTAACTGAATTGCCAATGCGAGTAGCGATGTAAGACACAAACCTAAGACTAATAGAAGGCGGCGGCTCAGCTGCTGCGCGGATGCGGCAAATGTATCATGCTCTTGTTTACTAGCGGTAGAGTCGCCCCGTCTTTCCTCGATCCTAATAGCTTCTCGCTGCAAACACAACCCATCATCAACAATTACATCTAACTACCATTTTTCAATCCAATCCAATCACTGTGGAACTTAAACACAACAGTGCAAGTAAAACCCTTAATCAAAGATTCCTAGGTTCCATTACACATAATGTTTCCATCTATGGCACATTTTGCTCGCAACCATCCAATCTTTCGTTGAATTCAATCCAAGCGTTGCCTGCTATTCCAAATTCGCTCACCAAGTGTTTTTTTTTAATCTTTCTTGCTTTCAATTCAACCCCATGAAGATTAGAATTTGATCGATTTCAAGACTACTAATCATAACGACTAACTAATTATTAGCTAAACTCTAGCAACCAATAGCTCGGATATACATTTGCTACTCCATGTCTCGAATATATTAAGAACTATTAAAATGAAAAGGTGAAATGAAATGAGACCCCGCGAGGGGCAAAACGGTCAGCATCTGACCTTGTATACGGCGGCGGACAGAAGATGATGACGTAGTCGGCCCCGGTGGAGCAAGTGTAGGTGCTCGTCTTATCGTCATAGGCGTAGCTGTAGGCGCGAGGGCACGCGTGCTTAAAGAAGAGCGAGTAAACCGACGGCTGACACGTGTCCGGCGTCGCGTACGCACCGCTGCAGCAAAAGCGCGGGTCTCCGAACGCCTCGCACGCGCTGCGGCAAGCGACGCCGTTCCTATTCCCTCGAGCCATGAGCTTCAGGTCTCTCGGACACGCGCCGTTGAGGTCCACGAGACACCCCGTGGCCCCGCATCCTCCGACGACAATTTTCTTGGGCAGAATAAGCATCGGGAGGTTGTAGCCGTCGACAAGGCTGACGTCGTAGAAGTCTAGTCCTCCGGTGCCGTTGAGGGTAAACTCGGCGAGCGTTGCGGGAGGTTTGGCTCCGGAGCCGGAACACTCGACCTTACCGGAGCCGCAGTCTGCGGTCAAGCAGGCGAAAGAACCGGAGGACGGATCTTGCGAGCACAAGGTTCTTGCCCAGAGACGACCGGACCACGACGCCGGTATTCTGACGGTCTTGGATTTTCCTCTAGCTAAGCGAAATCCAGTTGTGGGGAGTGGCGGTGAGGTGGCGCCGGAGAGAAAACCGGGCCATATCGTGTTCCGGCAACGATTGGTGATCTTGAATGAAATCAGCTCGACTCCTGCCACGTGAAAATCAATCGAATCAATACATAAAGAAGAAGAAGAAGTTGGTATTCATCTTTTGAGAATAAAGAAAGCAACAGAAGGAAACATTAATCAATCACCTTGAAGAGATAAGAAAAACCCCAAGATCATAATCATCAGGATTCGATCCATAGATGCAGGATTGGGATTGAGAAAGTAGAATGCCCAAGTGGTGAGATTCACTCTACTTTCGGTGGCGGATGAGAGAATAGTGGGGAGAGGGAGAGAGAGGGCCTCTACTGAACCGAATCAAACCGTAAACGATTAACGCTCTCCACACTCCACACTGGGTTTTGATAATTGGATATTAAACCGGTTCTCTAGTGCGCACGTGGGTCTTTGTGGCCCATTGCACATGCGAGATACTATAGCACTCCGATCCCATTGATCTGAAATCTTGACATATCCATTTACGGATTAATCTACTTATCCAATAGGCTACCGTATAATGTGTTGGTTCTATCATGAAGACACAGTGGCGTTTTACTTTTACAGGGCGATACAAAAAAGACTCTAAAATTATTAGTCCAAGTTTCAAAAAATCAATTTAATAAAGAGAGATTGATGGAGACTGCGGTATAACTAAATGCCATTAAATGATTCCATGATTTGGAATCTGTGCCGTATATTATCCCATTCTCTTAATATAATCCACCAAAAGATTCAAAGGCAAAGTAGCAGTAGATCTAACGTTCAGGATTCAGAAACCAAAGATTCATATGATTATAATAAAGCCCAGAAATCTTTTCACTAAATAATGTTTGCGTATGAACACTTGAAACAGAGCAGAAGAAGCTTTTTCACCCGAGACAAGCACCACCATTAAAAACCACACCATTAAATAGCATAAACAAATAACCATAAGTCCTAATCCGAAACACCATCAAAAGAAGACCCGAAAATGAACTAAGAAACGAAAGAGATCCATCATAAGCAAAAAAAGCGGATAATAAAGAGATAAGTACGCCGCGAGAAGAAGACAATCTGTTCGTGTTTGAGACGACGGATTCAGCCTTCCCCATCGCCGGGCCGATGTCCGATTCAACGTCCACCGCTGGTGCAATCCCTGGCGAAATGTCCCGACTCCCCACAGCTGTAGCAGCTTCCTCCGCCGCCACCACCGCCTCCATACCTTCCTCCACCACCGTAGCTACCTCCTCCTCTGTCTCCGCCGTAGCCGCCCCCGCCGTAGCCACCACCGCCGCCTCCGTATCCTCCACCGCCTTCGGAACAGTCTCTCGCCATGTGACCTGGCTCACCACACTTGTAGCAGTCGTTTCCTCCTCGGCCTCCGCCGCCACCTCTTCCTCCGCCAAATCCACCTCCAGATCCGCGGCCTCCACCTCTTCCGCCACCAAAGCCTCCGCGTCCGCCAGAAGAACCACCGCTGGTACCTTGGACGGGAGCGCCGTCGGGTCCGGAGACCTCGATGGCCTTGGGACGGCCATTGTTGTCCATCTCAACCTCGAACTCGACAGATTCATCGGCTGCAAGGCTACGGAAACCATCAGATCTGATGGAGGACTGGTGAACGAAGAGATCGTCGCCGGCGTCGTCGGGAGTGATGAAGCCGAACCCCTTCTGAGTGTCAAACCACTTGACCGTACCTCTGCGCCTGGCACCACCGTTGTTGTTTTCGCCACTCATTTTGATCGAAATCTCTTAACCCACTCGCTTTTCTCTCACGCTCAAACGAAACCCTAGAAATTTCACCCCTCACAGCAGATCTCTTCACGCTGCCGCTGTTTATATGCGTAGGAGAGGTGTGGCAAGGGTATGACTGCCACGTCACCACATTTTTCCGTATTGTATTCTCTCAGTTTTATTTTTTCCCTAGAGTAAAGTTTACAGTGTAACGGCAATACATTTATTTTATTAATTCCTTCTGGTATTTCTCTTTTAAACACGACCCTTTACCATTTCTTTTTTCTTGTTATATCCTTTAACTCTTCTTGTATTTTGTTTATTCTTTTTTTTATTTATTGTTTTGCAACTCGAAATCGCACATCCGAGAAAAGTAAACAAAAAAAATCGCGTTAATCTCCTTTGAAATAAATAATGGTATTTGTTGTTTTCGAAAACGAATCTGCAGCTATAATTTTTTCAACCTGTAAAAAACACGAATTGTGGGAAAAAAACAAAATGTATAATAAAATGTTGAAAAGAAAAAAATTAGAGACTTAAGTGGGCCAGCCTGTATATATTAAATCGTTATCGGGAAACAGAATGGATCGTTGGCCCAGCGAGCCGTTGTATCTGGACGGTTGGGGTGTTTTCCAGGAGAGATATCAACCGTCAGATTTTGATCGTTGTATTGAAAAGTTTGAAACAACAATTCATTTAAATGCTATGTAGGATGAAAATAATTGAAGAGGGTAGTTTAGGAATAGAGAACGTCAAAAAAAAAAAAAAGAGAGTTCATCATTTGATTTTAATATTACTACTTTTATACGTTTCCGGTGTGGTCAACATAAAAGAACGAACCACGTCAGCAGATATTTCAATGTGGTCAATAGACTTTGATTGTTTCAGTCTGGTCAGTACACTCAATACGCAATTACCATAAATTAAATTTTTACCAAATGATGGTTTTAGTCTGGAGACGACTATGACCGCATGTATTTGTAAATCTATATATACATAGATAAATGATTGAAGTATATTTAATTTAGTCGTATACTAATAGTCTTATAATAATATACACAAAGATTAACAATTTAGCTTAGCAAAAAGGACATATACCATGAACATGAGAGTAAATGAATAATATTCACCGTAGTTCAAGTGTCAGAACTGATATTATATCCGAATGTTTCCACAAATTGAGATGAGAGGTGGTGAAGTTTGTGCAAGAGGGGAGAGTGAAGGTAGGTAATTCGAACAAAGCAGCCAGCTTCGCTCATCTCTAGGAGTGTGACGGTGGATTGATCAAAGCACTAATATCATACATGTCGCACCTGGCTTTCCTCGTGGCTGCAACATCTTTTTGTATCTTTGACTTCTGGGTATCCTTAAAATTACAAGGGAGTTAAATAAACGCAGCCGTTTGGTTGTTATCTAAGTTTCCTATTTTTGGAACCCGCTTATCTGGATAGAGAGTTCCTCTGCATTTGCAATCTGCATATGATTTATTTTTTCAATAAAGTTGGTAGTACGTTGGAACTGATATGGAAGCTCCCATAAATTATGTATGTGTATCAAAAATTGCAAATACCACAGAACATCCATTGGGTTATACAAAATTAAGATCATAGCACTTTTCTTTTATGCTTAAAGCTAGAGACAATCTATGATCCGTCCTGCAATTGCAATTTTTCAGGAGGTATGATACACTCTCTCAGGTCAGATAATTCATTCTCCAATTAGACTTTGTGTCGTATTGTCTTTGCCTTGCAATTTTGTCTCTTGAATTGAGTTCCATTTTCTCCTTCAGTAGTGATCAGGTCAACCAGAGAGATCTCAAAGAATGGCATACATTATTAGAGAGATGCATAAAATTGAAGTGTAGTTAGCTCCTGATATGAATCCTAGTAGCAAGCTTCCCCAACTAGATCAAAAACTACCTTCACATACTGGATTCAAACATATGATAGGATGCAGATAAAAAAGGCATTGCAACTCGAAATTGCATGATGAATATGAATATACAGCCTCAAAATCACATACGCACACGCATTGAGATGTTTTCTTATACAAAAGAAAGAGAGAGCTAGACGACTTTATACACAAGAGGAAACCTAACACATGTGACATGTACAACAGAGCCATGTGTATTATCTTGGTTCTTTTCCGTGAAACAATAAATAGAAGGAGATATACACAACAATGAGTCGACGATTCCGGCTTTTGCTCAATAATACATCAAGCCGTACCTTGAGCTCTTGCGAAGGTGAGGCCAACGCAGGCATCAACAAAATCTTTATCAATGAAATCCGTGGAGAAGATCTGCAGCCTGTCAGCAAAACCTCTTTTAACACACTCGATGATGAAAACCTTGGCGTAGCAATGAATCCGCTTCGTCACGGGTTTAACACACAAGATCGGGTTATCAGGCTGCGGAGTCACAGTGTTCTCCACCCGGTAGAAGAACTTCCGAGAAGACGCCGGTGCCTGCTGGCTCAAATGCTTCAGATTGCTCTCGAACTTGGTCGAAGGAAGGTCCGTGTCGACCCAGTTGTCTTTCAGGTAACCCGCGCTCCACAGGGGCTCACCGTGCTTTGGCTGAGGCGATTTCCGCGGTTTCCAAACGCAGATCACTCTCTTGGGCAGCAACTCTGCGACTGTCTTGCCGAAAACGTTGTCGTCCTGGTGAATCAGATGCTCGCCGAGCTGTTCTATCAGGTACTTATCGAACTCCGGCGGATCCACGTGTCCAAACTCTGTCCTGATCTCGAGGATGACAACCTCGGACTCTGTTTCGGATAGGAACCGTTTGAGATCGTTTAGGACAAGGTCGACGCTGTAAGTCTTGAGGATTCCGTGGCAGACACGGCGATCTTCTTGGACTCGGATGTCGAGGACCCGAGTACCGGCCACGAGCTGGTCGTAGATGGAGAGACACTGGCACTGCGCGAAGGGACGTGACACGAACCTGATCCCGATTTTGTTGGTGGCTGAGTCGTGCGTCCCTGGCCACACGATCTTGTTTATACGAAGCTTGTCTGGTCCCACGCCGGCCATCCAAGTTTTCCGATCGGACGGCATGTAATCACACCCCGGGAATTCGCAGCCGCACGATTTCTGGAGATCGGCGAGGACTTTCTTCTCCGTGGAGATGGCTTTTCGCCGCTCGAGCTGTTTCGAAAGGTGAGACCCCATTGGTGTGAGGATGAAAGCCTTTGCTCTCTTCTCTTCTCTTCTGATGAGTATTGATGATGGTTACGTTGTTGGATCAATCCCCTTTATTATAAATAAATTAATTTTTCTCGAGTAAACAAAACGGATAGGTTGTTATGATTGTTTTTCTTTTTTATTATTATTGTTTTATGCTTTGTTGTTCTGTTTTCCATTATTATTGGTACGGGAAACTTGCGAAATATACGTTTCTCTTTTCGTAATTGCGGGGCTTCTAGAGTTCTATCATAAAACACACGAGTTTAGACCTTCAGAAATTACATAAGTGAACCTACAATAACGATGATTTTTTTCTTTTTTTTTTTGTTTTTTGTGGAATTTTTAGGTTTTGTGAATTTAATTACAAATGTGATTATTGTGAACCGGTTGGTATTGGTTAGTTGAGAATCTTAAATCAAAGAGTGGTTGGGTTGTAATTGATGGAGAGTTTATTTATAAATGGTTTGGTAGGTCCCCTAATACTTATTTATAATTGATGGAGTATTATTTAAAAACTTGCTATGAGCTGGCTTTCCTCGCCTTGAAAGCTTTAAGTAGAACGTGATTTTTGGTTGTTTTTATAGAGGATTTGAGTTCTGGGTCCTTCGTTTGGGATATACAAGCAGACACATGTTGAGTTTTCATTAATTCATCAGAATAGATGATAGAGTTCTCCAAAATATTATTTGGATGAAGTATGTATAGATAGGATCCGGAGGGAAAACAATCATACACAGGGCCTACCATGTGTTCTTCTTATAAGTCAAACACACCTTACCAACGATCCAGTCCACACACAAAAACATAAAATTTAAAGGAAAGAAACAAAACAGAGCACAACATAGATAAAAAGCATAGAATAGATAATCCCTAAAAATCTTAAACAGATAGTAGGAGTAAGTACTAACTGGAGTAGTAGTAAAGCACTAAGTAGGGATAGTTTTTGGGAATCGGAAAAAAAGAGATTCCAACATAAGTTTCCAAACCTTCTGACTTCTGAGGTAACATTGGTTTAGGGGATCTCTGTAGTTATTCCAACAACAACCAACAAAAAAAAAGAAAGCATATGACTAGATTAGAACAATGCGAAAGTCAATTTGAAACTGAGCAAAATAGTCAATCCTTAATTATTATAATTTTGACCAAATATTATGCATGCATATGGCTATGGGTCGTCGTTAATAATGGTAAACAGTAGCGTCATATCGGAGAACAGCATCGCCGGTCTTCATGTCGATCTGATGCGTTTTGATTTTGACGAAACCTCTCGCCATCCTGAATTTCCCTCGCCCGCCGACTATCGAGATCTCTCTCTCTCCGGGCTCTTCCGCCACCGGATTCCTCGAGAATACGCTTATCGAGCTTCCGTTCAACTTCCCCGTCGTGAACGCCAAATCGGCGTACATGACGATCGTGAATCTACTCATGTCTTTGCTCCCGGACACGTACATCCCACGCCCGTTCCCGATCTCCTTCGATTCTCTCTCCGGCCCGACGGTGAGCGGATCGTCCATCGCGAACAGGCTTCCGAACCCCACCGGCGAATCTGCTCTCCCGGTGAGATTGGCGTGTGCGATTCTGACGGCGCTTGGGTTCTGCCCACTCAGGATATCGTGGAGGAAGAAGCGGACGCGTGTCACTTTCTCCTCCTTCAGATTAGCCGGCATGGTCTTCCCGTAGTAGTTGTTGGAATCGCTACTCGCCGTAACGGCCACGGTTAAACAGAGCGCCAAGCATAATGTTATTATTCCGCTTTTCATCATCTTTTGATTCATGAATTATCAACCAAGGATTAGCATCAAATATATATTCAACATCAAAATGTCATTGATAATTGTTTCAGCACTAATAGTTTTAAGCAAACTGTAAGGTAATAAGATATTCTTCTATAATGACATTTTGATGTTCTATTAATAATTGTTTCAGCACTAATATTCTTCTATAATGAACATCAAGGTAAGATATTCTTCTATAATATGATATTTTACGTAATTACATATGTAAAAGAATGAAGATATTCTTCTATAGTATGATTGATTCTACATATATAATTGGAAAACACTCCCCCCATTGATTAAACAGCACTGGGTAAAAAATGCATATAACTCAGCTTCATGAATCATTTTCAATATATTAAACTTTCAGTCATCCTCCATGTTAGAGTTGAAAATCTAAACTCAGCCAACATTTGCCATATTTAGTTTAGTTTTAAAGGAGATCCCTAGTGAAGACCAACAAATAGATAGTAGATTCTACCAGACCATAAAAAAGGATAAGGATATCTAGCAACAATTTCCTGTCTATATATACATTTCACGTTCTAGAAAGTACTCATGCAGTCATACAAATTATTATCTATGTAACTAAACTATCTATCTTTGATGCGAATTGAAACTGCGATTAATCGTTTAAAGTCCCTCTGTATGATTGGAATTTGTTGCCATTCTGAAAGGAAACCTCTAAAGATCATATAACCGAGGATACACATTCTTTCGATCACAAAGTAGAAAGAAATACATACATCTGAATCGCAGCTTACCACTACAAAAGAAGAAGCTTTCGAACGAAAAACAATAAATGATGATGAAACGAATAACAAAATTGTACAACTCATAGAAAGACACCCAAAACCCTAAAAATTGCAAAAAATACTTGGAGAGAAGATTAGAAGGACACTACCAAAATTTTCTATCGAGTTCCACACACAACTTATCACCATCCAAATTTAACAACAACAGATTCTCAGAAGCTAGATAAACCTCAAGAACCGAACTCTCTCATCACAATCCCAAAATAAGTAACTGTGGAGACTTTACTTTTCGTTCCCAGCCGCTTCCTTATCAGCCTCTTCTTCCTTGTTAGCGGCTTCCTTATTAGCCTCTTCTACAACTGGTTCCTCCTGTTGAGCTCCCTCCTCAGATTGCTCAGTGCTTCAAAAAATTCAAAGACAAAATAATCCAAGTGTAAGAAGGCATGCGCAACTTTTTGGGGTACGCAATCGAACTAATTAAAACAGCCACAGCCCATCATCGGGCAGGAAGAAAAAATTAGAGTTCAGAACAGAGATTCAATCTTTCAGTCCTGGATGAGGTTCATTTCAAGACATCAACTTCCATGTGTTTTCCACTATCGATGCATAAATGACAAACTATAAACTACTCTCCCCTTTAACCACTGAACTAATACATTAATTCATAAATTCTTAGACCTAACTTATCCACTGTTAATTATAGCATCTATGAATACCGTGTCTCTCACAAAGTTCAAAAATTCTTAGACGCATTATCAATATGACACTAAGAGACCGTAACCACTCTAAGATGCATGTTCACAGAGAAGAGACAAGCAAAGCAAATTAAAACAAATGAAACAACCAAGGTTTTGTAGTCAAGGAAGAGACCTTTTCCTCCAACTTCTTTCGGTACGATCGTCATTACGGCCATTGCCAAGACCAAACCCCATTTTCCCTGGAGACCTCTCATCAGACTTCTCAATGGCTGCAGCAACGTCCTTCAACTTCACAGCGTCGAGCTTCTCCTCAATCTCTTTCCAATCTTGGCCTTTCTCTGCCAAAACCTCCTCCCTAGGCCTGGCGTTCCCAAAAGGATTCGCACCTTTAGGTTTCTCTACTGTGACCGTCACCGCACTTTCCGGGTTCACATCCACAATGGCTGGCGCTGCAACGGGAAGCGTACGGGGCTGTAACACCAATCTCGGCCGTGATCCACCGCTCGGAGGTGGTGCGCCGATTTCTTCTCTTCTCCTCCCCCAGCTGTCTGAATCAGAGCCGCCGCCGCCGTATTGTGAATCCCGGTTTCTAGACAAGGACTCGAAGCTTCCCCTTCTCTCGAATCTATCAGCGCCGCCGTTGCTAGAACTGATTCTCCGGGGCTCCGATGGCTTAGACGAGACCCAGCTATCGACTTCATCAGCCTTGGACTGAGACTGAGATTCGAAGAATCCGCCGCCTCTCTCTCTCCTCTCAAATCCGTTTCCCCCGACGGGTTTCTTCCCGGCCGCCCAGTTATCAGTCTCGTCCGCACGCGAAGGACCCGAATCCCTGCCAGATTCCCTGTCCCTGTTAAACCCGCCGCCTCTCTTCTCTCCATCCTCCGAAACCCTAGACGAACTCCACCTCGAGTCATCCCTTCCATAGCTCCGGAAACCGCCTCCAAGCTTAGATCTGTCGAGCTCCTCGGCGGAGCGCTCGCGGGGGCCGGTGGGGAGGGAGACGAGCTCATCGTGAGTGAGCCGCTCCGTCTTTGGAGCCGACGCCGCCTTAACAGAGCCGTAGGTAGCGAATTCGGCGAGTGATAAGGTTTGGCCCTTCTTCTTCTTCGTTTTGGTGGTCGCCGCAGCGGCTAAGGAGGGAAAATCGGAGGAGGAGTTGGTCTGATTAGAGGCAAGGGATTGTTGCTGGAGCTCGGCTTCGTTTTCCTCGGCGTCGAGAGCCCAAGCACCAGGCTTTGCCCAAACAGATGATACAGCAGCCGCCATGCTTTGCTGAGATTCTCTTCTTCCTTGGCTTCTTCTCTTTCTCTCTCTCTTTGTGTGAATTGATTGAATGAATGGCTCTCGTTGTTCTGAAACACGACCACCTTTATATATACTTGCTTTCTGTGGGTTTTGATCCGACGGCCATAAATTTATCAAAGCAATAAGGGTAAAATATAATTTATGACATTAATTTCTTTCCTTCTCCTGCAAGGAGGAGGAAAATACTGATGGTGTGAATCTTAAAAATCAAAATATAGGTAAAAATCTCATCATCTCTTTCGTTTATATCTTTATGGATATATATTGAAAGAAAATTCAAAGTAAAAAAAAAAACATTCAGTATATATATATTTAGTATAAATATTCTTACACAATGATGATAACAAATCTGTACTAAGAGCCCGAAAATGAATGAATGTGGGAACAAATAAGGCATGGACAATATGTATTCTCTGAAGCCTCTCCCCATCCCGTATAAGACAAGAGAAACCTCAAAAGACCCACTATATATGTATATAACAACTATCATCAATTTATACAACAAAACTACATTCTTCTTCCCCACTAGAGTCTAGAGATAAGATGATATGCCAACCTTATGGGATGTTCTTTCATTAAAGCTCGACGGTTTTATCTTCTTCCTAACACTCAGGACTGTACGAACTTATGAGATGTTCTTCGTTACAGCTCTTTCCTGAGTCGTGCCATCTCATTGTTCCTGAAGAACCTTCTTCCTCTTCTCTCGTGGCATGGAGTATAACTGTTCCTGTGAGCACCGTGATGAACCCACATATCTCAGAGGCTACGCTGTCTGTGTTTTGCCCATACCAGTCCTGTACAAATATGCCAATTTTTTTTAACTGCACGTGTTTTTCCATAACAAGACCATGCTTGAAACTGAAGCTTTGCTCTTTAAGACATTAATTATGTTCAGTCCATCTACATACCTTGAACATGATCGCACTAGCAACAATTGTGAGGGTTGTGAACATCACATAATAGATTGGAGAAACCATTGCTGCGTTGAATGTGTCCAGCGCCTGCCAAAAACCAAACATACTAGCTAGTATATTAACCAAAGGCCACCATGATTGACATGACACAGATAATATTACAAGTTCATGTTTATATACCTTGTTCAGGTATATCATTTGCATAACGACACAGGCTGCTGCAACCATGACAAAAAACCAAGTCTCTGGGTACCAAATCTGGTTTATCCCCTCCAGTGTTAACTTTATCGCAATCCCCACGGCCTTTATGCTCATAACCTATTTATACATTAAACAAACTTTAGAGAGCAAAAATGGGCAAGTCAAACTAATTCCAAGATGATCAACTGGTTCATAAAACCTACTGTGAGAGAACCCATCAACGAACAAATTCCGATATAAACAAGAATGTTTGTTTGCCCGCAGAGAGGTTCACAGTAGAGAATCAAAGCCATGACAATCGACATTGATGTGGCTACGTAAATTAGAAAACCTGTCTCATACAAAAAGAAAAGGAACTAGGTTATCCCACAGATAAGTGACATAAACACACAAGAGAAAGAGACAAAGAGCGCAACCTGGTTGCATTGCTAGTTTCCAGATTTCTTCAACAGAATTCGGAGTCTGCTCCTGAGGTGCGTGTATGACGATCATAACCGAGCCCACGATGCAGCAAACACATCCCCAAACTCCCATTTTCCCAAGTTTTTCGTTTAACAGGAAGTGTGCCAAAACAGCACTAGGATTAAGGAAAAGTGAAAGGTCAAGTCAGAGAATAAGTAAAATTACCTCTCAGATAATGTTCATAAGAAAGGACCTAAAGAAATGGAGATTAGAGATAATTTCATAGCACACCTGATGATTATACTCAATGCACCAAGAGGAGTGACTAGCACAGCCGGTGCATAAACGTAAGCCACAAAGTTGGCAATTTCTCCAAAAGTCACTGAGTTACAAATTACAATATAGAATGTAGCTATTAAAGCTAAGAATTACTGAAAAAGGAAATATAGCATGGTTACTCACTTGTCACCAAGCCTACCCACCAAAGTGGCTCTAGCAAATATGTATAACCTCCAAACCCTGCATCATCAAGCAAGTCATAACACCGACCAGGAGTATGAGAAGCATTATTTCCATTTAATCTCTCTTTATTCCCCCTCGGTGATTTAAAATTGATGGGGGGGGGGGGGGGGGGGAAACATAAGACATATAAATAAGACATCTATAGAAGATCTTGTATATTACAGGACAATAACAAAAACTTGAGGAGATGGTTTCAAAATTGATCTGATGCCGAGACAAATACATCCAATTCAGACGGCAACAACTTAATCGAGCAGATAGGTAGTTCAAAATTGATTTAGCCAGATAGATTCCAACGACATTTCAAATCTAATTCAGCAAAAAGCAAACAAAAAACAAAAAAAAAATGAGCAGAAGAGATGATCAACATCAAGCAGCAGAATAATTGTAAACAAAGGGTATGGCGGAAAAGAACCAGCTCGGGTGCCATTAGCAGCAGCACGCTTGAGACCTTTCTTCTTCAAAATGAAGCTCGAGCCCACGAATACACTCGACGCCACAGCTAATACCAAACCCTTCTCATTGTCCGTCACCATTGCATCTATATAATTCTATGATTTTCTCTTTCTAAATTTGCAGAAAGGAGCCCCTAGAATGGTTTCGGAATCGTATCGAATATCCAAAAAATTCAGGCAATTATTATTCTCATTGAAGCTGCGTCCCCGTTGGTCTGATTGTTTTGAATTTTGATCATCAGCAAGCAATCACCAAAGAAAGGAAGATTAAAGGAAACCTGCTCCTCTGTAGAGGAATGATACAGGGGAGAGAGAGAAAGAAGACGACGAAGGAGAATCGCATAAATTTTGCGCCGTGCCGTGGTTGAACTCAAATGGGAGACACAGAGAGAGAGAGAGAGAGAACTTTTTTTTGTTAATTTTTTTTTTTTTTTTGGGTTGCTTTCCTTCTTCTCCCTCTCGAATCGAGAGAGGACAGCTCATGAAAAAATTGTCGCCTTGTCGGAACCCAAAGGCCCATTCTCATTTACATTTTTCCTTTGAAATGTCAACGAATATATAAGTGGATGAGATTACTTTTTATAAGTGGGCGGACGTCTTTCACACGTATGAACTTGATTTTGGATTCCTCACATCTTTTATGTATTTATTATATATGATTAAGGCATATCCGTGTGTGCTGCCTTCTCGTTAATTTTATTTTTTTTTGTACTAAAATTATCAAACTTCATGAATCTTCTAGTTTTGTTCATGGTATACTATTATATCCACTAATCATTTATTCAGCCTTCTCAGAACCGGTTATGAAATAAAATGATTATTATCATACAAAAAAAAAAAATTATGTTTCTCCAGATGGATTTAAAAATCAGTTTGAGGCCTGATTTGATGGGCAAGCCTTTAGGTAGGAGACATACATCTGTAAGGCCCATTACATTTACCAACCAGTTATCTACTTAAAAGTTTCTACGGTGGTCAATCAACAAAGTAAAGGTTTTAGTCTACTGTCAGTGATCAACAACGTCAACCGAAAGAGGCCAACTGACATGATTGGTTTTCTCTCTTTTCGCACTAGCAAAATTCTGTTCCCTTCAACGATGATGATGTCGAACGTTAATCAGAATAATATAGCAAAAGTCGTTTAGTAAGTTGTCTCATACTATTATAGCCATAAGAAATCAGTTTTTAATCCCAACAATAAAGTTTGAAAGGAGAAACTTAATGCACTTGGCCATAAGAAATCAGTTTTTAATCCCAACAATAAAGTTTGAAAGGAGAAACTTAATGCACTTGGCCATTTTAGTAGTTACAGGGGAATGCAGAAACGCAAAAAATGAAATTAGTAACGTCAATCAGATCAAGTGCAATATCCATGTTCTATTTTGTTTTAGGCAGGCGGCTTTAAAAGAAAAGAAATCGATTCCTTTGTGGCAAGTTAAAAAAAAAAGGGTACAAATATGTTGTATGAAACAAGGTCATTCATTATTTGATGATGGGTACTAGAGGGAATCAGAGAAGACACCAAACTTACTTATGTGACACACCAAATGGAAATGGAACAACAAAAGCAGAGACCAAGAGTTACTACTACTCAGGTCAGGTGATGATCTAAGAGAGCTGACCACAATCGGCGACAACCACCGGCTTCGACGGCTTTCCAGACGACGATCCGACCTTCTCGATAGCCTTGACCACGTCCAAGCCTTCGACGACCTGCCCGAACACCACGTGCTTACCGTCGAGCCAATCGGTTTTGACGGTGCAGATGAAGAACTGAGATCCGTTTGTGTTGGCACCAGCGTTGGCCATGGAAAGTATTCCAGGACCGGTGTGCTTCCTCTCGAAATTCTCGTCCTCGAACTTGTTCCCGTAGATCGACTCGCCTCCTGTCCCGTTCCCGGCGGTGAAATCTCCTCCCTGGCACATGAAATTGGGGATCACACGGTGGAAGGAAGATCCCTTGAAGTGAAGCGGCTTGCCGTTACGGCCCATCCCCTTCTCACCGGTGCACAGGGCTCTGAAATTCTCCGCCGTCCTCGGAGTCTTATCGGTATACAACTCCATCACGATCCTTCCCGCCGGCTGCCCATCGATGGTCATGTCGAAGAATACCTTTGGGAACGCCATTGTTGAGCAGAATATTTGAGATTTCTTCTTCTTTTTGTTTTGTTTGTGTGTTGGATCTGATCTGCTGTGGATTTAGTTAGCGGTGATTTATAGAGCCGCTGGGGAAGCGGCGAATATCTCCCCATCTATCTAAATCAAAGAAAGAGAGAGAGAATAGATAGAGATCCATACACGTGGAAAGATCTCAACGGCTTCAAAAAACCTAACCATGGTTTGATCACCAGTTAACTATGGTCAGGCAGTGCGTTAAGTGGGATGAGTATCTCGGACTTGGCATATGCCCCCTGGACCTGCCGCTCCCAACGTGCCCCACGTGTCTTCTACATTCACAAACGTTTTCATTAAAAGACTGGCTCTTCTCCTCAAATTTTACCTCTGATTTATCATCGGCCTAAATTCATTCATCTGTATTAAATTAAATAAATATTGGGAAAACGTTAATTCCGATCTCAAACGCTATACACTTCCCTCAATTTTGAAACGATTATTTCACCTCTTTACCAACTAATGTCGAAATAATATTATGTAGAGACACATACATGCGTTTCTTCATGGATTTTTTGACAGCTCAGTTTTTTTTCAAGTGACATTCATACGACAGCTCATTTTTGTAGTAAGAAACGTGATCAAGCGTACGGTGACAAGAACTGCGATCTATATTTTAAAATTCAAACACTGAGGTATAAGAAAGAAATACAAAAAAAAAAAAAATGATATATTCGGAAGTGCCCTTTCTCCGGTCTAGAGAGAGTGAGAGAGAACCAATCAAAAGAATTTTGTTGCGGTAATCGATTAATCAAATGAAAGCAACGGCGTTACGAGCGGCCTTAAAAGGAGTGGTCAGCATGACCCGAGAACATTTTTAAAGTTTGAGCTATACTTTTTTTTTTTCCAAAAAAATTGAGAATAATTTTATACATAGCACATAAATAATACACAGAATAATACCATGGGGGCACTCAATGCGCATCAAATCACCAGGGAATCTAAACCATACGTACCAGATTCTGTTTCACGTGGGGTTGGTTATTGTGAAGAATGTAAAGTTCGTCCCTATAGCGATCCGGGATACAGAAACACAGCTATTTTCTTCAGTGAATCCATAGACGGTTCCAAGTAGGCATGCTCTTCTGCAACTGCTCGAGACAAAGAAGTAATGTTACCCAACAGTTTTCAACTTTTTTTTTCCTTCTCTTGCAACAAAAAATGATGGTACAAATCGCAAATTATCAAATAACCCCTTTTCAGGAAAGAAACATTTGTTACCTTTCACTAACTTTTTAAAGTCTTTGGAGAAGTTATCTACACGGCCAAAAACTGGATGGATCCTGCAAACCTGAACAACACAGAGTTCCAAGTATAACGACATCTCTGTCATTTGGAGCAGCAAAAGGCACAACTTCTTTACTTCATCAGGAACCTCTTTGGGACTGTAATTATCACAAAGCTCAGCGACAATCGCCATGGCTTGGTCCTGCATATTAACACACACATTCTAGTGCCAGGCACACAGAGAAAGAAAAATAACACATTGCATATATCTCTTCTTGTTCTCGAGTTATCATACCTGTAGACCGTGCAAAATCTCCGGCTCTGGAAGCTCAGGGAAATGAGCAAGATCAACATATCCCACTTCCTCTGCCCGTTTAACAACACCCTCTGCTTGTAAACAAAGAAAATTCAACAAGAGAGAAGCCACTCTATAAATCTGTACCGCAACCAAGTCTGAAAAGTGTGATTGAGGAACAGATCCAGGATGCTCTGTCGTTTGTCCCCTAGCAACTAGAGCAGTCGAGATTGATACAGCACCGAGCTTGGGTTTCCCAACACAAACCAAAGGTGCTAGAGCAAACCATCCGAGTTTGCTGTTGATGAAAGACGGTCTTTTGCAGGAATCAAACTCTTCTTTCACTACTGGAGGGCATAACAGATGAGATGTTTGGATCTGAGACTCTCTGAGGCGTTGAGCGCCTTTGCTGATAAAGGCCAAGAGATGTATAGTCATTTCTCTTAATGGAGAATCCATCTCCTTCATTATTTTAACCCATGATCTCCAATGGCTTGCTAATGCACACATCAAAAGGAGAGTATGCTCAGTTTCTCTAAGATAAGCAAGGGAAGTCCATGTCCCTTGAACTCGTGGTCTCACTTTGTCACGGGCCTCACGGCCATCAGAAGGGAAATCCGGCGCAGCGATATAATATGAGATCATGTAACCTTTCTCTGAGAAAAAGTAAGATATCACACTCTCCACAATATCAGCACCCACAGATACGGATCCTAGAGAATGAACCATGGCCGTAACCACAGCCAAACCGATTCCCCAGATATGTTGAGGTTTCTCTGTCTTTTCTAGCAGCGAGTCCTTTTCGTTTTCAGATAGCAGAGTAGACATTCCATCCGGCAAGTCAATGAACAAAGATCTTAAAGTCGAGAAAAATCCGGAGTTGAGAAGCATCTGAGCACCACCATGAACTTGAGCAATAGTTAAGAAAAATTTCATAATTGCTGAAACGGATGCCGTGGATTTTTTGTCCTGAAGCTGTAGAATAACATGCTGCAAGCGGAGATGACTCTGTATAATAGGGAACCATGTCTCTGGGGTCAAAAATATTCTGAGAATCAAGTCTACTGTTGTCAGGCAGAGAGTCAAGTACTCCGGATTCCCCATGAAGTTGCAGAGAAGGGGTAATAATCCAATTGTTGCATCTGATATCTCTGCAAAATCTTTGGCTGGCACCATAAGTCCTATGCCACTCGTGTTTGGGCTGTCTGAACCAAAATCCACAACAAGGAGCAACACCTCAAGCAGGAGGTTTATCGCCTTCTTCAGTAAAGCATTTGAATGCCTCAAACTACCGAGGATTTTGAGGCAAGGCCCAACATTTTTCAGAACAAGTGCACATATTGATAACGGCAGATCTTTCTTGGCGGATTTCAAAAGACGGGATAGTAAGTCTGCCTGTGCAATAAGTATGTCAAACACGATCTTGGGTGCATTCCAGAGCGACGCAAGTGAATCAACCGTGGTGCAGAATTTCTGGCACACTTCATTAATGCTTGAAATAGCGACTCGAGAAGGGACTTTCCTTTCCACAGCCGCACTTTCTTCAAGAGACTGCACATAAGGTGTAAAATTTAGATGTATCTACATCATGAGTTCGGACATGCAACATTTCTACTGGCACAAGTCATATTAAAGAACAAATCTCAGCAAAACTATTTAGAGCAAAGAAACTTACATTGTCCTCGTAAAGTATCAAGACTGATGTCAATGCATGCAAAACAGAGAGCTGCGAAGTTGTGAGTAGAACTATCGAGTTTTCTCTCTGCATGTAACTCAACAACTCCTCTGTTGTCGTTTTAGATGACTTCCACTCGGAGAAATCCCAAATATCAATACCTAATTCCGTTCGTATATGCTGAGTGTCAAACAAACTGTCCCCCAAAGCCATATCTTTGTCCTTATCAGTTTTCTGTTTGTATTTCTCCCAAAAGCTCGACTCAACTAGAAACTGGAAAAGCTCTTTGAATGGACCAGTTGGGATTTCACGACCTTCAAGTTTTCCTTGTAGATGACAATATAGATCGCTGAGAATCAAAGGCATCAACGCCTTTCCTCCGCTAGCAAATATAACCAACAGAGTATAAGCAATAACACGATAATGTGATACTCTCTTTGAATAACAGGATACATGCGTCACTGGATTTGGAAAAAAGCAAAGACATACTGTAGAACAAGTTTAGTAAAAATACCAGAAACATTGGTCTTACCTATAGCCAAGTTTTGAATATTGAACCAACAACTCAGAAAAAGCAGGTTGGGCACAAAGCTGTCAGCAGACAGACATCAGAATCAGATATGACTAGGCCTTGAAAAGTGCGTTAAAGGGACCATACATATAATTTGATTCAAAAGAGATGAACATACCATTTCCGATATGAGTTTGATTTTCCCAACTAAAGCCATAGATAATGCTCCAGCGCCAGATGTTTCCAGTTTCACAACCAAATGCACAGTAAGTAAAACGGCAGCAACCTATCAATGCAGAAAATGAGGAACACTAGAACTTAAAATTACGATCTCTGAAAGATGGAGCACCTAACCAAACGGTGAAAGTGTGATGAAACTCTACTGCATGTGCTTTATAAGTAAAGGATATATGCCAGACAGAAGATGGACCTTTGCTTGGAAGTTTCTTTCACTTTCACCATCTACAGAAGAGACTGTCTGGATAAGGCAATCTAAAACAGATATGTCACACCATTTTGAAAAGATATCCTTGGGATCTGAATCAGCTGTTGGAGTTAATTTGGATGGAGATACTGCATTATATGTCTTCTCTTTTGGCCCCAAGCATGGTTTTTTAAGTGATTCCGCAAACAACAGCTTCTTGTTTAAAAACATGTTAGAGGCCATAATTTCCAAAACAGAAGACTGACACTGATATTTCACAAATAATTTAGAGATTTCTTCCTTGCCTAAACTTCCAACTGACGAATCCTTTAGCTTACACCCCTGTGATATGATGTTGGAAAATTCCTCCCACAACTTCTTTGATGCCTTAAATGGTTCCAGGATATTCATGTATTGGCCCGCCTCTTGCCAAAGGGTTTTAAGGAAATCAAGTAAACTCAGTAATATATCCGTGCGCCTGGTGAAAGTGAGACCATCGGCATAAATATGCAAGAGATACAGGCCATCCAGAAACTTTCAAAAAGATATTCAGTGTAATTAGAAGACAAACTAAAATATACTCGGCCTTTAACGTACCTATTGACAAAATCAGTTGCCCTCTCAACATATCGCAAGATAATGTGCAATAAGCAAGATTTACAAGCCAGTTCAGGAACTGAGGAAACCTCTTTGCTTGACTGTTTAAAGTTAACAGCATCTGAGTCTTCGTTTGAATCAAATATGGCAACTAAAAGAGCAGGCTGAAGAAAGAAGGTATTAAAATGAAACAAAATCAGTATGATGAAACTGGAGAATTCAGATGGTTTCAAGAAAATAAAATGCGTGCAAAGGCACGTGACAAGAAAATCAAAGAAAGAATTGGAAGCAACCTGATATCTTGCCGCAACAGTTAGTAGTTTCATGGTGGCAACGACTAGATCTTCATTTTGTCCCGATAGATCAAGTACAATCTGGCTAACCGAATTTCTTAAATCTGTAATCTAAAATGAAAATTGTAAACTAATATATACATCAAATGAAGATAAAGGAAAAACAGATAACCAAGATGTAATACTAACCTGTTTATCGTCTAGACCAAAGCCTGCGTTGCTTTTTATATAAAATTGTGATGATTCTGCCATGGCAAATAATTTTGAGAGCACTTTAACAGCACCAAGCTGTATAGTCTGCAATAAAAAAAATATGTATTTTAGACGATATGACTTTTAGACATGTAGTTGGTCAAAGCATCAATTTCTGCGAATTTGAATGAAGTCCATACAGGATTGCGGAAGTAAGATATCAGTGATGTGATAGCTGCAACAACTGAGATTGGTTTAGTTGTAGACGACAGCATAGCTTGATGAAACACGGAAAGACCAGAATGTGTACTCTGCAACAAATAATAGCAAAGAATCAACTTCCAAAATGCGTGGAAGGGAAACAAGTATAACCAACAACATATATTTAAAGTGAGAAAAATATGTCACAAATTATAGCTGACCAAGGCAAAATCCAATGTTACCTCTACAAAACTAAAATTGTAAGAGTTTAATCAAGGTCATTTTGAAGGAACCTTCAACTTGAAAGAGTAAACAATAGCTAATTTCTGCTATAGGATGTACTTGCAAATTTTTTTAACAAGGTTAGAGACGAGAGAACACTTTTACCTCCGAAGACTGGGAGAGTGTGATGTCTAAAACATCCAAAACAGAGACTATAGAAAGTTGCCATCCTTCAATCTCTGCTGGTTCAATAAAACGGCTTACGCAAAGGTTCTGCCGCAATGTAACATATCAGGAAATCAATTAAAGCATTTCAGACTAGGATGAAAGACAACTACAGAGCATCTACAAACCTCTAAAGTTTGCGTAGTCGTACAAATGATTCGGAATAGAGCACTGTGAACAGAGGCATCGTTCAGCAAGATATTAAGGAGAACATCCTTCAGCTTTGTGGAGAATTTACTGAATCTGAGACACGTTTTCATCACTTCAGTGACCTGGAGAAACCAACAAAAATAACAGAGAAGATTTTAGTATGGATAAGCTCGAAATCCATTGACTTCAATAGCCAAGTCAACAATTAATTTGTCCGTCGGTAGTAGATAGAGAGGGGGAGCCAAAGCTCATAATTAGCGACATACCTTTAGTGTCACATTCCAACGCATATTTCGATGATTGTATTTCCAAAACTCATGACTAACAAGAATGTACTGCAGAGAGAAAATAATTAAAGCAAGAACTAAATTATCCTCCAGTCCTCCCTCCACAAGTTGCAAGGTGAATTCCAGAACTGAAAGATATAGAGATAAACAGCATTAGGTGGTAAAGGCGACAGATTAAATAAACAGAGGACCGAGATGGTCATGCAGATTACGCACTCAACGATATTCTACCACAAACTTGCCTGATATGACCAACGGGCGGCTTGTATCATTCTTCTCGCAGTCAATCAAGATCATCTTTGCCAGTTTCCCCGAGAGCGACCATGATCCGCTTTTTGTATTTAAGACAATGGAAAGAGTAAATAAGTAGTCAAATCATCACAGGCTAGAATGCGGTAGAGAATGCATAACATGATGAAGCAAAATAAATAATTAAGCACGATCGTCTATTTAATCAGTCCTAAAACTTGGAAACAACCGGATGGTCCCAAGCAATTAACAACATACTCAGCGATTTGTCAATAACTCTGCTTTATTGCTAGATCTAAGAAGTTTTCATGTACAAGTTTTTCTTTGCAGGATAAGCATATCAAATGTTGCTGGCTATCTGTTAGATATAGCCTCCTTGTGGATAACCGATACTCTAAATTGGAAAACCAAAAAAAAAAAAAAATCTAGGGAGTAAATCTCTATGTGTAGGGAGTATGGTCTATCACTATCTCTATGAGTAAACCAAATTATAAAATAGGACATTGTATGTGATAAGTGTGGTCAAACCTCAATGACATATTGTAGCCACTGTCTAGGACGCTTAGCCCTGAAGTCATGTCAAATATATTTGCCTTTAAAACCATGGGAGCAACATTTGATGGGGAACTGCTCAAAGAGAAAATAAACTTAGCTATCAATAAAGTTCCACATAGAACTTATACCAAGTTCCAAAGAATATTAATACACAAGATACTGCACATGAAGGTCGATATTACAACATATATTTGCTACAGAGAAATAGTGAAGAAAATTTTGTTCACCAAGACAGCAAAAGCATAAGCATCACAGGAACTAACCATCGCAGCAGCTTTGCTAAGATATCAATAGCCATTGCCATCACAGCTGCACCACTAGTGTCAAAAGTTAAGCTTCTGACTGAATTGCAAATTATATCAACCACCCTGAAAGAAAGCACAAAGATAGTATTTTGAAGCACCCTAGAAGCAAAACGTGTAAGAAGAAATCAAATGCAAAAACTTTACCTCACATCACTTTCCATCTTCCCATTCATGTAAGATTCGTGAGCATGAAAGGAGTGATTGATATTCAATAAGGAGAAACATACACCCTAAAATAATATATTGCAACCTGGTCAGAGAAGAAAAACTAAGGATGCATATTTATGACAGACCAAGCATACAGTCTTAGATTGATATTTTTGAGAAAACGGTCAGAGACGGATTGATTCAAAGGAAAACAAAGTTATCGTTTTCTCATGCTATGCTTTTTTTTAGGACAGGAGAGACGTCCAAACATACAGCCTTTGATTAAAAAATTTGAAAAAACGGTCAGAGAAGGATATCTATAAAGAAAAACAAGGGCATAGTCTACCTTATTGTGTACAAATACCAAAGCAATCATTACTTCATAAACCTAAATAAAAATGAGGAAGGGGCAATGGAGTTACCTTGTTAAATGTTACCATTCGACGAAATAGCTCAAGAGTCGCAAAAGCTTCACGATTGTTACCAGTGTAGAGTCCATTGGCCAAACGGATGATTAACACTATCACGCCAGATATTGAGAACTTGGAACAGAAAATGTCATGAATCAGTATTTATCAAGCTAAACCATTTAGTAGCAGTGTACACCATACAAGAGATAACACTGGGAGATTCTTCATTGTGTTATTTTAAAAATCATAAGAATCTGACGATAATATCACTTACCTCCCACCGTACAAGGCCAGTATCTTCACCGATTATTCTCAGCATTCGCCCACGAGTATTGCTGGGAATAACTAAACCTTCAAGACCTTGAATATGCAACGGCTGGGAAGTTTCAACAAGCTGGGAGGCATTATCCACTAGAGAGTCGCTAGTAATATCAAATAAGGTTGATATCCCGACTGATTTATCCAGAAAGTTGTACCTGCACAAAGAAAGCACAGCAGAATGCAGAGCGATGATGTTTGGCAAGACAGGAAGCTTATGAGTGCAGCGTATCCTGCCTTTATGCACAACATTGCTCTTGTCTAGATATAAAAGTTTCAGATAAAAGTACATAGACGCACATAGTATATTGTCAGATTACTACTTACACACATTCAGCAGGCCAACTTCCTTCACTCAGGGACGACAAGAGACGAATAAATTCAGCACTTCTGAATGGGAATTCACTCTCCAAATCAAAGAGAAGACACCGAATAGGGCCATCGACAAAACTTTTTCGATCCCAAAACTGACTACAGAGGGACTCCTGAAAATTATGGCACACAATGAGCATTTATGGATGTGTAACATTAAGGAAAAAGTTAGGGACAACGTGCATAAACCATACCTCTCCCTGATAAACCTTGCAAAGGATGTCCAGTATCAACTCCAGGGTGGCATCTTCCAGCTGCCAAAAATGAAGAGTTGAGTAAGAATTTGCATTCACAATAAAATAACTCATTTTCTACATCAACGGAGTTTTACCTGAATATTGATCTCATAAGACGCAATAAATGCTGAAATAAAAGTCCTCAAGACACTACGATACCCAGAGACTGGCCCCTGGAAAAGGTTTAAAATAATGATAGAATCAACACAGGGAAGGATGACATGAACAAAACTTGGAGGCGTTAAGTAGTTATTATTTGCTAAAAAAAATAAATGTCAATCTCAAGAAAACAAACTAAGCCAAGCTCGGTAGCAGGAATTTTATCTAGTAACTTACATTGAAATCATTCAACACGTCTCTCTGAAGAATTTCAAGAAAATAGCTCAAGGATGCTGCCTCAAAAGCTTGATGAACATAGCTCACGTGATCTATCTCCTGGTTATCAAAAAAAAAAAAAAACATATACATGAACGATGTGTGTCCTCTGACTTGATAATGGAAGTATTCTCACTTTCATACCATCAGGAACGGACTTTCCTCCTTCTCAGGAAGTGATGAAATAAGACACAGAAACACTGCCCAGGCAAGGACTAGAGGTCCTGCCTCTTTTACTTCCAAAGTGTTGAGGCTAGAGATTGTTGCATCCATATCTTGGACATCATTAATGGAAAAAACACAAGGGCCAGACCTTAAAAGAAATGTAGAACCTTTAGGCAATATCGACAGATATACAGGGGAAATTAGGATAATGGAAAATTCTCATTATGGATCATGTTTGAAGAAAGTTAACTTTTTCTGTGCAGTGTTCCTCAAGAGTTAGCTAAACAAACCTGAAAGGTACTCCGTCATGAACCATTTGTAACAGATTCTCCATATCCAGCGTGTCTATAAGAATCATCAACAACTGAATTTTTACACGACATGCAGAAAGCTGTGCTTCAGCTGACACTGCCAGCTTCCTAAAATTATAGGAGCCCAAAAGTATTCCCTGCAAGACAGCACTTACGAGTGAATAGGGTTGGCTACAAAAAAAAAAACTGAAAGCCGCATTGTGCATTGTAGCTGGTGACTCGAGATACCTTGTATAAGGAACACAGTTTTCCCCATCTTTCTCCATTACAAGTATAGAATGATTCATGGTAAAGAAGGAAAATAATATCTAAAACCAAATTGTCCTCAATTAGTGTCTCCTCCGCCCACAGAGTAAATAGATTGGCATCCTGCAAAGTTGTAGATAAAATAAAAAATTTGGACCGGCAATGTTAGTTGGAATGATAGAATCAGAGTCCTAAAATAAGTAAATACAAGGCCCTACATAAAAATAAGATCGAAGAGACGTTAAGAAGGGCAAGGACTCTGAACACTTACCATCTGCTGTGGAAAAGAAGATGACAAAAGGTCCTCAAGAATTGATGATTGTTGTTTTTCAAGCCCATCTGAGATCAGCTTTATAGCTTCGTCCCTGATAGTATTTTCTTCTCTTGTTGTATATACTGTACAAAAATGCTACAATCAGTTGAAAAACGAGATAGGAATGAAAAATGTGGGTAGAATCTCACAGGGGTAAGACCATCAGAAAATAATCATTATAGCATCTTGAATTTGCAACTATACGTGGGCATATTTGTTAAGACAATTACAAATAAGAGAGCGGAAAAATGGGGAAAACACAATCATGACTTACAGGCATGGATGAGAATACGCTTTGTACACTTTAGTAGGCACTGTCGCTCTATGTAATACTGAAGCAATACCTTCAAAAATAGCATTGGAACAGAAGGACAGCAAAAGTGTTAGAAGGAACGCTGAAGAAAAAAGGGGCGAAATTCTAACTACTTACAAATCAAAAGTCATAGGCGAAAATATAGGATGTGAACAATTTCTTGAATTCGTTAGTTGGTACCTTATTATAACAGAAACAACAAAAAGGATATTCAAAAGAAATCTCCAAACCGGAAACAAAGAAAGCAGTTATTTTAGAAAACTTGTGAGTTTCTGCTTTCTAGTAAAATTGTGAATCCTAACTATTCTATTCATTCAACTAAATCTGAATTTATAAGCAAAAATAGAGACTGAAAGGTATCTGAGACCCGTAAGCTACTAACCACGTCAACGAATTCTTGAGCTACCGAGTCAGTTGTTCCATATTCCTGCTCCATAGATCTTTCCACGAGGATATATGATTGGATTTCATCTAGATTCTGTCCAGATTTCATAAATTAAGAGGAAAAAAATCGATCAATTACTTTCTCCACATCCAATTGCCTGCATCACTTAACTAATCATTCTCACTAAATAATAGGGGTATGTATACATTACTCAGGTCGATATGAAAAATCCAATAGAGTTTTCTTTCGAGCTCAACTGAAATTTCAGAACCGAAAATGAAAAACTAACCAGATAAGAGCTGATTCGAAGCGCTTTTTCTTTTAGTTCAGGCATAATCACCAACTGGTGCTCCTTGATTTTGACTACATCCGAATTCAAAGCATCTTTTGATTTCCCATTCGGTGACTTGAACATTGAGAGAGTGTCAACGAACCACGCGTGGTTTTTCTCCAACTTCTCCGCCTGAAATTGAGATAGCAAACTGAATTAGCACCAGTATCCCGCACCTTATCGCATAATTAAATGAAGGGGGGAGAGAGATGTTACGATGGCTTGAGGGAGGTCATCAGAGAGAGATGAATTCTCGAGTTCGCTGAGAAGGGAGCCAAACGGATCCCACCAGAGGGACGCATCGACGGATTTAGGGTTCGCCATTGAAAGAGCTCAGTGAAAGATCACTGTTCGAGAGCGCTTAAACCCTAGAGAGAGAGAAGACGAAAAATCGAGATTTTTAGATTTTAATTTTTTCGCGCTTTTCAGACATTATTGTATTTTGAGAAAAATAAAATACCAATGAATAAAATCACTTTGGGCCCTGAGTTCAGTCACTATAATAAACCCATTGAATATTGTCTCCTACCCTTCATATCAAGCCAATATATTGGCCTTTTTGTGTATACTGAAAATATTACAGCAAATTTGTAAACTATACGTAACATACATACATACATATATATATATATATTTTCCAAAAATCAGTGAAATGCATAGAGTTTTAAAATTATGACACAAATCAAAACATTTCAAATAATATTTTATAGACTAAAAATATGGCTTGAAAAAAAGTATGGCTTGAAAAAAAGTATAAAAATATTGGCTTGTATATGTCCTTCCAGTCCAGATTCCAAAGCTACGGCGTCAGTACAATTTGTGTTTATACTTTTTTTTTGTTCTGACTTCTGAGCTTTCGCACAGCCAATAATTTTTCACCTAGATCATTCCTTAAATAAACAAATTTATCAACACTTTATACGTTTTGATGGGGAGGAAAAAAAAACATTGATTGGCACACTTTTTTAGTTTTCTCACACTTTGTTATTACACATCAAATTACAAATGCCAGCTCGTCTTTAAATTCACTCAAGTGATTATACTTTGAATAGTCATTGGCTAATTTGTTTCAAATTAATCACTACACTACTGATCACCTTAAGCTGATCATCATCCCGTAGAACGCAGAGAAAGGAATCATTACCATATTATTGCTGGCAGATAAAAAAGAAAGAAACAATCTACACTCGGAGAGAAAGCAAACAAAGATGAAAGAGATAAAACAAACAATTAAAACATTAAACATGCAGGATAATTAATATTTATAAGAAAAAAAAAACACGTTGAATATATATGAGTATACGTATATATATACGTATTAGTTTCTCAAGGGTGTGTCGGCAACGGAGGCCATTTGCCGAACTTAGGGTGGTGAAAGTATTTAGGAGGAAGAGGCGGTAACTTTGGAAGTGGCGGACATGGCTTCTTCGGAATCACCACCGGTGGTATGTGTATTGGTACCGGCGGAGGACACGGCTTCTTCGGGATCACCGGTGGCACGTAGATTGGTGGATGCTCTATCTTCGGCGGCGGCTTGTAGATTGGAACCGGCGGCGGAAGCTCTATCTTCGGTGGTTTAGGCGGACACGGCTTATTTGTCGGCGGCTTGTAGATCGGAACCGGTGGTGGAAGCTCGATCTTTGGCGGTTTGGGCGGGCACGGCTTCTTTGGCGGCTTGTGGACTGGAACCGGCGGTGGATGGACTATCTTCGGCGGTTTGGGCGGATAAGACTTCTTAGGCGGTGGTTTGTGCACTGGCACCGGCGGTGGATCAACTTTCTTCGGCGGCTTAGGTGGGCATGGCTTCTTGGGGATTGGCGGTGGCTTGTGTACCGGAACCGGGGGTGGGTGCTCTATCTTTGGTGGCGGCTTGTAAACCGGAACCGGAGGTGGGTGCTCTACCTTTGGCGGCGGCTTGTAAACCGGAACCGGTGGTGGATGCTCTATCTTTGGCGGTTTAGGCGGACAAGGCTTCTTAGGAATCGGCGGTGGGAGCTCCACCTTTGGAGGTGGTTTGTGAACCGGGACAGGAGGGGGAAGCTCTACCTTTGGAGGTGGCTCGTGAACCGGGACAGGTGGGGGAAGCTCTACCTTAGGCGGTGGCTCGTGAACCGGGACAGGTGGCGGAAGATCAACCTTTGGGGGTGGGTCGTAAACCGGGACCGGAGGTGGGCAAGGTTTCTTGAATTTGGGGAACGGTGGAAGCACCAAAGGTGGAGGTAAAGGGAAAGGATGATCAAAGCCCTTAAATGGAGGGAGCTTAGGCATGTGCCAGAAGAATTTCGAAACGCAGAGTTCCGGTGAAAATTTTAGGTTTTGTTTGAGACCCAAAACGTGTTTGTCTCCGGATTTTGATAAAAACATGATCTTGTTGGATTCAAGGCCGTCGTGAGCCGGGCAAGGTGTTCCGGCAGCGCTGTGAAGCTGAGCGTAACACTCCTCCTTTAAAGCTCCATCGTCGGAGACAATGTCTTGAGGAATATTCAGACCGAACTTTCCTTGATCGTCAATGTTTCCGGAACCTTTTGTAACAAAGTGGCCTTTATTCGCCTTGCATTCGACCGTTACTCGGAGTCCTATAACAAATAATAATCACACATTGGTCAAAAGTAATTAACCACAAAAAAAAGATATGAAACTGTAATAGAGTTAATTACTAATGTGGTCACCTGAGAAAGCATGAGGATTTTTGATGTTGCTCTCGGCGTAACCGACAACTTCGACGACACGAGCGAGAGAGAGAGTCGCTGAAAAGAGAACCGACACGAAGAGGAGGAGGAGGCACGGGACCGAACCTCGAAGTTCGGGTAAGATCCTCATTGGGATTCTCACCCTCTGAGATTTCTGACACACTACGTACTCTTTCCTTTCCTGCAAATATAAACTTTATAAGAAGAAAGATACTATATGATATATTGATTGAGTGTTAGTGGAGAAGATGAGATGATTATAGCGAGACTCCCTCTCACTTATATAATGGTCTTAACACAAGGTTTCTTGAAGATTTTTTTTTTTTTTGGTTAATAGGATCTTAATTATTACTTCCTAAATTTTTTTACCAACAATAATTGGATTCGGCGGTTTGTATTTCGTATTTAGTGTCGTGGTCCAACTCATCGTTGTAACTTTAGTCGATTTGGTACTTTATGATATATTTTCCATGCAGGGTGGTTGAAACAAATTGACTTTTTGGTTTTTGTTTTTTTTTTTTTAAATATTTATCTAAAATCAAAATAGGACTACACCATTAAAAAAAATTTACTTTTGGTTCCCCTCCTCAGCGATATTGCACGAGACACATGCGTAGAACTTTCGACACACGGAACCTTTTGATCCTCAGATATATGGTTTAGTTTTATTGTCATAGAGACTACAGGTTTGTATTGTAACCTTTATTTATTTTTTTATTTTTTTTTGTGGTTTCACACACACGCTAGTAAAAAGCAAATGAATTAATGAGTGTGTGTACGTTCCACCAAACAAATTGAAGCGAATCACACTGTGGTTTGAAGAGAAACTTAAATATTACTTATGGAAAGAAAAAAAACAAGTCACACTACTCGTAGACTTGTAGATCTTGTTCACCACTTAAACTCTTTCTTTTACCAAAATTCCATCACCATGAGAGATAGATAATACACTAACAAAAAAATCTAATCCATGTACTGATTATACATACGGTCACAATTACGCCCAACATGCAGACATGATGTATCCTTTTAGCCAATGTCCCGTGTACAAATTACAAATTAAAATAAAATAGACTACCGATCGCGGCTTTATTTTATTGGCATCTGCTTAGATGGGAAAAGAAAATGTGATATTTATCATCAATCAACTTCCTCTCTGAAGTTTGCAAGGCCCTTGAATCAAACCATCCGAAGCCTACTACTTACTTTGTTTATCTTTTGTGGAAAAACGTTATATTTATACGTAATGCGTTTTTTTGTTGTATACGTAATACGGTGTATATACATTTCGTTCCATTCGAAATGAAACGAAGAGTCGAAGAACACTTGCTTTTACGAATTCCATTATGACCAATAAATTAAACCAAATAGAAAAACCTACGACGTACCAAAAAGAATTATGATTTTTTAAAAACCTACGTGTCGGCTGATTTTTTTTTTTTTTTTTTTGATAAAACATGTCGCCAGATTTTTCTCTGTAATTTGGTTTTACCCAAATGGCCGATCAAACGTAAAATCCAAAATTCTTAAGCAAATTTCACTGCTAGCTACTCAAATCGTTACAGATTCTTTTAAAATTAATGCAAATAATTCATGCATTTGTGGGTGCAGGCAATAGCCTTCTCTGACTTTCGAAGTTAGAGACCTGACCTTTATAAAAGAAAATAATATCAATTTAGGAGTTATGAACTTACAATGCGAACTAGAATTATACATAACCAGATTGAGATTTCTTTTTCTTTTATGGTTATTGGTTAGTGAAGTTATATATAAGAGATATCGGTATGTTCATATTGCCATATTAAAGCTGTACCTACTCACCACGCCCATTAATGCGATGGCTTTGGACAGTTGGACAATAAGGGCCTCAAGTTGAAAAAAAAATCAATCTTCCGGTGTAATTTCTACAGATTCAATACTTGCATATACTGTGTACAGGAATCACCAATAAGGCCCATTTCTTAAATGTAAGAACATGTCATATTTGTGTAGATGATGACTATGAATCTATGATAGATCGGGGGTATAGACAGCCTACATCGACTATGCTTCCATATTTTTATCAATGTAAAGTTAAGCAAAAATTTGACTTTATTTTTGTTTACTCAAAAAATGATGATCTTTTATAACGTTTGACAGCTACAAAAATTGCTTGATAAAAGAATAAAAATGTTGAATTCGTTTATATAAGGATCCAACGTTCACGATGTCGTTTAAAACAATCAATGTCATAGAAATCTAAGAGAATAACCAAATATGAAATTAATATACAGTTAAACCTCTATAAATTAATACTGTCGGGACAACAATATTTTATTAATTTATCGAGTTATTAATTTATCGATATAAAAATTAGTTTAAAAAACTAATTTGGGACTTAGAAAATGTATTAATTTATCGAGGTATTAATTTATCGAGGTATTAATTTATAAAGGTTATATTAGTGCATACGTAAATTTCTTAATTAAAGTAAGGATGGGTTTCTAATTCGACACATATAAGCGAGGGTGAAAAGATTTATCACTAGAAACAATCGGAAGATAAACACTGACTTCTTTATGGAAAAAAATAGGATAACCCCCAACTTAATTAAGTAGAAACAATAAATGTGGGTTGACAACAAAGAAAAAAAAGTAGAAAACAATAAAAAAAGGATCTAATTTTGGGGGCAACCAAGGGCATAGTCCCACATGGTGTGAGTTTTGTGATATGATTTTTGTTAGGTGAAATGCGATAAATATGTGAACTGTATATGGTTCCACATTGATTGATCAATAGAAAATGGTTTTATGTAATAAAAAACGAATTGTTTTATGATTCTGAGACGTACGTAAGAAAATATCCCGAGTAAATCCAGATCTGGATGTTGACATACTCTCAGAGTATAACTACATTGTTTATATAAACTCGCATATATGTATTACATATTGAATGTAAAGGACCAATGGATTATGGACCAGTAGAAGTAAGCACAAAGGTTGATGTCCAAAATAAATGATATGAGGTGAAAATATGAACGCATAATATAAATGGTACTTTTGGGTTTAACAAAAGTAAGTAAAACAATGCGAAGACATCCATCTGATGACTTCTGAGCTGGTTCCGACAGTATCTCCATGCGTGCAACGAATTCATACCCAAATGGAAGCTAACCCTTATAGAGACAATTAGGTAATGAAGAAAAAGGGTTAGGCTTATCACTTATGCTCATTGGTAAATATTTTGGAGTTTAATTTTTCGCCATGCCTAATATTTTTTTTAAAAAACTATAAGATATGTACTCAATGATCGCCCATAATTAACCTTAATGAGCATAAGCCCATTTAATGTCAATGGTAAATATTCTGCCGTTCGGCCTCGAGTAATTCCCTTACTTGGCCACTCAAACATTGCTCCTCGGATTCCTTATTGTGCAAACAATGCAAATCAGATCAAGGTGGTGTCTTTCATAGAAAAAAAGGGGAACTGATGCATAAGAAAGTTTCTATGTACAAAATGGTAATAACTTTTATTGTTGGTAATATCCCCTATATTCCTTTTCTGATTTGCATCATATAACAATGATTCCTTTTCTGATTAGTTGAATATTGAAACATTAATAAAGGCTTAGGCAGTTATCGAACCCTCTGAGTGTCATAGGGAAGTCAACATCACCACACCAAAAAATGATACTATGATTTTGGGCCTTAAGTTATAGATTCAATCACGGTCCATTTAGTATTTAAGGCTTAGAGACTTTACAATCATGTCTGGAACTAGAAGGGATAAATTAGTCATTTAAAGAAGTCAACCGAAACAAGACTTCCCTTTTTATTTTAATCTCGATCAGGTCGTCCTCATAAATAGTTTAACCTTTTTTTCACTTTGCCGAGAACAGAAGAGAAAGAAAAAGGGGAAAGGGGAAAAACGAGAATTGAGCATGAAGGCGACCAAGAATCCGATCCACGCGGTGTGGTCATGGGTGAGGAGGCAACCACCGAAGGTGAAGGCTTTTCTCGCGGTGGTCACTGGCATGGCGGCTTTGGTTCTGCTCAGATTCATTGTTCACGATCACGACAATCTCTTCGTTGCCGCCGAAGCTGTTCATTCCATCGGGATCTGTGTTCTCATCTACAAACTCATGAAGGAAAAGACTTGTGCCGGTAAAAAAGCAAACTTTCTTCTTTAGTTGTGCTGATCACATCCTTTTTTGTTTTTAAGGATATTTGAAGTAGCTTCCGGTCGTTTGTATTCGTCTGTCTTAAGCAAAATTACTTGTCAACGTCCCAACTCTCTTGGTTTATGCCTCAGTATCCTGTTCAAGTTTCGGGATTTTATCAGAATTGCATTGGTTAATCACTATTTCATGCTCCCGGAAGTAGCTTTTAGTTCTAGTTTGTAAAACTTATCATCATCATCCTCTTAATCACTGGTGCGCTTAGAAATTTAGGGGTTTTAAAATGTATGCTATAATTCTTGTTCGAAGAGTTATTATGCAAACCACCTTTAAAAGCGTATACCTTTTTTTTTTTTCTTTCTCACTCTTGGTTGTTTATATTACTTTGGGGATAATTTTGTAGGATTGTCACTGAAATCTCAGGAGCTTACGGCGATATTTCTAGCTGTTAGGCTGTATTGCAGCTTTGTAATGGAATATGATATACACACCATTCTGGATTTGGCTACTTTGGGAACAACTCTTTGGGTTATATTTATGATCCGTTTTAAGTTAAGGGCAAGTTACATGGAGGACAAAGACAACTTTGCTCTCTATTTTGTGGTAAGTTATTTGGTTTTTCAACAAGACTTTGTGCCATTCATGTTGGTTATAAGCGATTATAAGTCTTTGTTATGAATTAAGCTTACGTTGTAAGGTCAGAGAAGCAGGTTAGGCACAGTGACAATTTTCTGGTTTTATTATTTTGTAGCTTGTGCCCTGTGCTGTGTTAGCTGTGTTGATCCATCCATCGACTTCTCACAACATATTAAACAGAATTTCGTGGGCATTATGTGTATACCTTGAAGCTGTTTCAGTGCTGCCTCAGTTACGAGTGATGCAAAACACAAAGGTGACAACTTTATTTTTCAATGGCAAGTTGAGAACTAAAGTGACACATTTGTTTTACTCTCTTATCCGCATCTATTTGGTTGTTTCAGATTGTTGAACCGTTCACGGCTCATTATGTTTTCGCGCTTGGAGTAGCAAGATTCCTTAGCTGTGCCCACTGGGTTTTACAGGTTAGTTTTCTTCTCCTCTTCAAGAGAGAATAGAGATTAAACCGATAGCAGTCCCTCTACTTGAGAAGAGTTATATCGATACATTGAAAGTCAAATAATTTTTGGATGCTGAAAGTAAAATCCTATACAATGTTTGTTGTGGTCGAAACAGGTTGTGGACACGCGGGGACGATTGCTTGTCGCATTGGGTTATGGATTGTGGCCATCAATGGTTCTAATCTCAGAAATTGTTCAAACTTTCATCCTGGCTGATTTCTGTTACTACTACGTCAAAAGGTATCTTTAGTTTTTCATTTGCACTTTTTTAGCTTTTTCGTCTCTTTATATATAACTCAAAAAAGTTTCAACCTTTATTTAAAAAAAAAATCTTCTGCAGTGTATTCGGAGGACAGCTTGTTCTCCGGCTTCCGTCTGGAGTAGTATAAGTTTAAAAGATAGAATACTCCAGTGAATGTAATATCCGATGAGCTTGCCGGAAATTCAAATGGGGGAAAGACAGCTCAATTTTAATCTACCTCTGATCCTACGGTTTATGTTTCTGGGGTGACGAATTAATTTTACTGTGTTATGTATATTTTTGACTATTGATTTGGTTTTTCATTTCTCTTCGGTTGCTTATTTCCTTTGACGCGGTAATGTTTGAGAGAAAGCAAATATCGAACCGAATTCGCATTCGACAAATCTAACTACGTTATCGAACGGCGGAATAATTGAAAACTTCATCATCTGAAAAAACGTCTCAAAAATTGAAGTTTTATTATCGAAGAATATAATCACCGGAAACGGGTGAAACCGCAAATGATGCTGAAACGCACTTTAAAGAATCACACAAAAGTTAAAGGTCTGAAAGGTTTTTCCCATTGATGAAGTTGATCACTTTAGTGGCAGTTTCCTCTAGCGCAGAAGTCACAACTGCCAAGTTCTGCAAGAATTCTTCTGCCGTCGGTTTATCTCCGTCCACCAGATCGGTCACAGCTTTTAAGAACATTACTGGTACTTTCAGAAGATCAGCAACGTACGCCACAGCAGCACCCTGACAAATCCATTGCCAAATAGAGTTTCAATAAAACTGGTTTTCAACTTGAGTGATTTTCTTGCTAGATTCAGTTATTAAGAGAGCTGTTGGCATCACATTACCTCCATGTCCTTTAGCGTAGCATCATTGGCAATGATCAATGATTCATCTTGTGTGGACATATCCAAGGAGTCACCAGTAGATAACCTGCCAATCTGATAACACCCAATCCTATGAATATGCTTTCGATACTGTGAAAATTCAAAGACAGTTTTGAGTATATTAAACACCTTCAAATTGAGTTCCTTGAGGAGATTGGGGGTTGAAAATGCCTGACGAAGACCAACTCCATACAGATCAAACATCTGAAAGAGATACACAAACATCTCAGGAACTTGCGATATGAAATAAGGAATCACTAGAGATTAAAACTGCCAAAGCAAGAACTGAAAAAAATAAAGGGCGGAAGAACCTACTGGGATTGGTATTCTTCTATCATGGAACACAACATCAGATACAAGGAATACATCGCCTATGTTGGCTCCTTTAACCTGATAATGTTCAGTCAATCACTACTTCAATTACATACGAGAGAAAGAGAGAAATTTGAATGATGCAATTCAAATTTCAGGTTGAATCAAGCTCAGAAAATGAGTAACAAAATCAAATTCAAATATCGCATTCTCACACGTATTCTCACAAGTAGACAGAGAAAGAGAAGAGGTGATTCTTCGCAGGGATGCAGAGAATAAATGACAAGGAAACAATATACCTTAAAGCCACCGCAGGTTCCGGCATTGATTATGATGTCAGGATGTAATGCTTGGATAGAAGCAAAGGTTATGAGAGAAGATGGAACAGTTCCAACACTATCGATCCCTGGAGAGAAATCTCAGTTACTTGTAGCATAAAAGAAAGAGCAAAAGAAAGTGCATTCATTTTCCTTCTAGAGCTCATTTCATCAACAAAATCATACGAAACAATGCACCGACTTGAAAATCCAAAGCTACCAATACTAAAATCGAGAGATTGGCACGCTATTTATTGATAATATGAAACTTGCCTAAAGCTGCATCTCTTCCGGGGCAAACTACATTGATTCGAAGATCTTTATGCACCCCGTGATAGAGAACCCAGGGCAATCCTTCACCAAGCCTGCACAGTATCATTTACAAGAAGCGACTTTAAGTTAGAGATTAGTAACTCTTCTTCTCATAGAGATCAAGAACAAACAAGCTAAATCAGTAATCGGAGGAAAAAAAAAGGGAGAGAAAGAGGAGCTCTTAACGGCGAATCAGTAGATTCAGAGAGTCCGAACTTGTTGACCAAAGGTAGAGCCTCCGCTTGCATAGCTGCAGCTCCATGAGAAAGCAAAAGGCGAGATGAAGAAATCGGGCGATCGATTCAGGTATCTCCAAAGACTCGGAGACGAATAACATACATATAGATGATACAAGGAGAGATGTAGAAAAGAGTAAAGTACCGATGACGAAGACGACAGTGGAGATCGGTCGACGACTCTCCGATTGAGCAAGCTCGGCTTTCTCGATGTCAGTTGATCCATCCCCATGAGGAGCCATAGCTCTTCCGATTCTCGCCGCGTTTGCTTGATTTCCCAGGAAAATCCGAGAGAATCGGGGAAGAAACGGCACCAAATTCCGTCCTGCGAATACCGATGCTTATTCCTTTTTGCGTTACCAGGAGCAACTCAAAGGTAAATACCAAAATTTAGTTCCTGTGCGCTACATTAGTTTTTTACTGTGACCAAAAAGAAATTACAGTAATAAAAAAGTTACAATGTTTAAGTACAAGGATCCTTTTAAATATAATCAAATAAAATTCTGTCAAACAATTACTATGATTTCTTTCATTTTCCTCCATTAGATTCGTCTATTGTCCCTCAATCCTTTTAGCTTTAGACAATCAATATATTGCAATCAACATGGCCTTCTCCATCGAAAACATATCAAGTTATCGACTTAAGTGTAGAAAAAACCCCCGATAAAATCTAATAGTATCAATTTCGTGAGTGAAAAGATTATTGGCGTGCATTTAATTTCGTTTAAAAGTAATTAACATACATGATTTAAAACAAAATAAAACAGAAAAAACATTGCATCCCCATGATGAAAAAAAAGAAGAAGACATGATAGCATAATCACCACTCTCCCATACGAGGAAACCACAAACTTTGAAACGGTTCAGTATAAAGAGAGAAACCCCATTTCTTTTTATTAAATCATATCCAAAAGAAATGAAGAGGGCTTTTCTTATACATTCAAAAGTAAGATGGGTTTCCTCAAATATCTAAAACTTAATTTGGGGAGGGGGATCATGAGGGTAAAAACTCCAAAACCATAGCTTTTTTTTTTTTTTTTTTGTTGCTGTTTCTCCCCACCATTTAAGCGACTAGAATTAATCAGAACGCTCCTCTGTTTCAGGCAGAGGCAGCGGCAGAAAGGTGTCGGAGGTGAGCGGCTCGTGAACCACCGAGTTACACGAGACCGATATCGGATTACCCTCAAGCTGCAACATTATACTTCCCAATATCTCCGCCATTGTTTTCTTAAACTCTTCTTCCTTCACCATCTTTCCATCATCCCCATTCACCATATTCAACGCTTCCTTTATTATATCATCCATCTTTACACAAAACACATTTAACTAAATCAATGTCATTGAATCAAAAACCAGTGACAAATTACGTTACATGACCCATGCGCAATGATGTCACAAGTCCAAACCGAAAATATAGGTCCATATTTTCATAGAAAAAACAAAACCATTGACGATAAAGATCTACTGACTAGTTTCAACTTTTAATTGTAATTTTTTTATTTGCGTTTTTCATGATTGCATGTTATTTTTTTTTTTTTAAAAGACAATATTTTAGCATTTAGAAGACGACTTGCGTAAGTTTACAAACTGATACAAAAAAAAAGAAGTTAAAAACATTTACCACTTAAAGCAAGAACTCAATAAAACATTACTTGTGGTGATTTTTTCGAAAAGTATACAGAAACAAAATATTATAAAACATGACATGCAACCATTAAATGTTTATGCAAACGCAAACAAAAAAATCGAAAAGCCAAAGATATGCGGGTAGTTAATTTATTGTTTATAAATATATACCTGGGACACTGCACCTATTGGTGGTAAAGTCGCCGATGGCGCAACAGTGTCGAGCACAGCTCGTAGATACTCTTTAGACACCTTACCGTGACGGTCTTTTGGAATTATCTCCAATGCAACGTTTAACGCCTGCGACCAATTAAAAATCCCGGGCCAGGATCACTTGTGACGACTCGTTATCATCATATCTAGACTTCTCTTCTTGTACTATATATACCTTAGGCTTGCTAACACATTATATATATGTCTGAAAGTTTTTACCTTATCGAATTCGAATTTATTGGACAGGAGCCTCCTGATACCGCTCCCATCGAAAGTGTTTTCGCTGTGAGCGACGATCACGGGCTGTTCATTAAGACGTTGAGCCACTCTTTCCACGACACTCTTGAATGCTTCCAAGAATCTCTCCTGAGACAAGCTCTTCTCTCTCTTATCTTCTTCAACAAGACAAGAATCAACGATTGGTTCTACGATGTTGTTCATTACCTGAAACAAGAACTTGGCTTTTTAGACAAGGTCATGACTGGTCGCTAGCAAACATATAACATCACACACGAACTTGGACATATAACTTTGATTGGATAAAGCACGCACCCATGGATCGCTGGAAGGAGGCATTCCATGATCAACAGATAGAGACTGGAGAGCTTTGACGATACAATCACGGAGCGATGATGTTGCTTCCTCGCTACTGGAGAGGTCCGAGAAGTAGACGGATACCATCTCAGATTCGTATCCAGGTCTGTGGATAAACTCCGACAGATCCTCACCGTCCATCCTGAGGATAACGATGGGATCGCGTTTCAGACCAGCAGCCATACCCAACAAAATATCTGACAACACTTCTTTGAACTCTGTCTTGCTCACTTTCGATTGGCTTCCATGAGTGAATTCGTTTAAGACCTGTAATAGTTTTAGTATAACGTTACAAATGATGAAAATAAAATGTACGGATGAGACAGATAGAAGGTTGTTGGTTTAGTTTCGTTGTCTCTTCTTTAAATGAACCATAAACAAAACCTAACGATAAGTAAGTGGATATTAGTTTGTATCCAATCAGAGAAAGGTTCGTATTCGGATTTACTTGCTTATTGGATATTTGTTCAAGAAGCGAATCTTAATAATTTTAACTACGAATTACACGTTTGTGTATTTATTCGAAGTCGTCTTGGTCTAATTGGTTAATCCACGTGATTCATGCGAAACACGAAGAAGGTTCAGCGTATTGAGTGAATGTAATTTCAAGTTTCCAGCTAAAATTACATTAAAAGTTTACCTTCTTTTTCTTGCTTCACACCAAGAGTCTTTGTCAAAGGGAAAAAGGTCTTTGTATTTATTTATTTTTTTGTTTGGGTGTGTTTTTTTATTCAATGCTTGAAATACAGGGGACGGTGATTTCTTCATAAATATGCTATAAATAAGGGTTTTCGTTAGTAAAATAAACACAAAAATTGGATAGATATTGTGTGTAAATGATAACGTCGACATATAAATTAGCAAAACAGCCAGTAAATTAATGTTTTATACAGTAATAATCAATAATAAGTAGGTGAGGAATTGAGGATTCATAAAGCGACATTTCAAGCATGAGACGACAGCGAGAAGAGCGACACGAGGGGCTAATTTGAGATATGATAGAGGATAAGGTCACCGACCAAATCTAAAATTATCATTTATTTTAAAGAACTGGTTTTTTTTTTTTTTTTACCTATCTCTCTCTAAAGGAAATAGAATGAATACACTAGACCTACGCAAGTATCAAAAAGATAACTTAAATAAAGTAAAATGTTGAGATTCTTTCTTAGCTTTGTCGGTAATATAATTACGCATTCGTGTTTTCTTTAACATATTTTATCTTTTAAGTTTATAGGCATACTCTAACTGACCATTCCACGATCATAAAAACCTGTCCATTTTCTCAGAACTATAGATAAAATATATGAAGTCACATAGATATTTTCTTAATCAATAATATTAAATCTACTACTGAGCCTGCATTTGTCCTTAAAAAAATAATTGTCTAGGTATGATAATTTGATGATAAAGAAACAATTAAGATGCTAACAAATCTAAGTAGTAAGCGGCCCCAGAAAAAGAAAATTTTCTTACTAGTATAAAAGTACGCGATAATCGGATATAAAAAAATAACACGATGAAACTACAAACAAATGTAAAGATCAGCAATATAGAGCGGAAAAGAAAAAAAGAAATACTAAATCAATGCGAGCTATGTGCAGTTAGTCGTCGGACCATATATCATGAATATTTTTTTGTTGGTTAAATATATCATGAATATTGAAGCTTAATAAACCAAAAAAAAAGTGATCACCTCGGAGTAGATATGATCGGAATCAGCGGAAGTGCCCTGAGCAGGCAAACCAAGGGCGGCGCCGATATCAGCAACGGCGGGCTGTAACTCCGTCACGGAGAGCTTACCATCTTCGTCTTGATCTAACTGTTGAAACTTTTGTTCCACAAATTTGTCGAACACTTTCTCGTTTTCGACCAGCTCTACTATGTCCGACCCATCAAGTACTTGCTGCTGTTGTTGCTGGTGGTTGTTGCTTATCATGTCCATTTATGGAATCTACGCTTCTTCTTTCTTTTTCTTTTAACTTTTTTAGTCGCGAGTCTCTTGTGAGAGATCTCGTGAGGGAAGCACGAGAAAAGGAAGAGCAGAAAATTGACACACACGAAAAGAAAACCTCTTTTTTTTTTTCTTTTCTGAAACCCAAGTGTGTTGTGGTCTGGTTTGGTTCAGACTTGCATGTTCTTTATACGTGTATAACGATGAGAAAAAAATACTCCAGTTGTTAATTACTACTTGTTAATTGAAAAATTCTAATACTACAGTATATTTTAAAAAATTCTTGGTATCGATGACTCTCTTTCATAAAATTTCAATTCATTTATATTTGTGGATTCGTCACCACCAAATATATATTAACCATACATCCCTAGATAGACTATTAACTTTGAAATCGTTTTGTCCTTTTGTTTTCTCCAACTAAGAGTATTAAAACATTTAGATAATATAAAGACGAGAAAAGTCTACACGAAATATACAGAATATATTTTCCTAGAACAACTCAAAAAGATGTTTTTTTTGGTCGACAATAAAAGATGTAAAATATAGTGTGTTGCTCAGAGAATGGATTGTGTTATGATTATCTTTGAAATTTATCATACAACCATCTCTTTTTTTGAATTGTCATATAACCATCTTACCTGAACAAGAAATCATGTTTTTTTTTTGGTCGTGAACAAGAAATCTAATTCAAACAGTTTTTTGCTCGGCCTAAATTCAAGCCTTTTTTTTTCTTTGATATCTCACAATTTGAATGACAAATTAGTGTTATGTAAAAAACTTCTTTCTCAAAAGTTTCTTTTATTTACTTCACTAACCGACAAGAAAATCATAAAGAACACGATGTTTAGTCATAAATTAATGCCGGTGTCATTTTTAATAAATAGTCGGTTCCTTTTTAATGGCTTTTTGAAACTAATTGGCTATACGAAATTTTGAATCCTTTTTTTTCGATAACTTGTAATTAAATATATTAGTTGACAAAAGAATATGATAGCTTCTCCAAACAGGTCCATAAAATAATGAAAATACACAATCGTGACGTATCATTGTAAACAGAGACCGACGAACTAGGCAAACCCAAAAATCAAGAGTGGAACATCGAACAATCAATTGACTATGTGGTCCGTATCACACGGGCAAATAGGTAACATTTGACAATTGTATGAATACATTCCGGCCCTATTATTTATTCGGTTAAAATAAAATATAATCAGTAACCAAGTTATGATATAACCACAAAATGGTTGTGTCGAAGACCCTTTCCGTATGATGAAATCATTGCAAATTATCTGACGGATCTAAATAATCTAACCAGAGCCTCTTACCCTTTAAATCGGTGATGACGTGGCAGGCGTTATGAAAAGTCATGAGGACACTTGTGGATAACTTATCCTTCTGTGTTCTTCCGTCATTGGTCGGCGTCTCTGTGCTGGCGCAATACTTCAAAGACGGTGCCGTTTTACTACCACAAAGTCAAAGCCGACTATACAGTGCGGCTACATATGGATTAGGCTGTCCATTACAAATATTACAAATTTTTATTAATTATAAATGGGAAAAATGTCATTTAAATCATAAATTTTCAAATTTAGGCCATTTTAAACATGAACTTTGAAGTCGGCCATTTAAATCATCAAATGTTGACTTTACGTTTGAGGCATAAAGTTTCGTTGACTCGGCCAAAGTGAGCACAACGTTAAGTCGTGTGACGGTGCGATTTAACATCGTTAAACCAACGTTAATGAGTCTCTGTTAGTCTTAAACGACAGTGTTTGAGCCGAATCTAATAATTCCCAAATCGATTCAAACCCCCAAATCCAACCTCAAATCCCTAAATCCCCAAATTTCTCTACAATCGATTCTCTGAAAATCTTCAATTCGTGTGCCCTAAAAGCCGAAAATGAGAAAGAAGAACATTCCAGTGAGAGTTGCGTCACCGATTCGAGGCGAATTTGTCGGAGATGGAAGTGGAGCTCCATCGCGAGGAACATCAGATACTGTTGTAGGAGATAGAAGTGGATCTCCACCATCAGAGACTGTCGTCGAAGATGAAAGTAGAATTGAACTTGGAAGTCGAGCTCGAGTCGAAACAGATGCTTGTGTCGGGGATGAAAGTGAAGTTCAACCGGTTGTCGGTGAGTCACAGTCTGTTGCCGGAGCTAAAGCTCAACCACGACGTCGGAAAAAAAAACGAAAGTCAAGAATTGAAGAAGAGGGTTCTGAGCGTGAAGTAGAGGCTGACGACGAAGACAACTGTGCAGTGAATGGTGACGATGACTTTGTTGGTGTTGATGATGCAGTCGATGGTGGAGATAATGATGGTAACCTAACTGCTGCGATTGAAGAAGATGCTAATCTGAACATGGAAGATGACTTCGCAAAAGAAATTAGAGCAGAAGATGAAGCTGGTAGTGATTCTGACAGTGGAGATGATATCTGGGAAGAAGATAAGATTCCTGATCCTTTGTCCTCTGATGATGAAGAGCAACTTGAAGACCAAGACGAAGACAATGACACAGAAGTTGTAGCTCATAAAGATGTCGAAGATCCAGAGGTCTTGCTAGCATTGGAGAAGACTTATAACTCTCCTGAAGACTTCAAGCTTGCATTGTTGCAATACTCTTTGAAAACAAGGAGAGACATTAAGCTTTATAGGTCTCAAGCTATGAGGGTTGGTGCGAAGTGTTGCTATGTTGATAATGAAGGTAGGAATTGTCCGTGGAGGGTTTATTGTTCGTATGAGAAGAAGAAGCACAAGATGCAGGTTAGAGTTTATATTAATGAGCATACATGTGTGAGGTCTGGTTATTCGAAGATGTTGAAGCGGTCTACTATTGCAATGTTGTTTGAGGAAAGATTGAGACTCAATCCTAAACTCACAAAATTCGATATTGCTAATGAGATTAAGAGGGAATACAATTTGGAGGTAACTCCAGACCAGTGTGCGAAGGCAAAGACCAAGGTTTTAAGTGCAAGAAAGGCTAGTCATGAATCCCAGTTTGCAAGGATATGGGATTATCAAGCAGAAGTGTTAAACCAGAATGAAGGCTCACAGTTCGATATCGAGACAATTCCAGGAGCAACATTTGGAAGCAGACAGAGGTTTTTTCGCTTATACATTTGTTTTAAATCACAAAATACTAGCTGGAAAGAAACTTGTAGACCCATCGTAGGATTAGATGGAGCTTTTCTGAAATGGGATATAAAAGGTCACCTTCTTGCTGCAGTTGGTAGAGATGGGGATAATAGGATTGTTCCTCTAGCTTGGGCTGTTGTAGAAATAGAAAATGATGATAATTGGGAATGGTTTGTGAAAAAGGTCACAGCAAGTTTGGACCTGCATGATGGATCTAATGTAGCCATCATTTCAGACAAACAAATCGTGAGTCTTAAAGCTTTCTTACTCAATACTCTTAGCTTATGATTAGATTTGTTTGTTTATATACTCTTATGCGTTTTGTTTTCCAGGGTTTAGTTAAGGCTATCCATGGTGTATTGCCACAAGCTGAGCATCGACAATGTGCAAGACACATACTAGAGAATTGGAGAAAAAACAGCCATGATCCAGAACTACAACGCATGTTTTGGAAGATAGCACGCAGCTACACAACAGGAGAGTATCAAGATCGTATGGAAGATCTAAGGAAGTACAATCCTCAAGCTTATGCATCTCTGCAAAAAACTAATCCTCCAAGCTGGTCCAGAGCTTTCTTTAAGATTGGTAGTTGCTGCAATGACAACCTCAACAATCTCAATGAGTCTTTCAATAGGACTATTAGACAAGCCAGGAAGAAACCTTTGCTTGATTTGCTGGAGGATATAAGGAGGCAAACGATGGTCAGAAATGCAAAGAGGTACCTCATTGCTGACAAGATGAAGACAAGGTTCACAAAGAGTGCTCATATTGAGATTGAGAAAATAATTGCTGGTTCTCGACATTGCATCAGATATATGGCTAGGGGCAACATACATGAGATAGATCATCTTGGTGTTGGCTACTCGGTTGATATGAATGAGAGAACGTGTGGTTGTAGAAGGTGGCAGATGGTTGGCATCCCATGTATTCATGCTGCAAGTGTGATAATTGGAAAAAAGGAAAAGGTTGAAGACTACGTCAGTGACTATTACACAAGAATTAGGTGGAAAGAAACTTACAGAGATGGTATTAAACCTTGCCAAGGGATGTCTTTGTGGCCTAGATTGAATCGGCTGCCTGTCGTTCCACCACCATGGAGAAGACACAATCCCGGAAGGCCAAGTAACTACGAGAGGAAGAAAGCCAGAAATGAATCTTCAGCTTCTTCAAATAACACGAAAATGTCAAAGGCTAAGAGAGTTATGACATGCTCCAACTGCAGGGAAGAAGGGCATAATAAGCAAGGATGCAAAAATGCTACTGTGCTTGAAGGTCCAAAGAGGCCAAGAGGTCGACCAAAGAAATATCAGGTTTGTTCTTATGTTTTTGTATGTTTCTGTTTTCTGTTTTGTCTTTTGCGATTGTAGGTTTCTGTTTTTTGTTCTATCTTTTGTTTTTGTATGTTTCTGTTATGACTGAATATACTACTAATTGAATTAGGAGCCTCAAGCTTCTCTTGGATCACAGCCTCAAGCTTCTCTTGGATCACAGCCTCAAGCTCCTCTTGGATCACAGCCTCAAGCTCCTCTTGGATCACAGCCTCAAGCTTCTCATGGATCACAACCTCAAAGTCATGGATCACAACCTCAAAGTCATGGATCGCAGCCTCAAGGTAGTAGAGCACATCCATGTTCGAGATAGGTTATTAGACATGTTGTTGCTTTGTTTTGTGTCATGACTGGTTTGTTGTTGCTTCGTTTTGTGTCATGACTGGTTTGTTGTTGTCTGAACACAAGTTGTTGCTTTATTTTGTGTTATGACTGGTTTGTTGTTGTCTGAACACAAGTTGATATTTAATCATGTTTTTGTTATGTTATGCATATCTTTCTTATTCTCTGATCATTGTCAAAGTTCATTACTAATAATTGTTTTCATTACATAAGACAACAACTTACAATAACAATACATAACTAAGACCAAACTAACTTCAACAGACACAATAAAACTACCGAAGACAAACAACACCAAAGAAGCAATTCAAACCACACGAACAACCATTAGTAACCAATAACAAGTTTATGTTTCTCGGTTTTACCGAACATTAGAATCAAAATGACAATAACTGTCAAACATAGAGCCACCAAACATACTTACATCTCGTTTTGTAGGACATCGGAAGAAAGGTCTCCCTGGGTTTTCTTCGGTGCTTGATGTGTAGATAACGACACCTCGCCCACAATGACACTTCGATGGAAAGCCATGTGATTCTTCCTCAACAATGGAAAAAGACCCAGATTTGCAGCTCATATCTGTAGAAGATGAAGGAATCAGGTTCGCTTTCAGTTAGCTTCGACGAGAAGAAGATGAAATCAGAAAATATCGAGCTTAGAGAAGAAGATGAAATCAGAGGAAATTTGGGGATTTAGGGATTTGAGGTTGGATTTGGGGGTTTGAATCGATTTGGGAATTATTAGATTCGGCTCAAACACTGTCGTTTAAGACTAACAGAGACTCATTAACGTTGGTTTAACGATGTTAAATCGCACCGTCACACGACTTAACGTTGTGCTCACTTTGGTCGAGTCAACGAAACTTTATGCCTCAGACATAAAGTCAACATGAGTTGATGATTTAAATGGCCGACCTCAAAGTTCATGTTTAAAATGGCCTAAATTTGAAAGTTCATGATATAAATGACATTTTTCCCAATTATAAACCTAAAACATTGTCATTATTTTTGCGTCCACCAAAAATATGAATATTTTTTGCAAAGCAGACTAAATTTCGAATTATTCACCTTCCATTCTCTTTGTAGATGTAGATGTAGATGTAGACGTAATAGTTAGAAGTGGGGGGATTTGTTACAATGCACTTTCTTCAATGTAGGATAGATTGATAACAAATCTTAACAAGAAACAAATGTAAAAGGACATAATCCTAATATCTTCCTTTTTGGTACAACTACAAAAAGTGATTATAAAAAGTGACTATACCATCTTTACAAAAGAAGAGGAAAAGCGATCTTAAGATAATCTTCGTTCCACTCCAAGTAGCTTTCACTAGATACGTTATTTGTAATGTATATTTTCGATCTAACTTTTCTTGTATGGGATTTTAAAAGGGCATGTGGGGCAGATCCATATAACACATGCTACATATTACATCGTTTGATTTATAAGTAATATCAGAAATTTAGACTGTGAAAAAGGCAAAATATATAAGTATATGTGTATGTGTGTGTGTGTCCTTTTAGTTTTGGTGAGAAAGGGGTGGCCGTGGATAAGAAGATTGCATATGACTTTGCACGTGAATTTTTTTTTTCGTAAAAGGTTTGCATGCATTCGAATAATTTTGGAAGAACAATGAATCTAAGAACAAAATAACGTCGGCGAGTTGAGAATTTGGTACTCACATTGAGTTTAAATTGCAGCTGGAGCAAGAGCAACCCTTTCAAGAAAGAGGAAAATAATTAGGTACCAATCTGTAATATTACAAACTGAGATTATAAGGAAAAATGTCTTCATTTACGGTATAAGTAAACTTTCATCTAATCTAAAGATAACTCCAAAAGGCTTCAACACCAACATGGCTTTCTTGCAGTGTATGTTGGGGAAAGCCATAGGGAAAGATATGTAGTGCCAGTTACATACTTGAACCAGCTTTCATTTCAAGCTTAATTTGTTGAGTAAGTCGGAAAAAGAGTTTGGTTTTGAGCATCCGATGGGCGGCTTGAACATCCCTTGTCCTGAAGATACATTAATCGCTATCACTTCTCAGCTTCATTAGAGAGATCCTATTCAGATCACACATACATGAAACATTTTTTAAGTCATTAGATTTAAAAGATTTTTTAGAACCCTTTGTATATTAATTACACTCGGTTAATGTCTCTTTCTTGTTGAAAACGTTGTTCTGGAGAAGAGAAATTGAATGTAGATTACATTTTTTTTGCTTACGAACTTTTGTTTAGTACAAAATTTTACTCTCTCTTTTTTTTTCTATTTGATTTCTTTGGGTCAAAGTATATAAATACTACAAGTCGAACATAAAATCAAATCAATATAATATATACGTGCCATCCGGCATCCGCTCCATGACGTTGACACAGACAAATCGAATCGATAAACAATCTCATAAATTCTATGAACTATTGTCGCAATTCATAACAGCCTAGCTTACAATAAACAAGAAATAAAAGAAATAAAAAACTCCAAGAAATGAACCGAGTCAAGGTCAACGCCTCATGGCGTGTTATCTCCATTCTAACAATCTTAGACAAATGATTAACAGAAATGACCCAAATGTTGTCTCTGATTCTTCCTCTGATCTCACTCTTAACCGTAATCCAATGCCTCAACGTCGTTAAGTCGCAACCGGTGCGGTTAAACCAAATCTGCTCAAACGTCACAGGCAACTTTACTGTTAACAGCCCTTACGCCGTCAACCTCGATCGTCTTATCTCCTCTCTATCATCTCTCCGGCAGAAAGATAACGGATTTTCCAAAATTTTACTCGGAGACTCCGATGGAAAAGTCAACTCAATCTCACAATGTAGAGGCGATGTCAAACCTGAAGAGTGCATCAACTGTATCGCAATGGCTGGAAAAAGAATTGTCACATTGTGTCCGGTTCACAAAGAGGCGGTTATCTGGTACGACAAATGTACGTTTAGGTACTCAAACCGGACGCTTTTCAACAGATTGGAGATTTTCCCTCAAACAAGCATAACCGGGACGAGAAACTTCACCGGAGATCGCGATGGTTGGGAGAAATCACTAAGGGGTTTACTCGAAGGGCTTAAAGGCAGAGCATCCGTGATTGGCCGGAGAAAGAAGAATTTTGTCGTCGGAGAAACGAGTGGGCCATCGTTTCAGACATTGTACGGTCTGGTTCAGTGCACGCCGGATATTTCGGAGGAGGATTGTTCGTATTGTCTGTCTCAGGGTATTGCAAAAATTCCGAGCTGTTGTGATATGAAAATGGGTAGTTATGTGTTGTCTCCTAGCTGTGTGGTGGCTTATGCTCCATGGAGGTTCTATGATCCAGTGGACATTGATGAGCCAAGCTCAGTGCCTACGACGCCATCACAGCCTCCAACGAATGAGACGAGAAGTGTTGCACAAGGTGGTATGTCTCTTGAAATGGATTTGAAAGTTTTGAAACCTGAAGATTTAAATCAGAGTGTAGAGCATGTTGTAATTTACCAATGAGGAGATTTTTAGTTTGTTACAGTAAGACAAAATGTTAGGTAATAACCATGTGTTTTGTTTCTTGTGCAGGGGATAAAAACAGAGGTGTACCTAAAGCTTTGATCTTTTCGGCTGTTTCAGTTGCTGTTGTTGTCTTATTTATCATATTATTAGTCGTATTCCTAAGGTCGAGGAATAAGAAAAATAAGAGGAAGACAAATAATGATGAACGAAAACTTGAAGGTAAGCTAAAAAATAGATGATGATTATTGATGTGCTCTGTTTACTCTGTTTTATTCTTCTTCTGGTTTTCCTCTGTTCTTCCTTGTTTTCTCTGTTTTTGTCATTTGCTGTGATTTTCAGCATGAATTCTTTCTAACCTGGATTTTTTTTTTCTTGTCATACATATGAAGATATTGGCACAGATTCCATGAGATTTGATTTCACTATGTTGAAAGATGCGACAAGTCAGTTTTCACTCCAAAACAAACTTGGAGAAGGTGGATTCGGAGCAGTTTATAAGGTGTTCTTAGAGGAAGAAACTATTATCATATGCATTTTACTAAAGCTAGGGATCATCATCAACTTTTTTGTTTGGAATGTGTTATCATTAGGGTGTGCTTTCTGATGGACAAGAAATAGCGGTGAAAAGGTTGTCGAAAAATGCACAGCAAGGTGAAACTGAATTCAAGAACGAGTTCTTATTGGTGGCAAAGCTTCAACATCGTAATCTCGTCAAGCTCTTAGGTTACTCAATACAAGGAACTGAAAGGCTTCTCGTCTATGAGTTCCTCTCACACACCAGTCTCAACAAGTTCATCTTTGGTGCCAAATTTCTTTCACTTTCACCTACTTCTCGGAAATCATTCTACAGCTCTTTTTGGGTTTATCATGTTCTCACGTGTGTGAGTATTTTGTACAGATCCGATCCAGGGTAAGGAATTGGATTGGGAAACTAGATACAAAATTATTGGAGGTGTAGCTCGAGGACTTCTTTATCTTCATCAAGATTCTCGTCTCCGGATAATTCACCGTGATCTTAAAGCTAGTAACATATTGTTAGATGAGGAGATGACCCCTAAAATCGCAGATTTTGGAATGGCTAGGCTATTTGATATCGACCACACGACTCAACGCTACACGAATAGGATCGTTGGGACTTTGTAAGTAGCAAAAAATTAACGTTCATTTTATACAAATCCATATATACTGTACTAGATTTTGATCAGTCATTTGTTTTAAACAGTGGATACATGGCTCCAGAGTATGTAATGCACGGACAGTTCTCGTTTAAGACAGATGTTTACAGCTTCGGAGTATTGATCCTTGAGATCATCAGTGGTAAGAAAAACAGTTGTTTCAGCAATGAGGATAGCATGGAGGATCTCCTTAGCTTCGTAAGTATACTATATATATGAAAAACCATTGAACTTTTTTTTTCTTTGGGTTGCAAACCCACCATCGAACTTTGATCAATGATATGTTAACTAACACACATGAGTTCTAATGGTTTGGTGAAGGCATGGAGAAATTGGAAGGAAGGCGTTGCTTTGAATCTTGTGGACAAGATTTTGATGACAATGTCAAGTTATTCATCGAATATGATCTTGAGATGCATAAACATTGGTCTTCTTTGTGTCCAGGAGAAAGTTGCAGAGAGGCCAAGCATGGCTTCGGTTCTTCTGATGTTAGATGGACATACTCTTGCTCTTTCAGAGCCTTCAAAGCCTGCGTTTTTCACACACAGCAACATGGTATCGGATACTTCTTCTTCTTTAGGACATATTGCAAAAACTTCAAATTATAATTCCAACACTGAGTTGTATCCTCGGTGAGTTTGTCTGACAAAACTGAAATTAGATTTCTCTGACTAAATGATGAATCATGGAGTTTGATTAGATCTGAGTCAACTCACTTTAAGTGAGGAAAAAGAGTGTTACAAGTCTCTGTTTCACTTTCAAGGAGAGGTGTCATCTCATCTCTTGAAGAAAACTAATGGGGATAAAAAAAAAAATGTACAAAATCAATGAAAAAAAGGTTATTTGAGTGAGTCATTATCAGTTGAGGCGAGAAGCAAGATCCATAAAGATTTCTTCGCTGCAAGGAATTGTGAGGCCACCCATTGGATGATGAAATCCAAACTGTTCCTCGGCCTTTCTTAGTAGATCTTGAAATGAAGGTTGGTTCAAGTACGAAATGGGAACTACAAATCTCTTCATCTTTGTTTCTCCTACGTAAACCGCCAAGTAGCCTTTTGGAACATCAAGAGAGCTAGAGGAAGAAGATGAGAACAGCTTCGCTTGACGGAGAATCTGCTTGGATGATTGCAGCACACGAGGAACCCTGATCGCCATGGATTGTCTTGTGTGTTTCTTGAATTCAAAGTTTAATGCTTTGCTCTAGCTAAGATGTGAGAACTTGCAAGGCTTAATAGACCCAATGATGAGTATATATAGATAAGAGCACTATTTGAAGATAACCTTTTATTGGTTTACAGACGTTTCAGCTCAATTTTACATTCAACTTTTAAAAGAAAAAAAAAAAAGAAGAAGTTTCAGCTCATAAATCAACACCAACAAGCACATGGCTTTGCCGGACCACGGCATGATATGTAAGGGACCTCTAGTGATCAGCTTCATGATTTCTGATGTGAAGACAGAAATCAACATGACCACTCGTTAGTTAGATAGACATTATAACTAGTCAAAATTTCAATTCTTGCCACAGAAATATTGAAAGCTTTTGTGACTTTGTCTCTATGTAATCAAGTCATGTGGTCCTGTCTTTTTGATATCATTGAGAAGAAGTTACGGCTTAATCAGTGATAGAGACTTATGGTTCTTTAGGTACACAACTTCAGGTCCCTACATAATCTGTAGAGAGATTTGGCATGTGATGTCCTTGAGACAATAAGCCCCCATGAAGCCATCATGTAGGACATCATTAGACACTAACTTCTCAGACACCATTTATTGATTTGTTCTTGGTTTAGTATCTTGAATCCAAAGCCATGTGCTACTGCAATGGAACCCTCCCAAAAGATTATCTGATCCCTAATTTCTTTCATAATTTCGTTTATATAAACACGTAACGGATAACCTTTATGATTCACAAACATAAAAAATATTCAAAACGTTAATAATTCTCAAGCTTAATTTTTGCAAGAATAAGAAACGCTTGTAGCTTAATAATACCCATCAAGCTTCAAGAAAACATAACAAAAATGGCATTTTTGAGAAGTTTCTTGGGTGGTAAGCAAATCATGCGGAGGGAATCACCTTCGACACCAAGAGGATTCATGGCGGTCTATGTTGGAGAGAATGATCAGAAGAAGAAGAGATACGTTGTGCCGGTTTCATACTTGAATCAGCCATTGTTTCAAGAATTGTTGAGTAAATCGGAGGAAGAGTTTGGGTTTGATCATCCTATGGGCGGCTTAACCATACCATGCCATGAATCTTTGTTCTTCACCGTCACATCTCAGATTCGATGAATTTCAACAACATTCCTTTTTGTTTTTAGTAGAAATTGTTATTTGAACCAATCTTCAATGTAAATATAGGAGTGATAGACACTTTCCCCTGGAAATAATTGTAAATTGTTTCAATGAGTGGAATATTCGTTCATACATGATTACAGAATCAGTATATGTATGTGTTTCCTGATACATTTGTCTCATTTACCTCTGGACAGCAAACATTTGGATTTCATCGAGATTTGCACTTATATCATAGTTTGTGGTAGTAATTTCCCATTTCTCTTTTATAAAAGAAAAACAAACACGGTGCTTGTCTTTTTCATTTGAGAACGTAATTAAACACTTCAAACGTTTTGATTTTTATCTATAATTAAAATAGTTAATATATATGTATTGGATCTGTGTCATTTTAAACATTTCTTCAATGTGGTTTTGATATGTTATATATATATATATATATATATACATATATATTTCGAAAACATAGCGATTCTTAGTTTTCTAAAAAAAATGTTTTTGTATTTCCAAACAATTCGATTATAAGTACCCATTTTTTTATTCCATCCAACTAAATAAGTTACTCTTCGCGTTAGTGAGGTGAGGAACTGAGGATGATAGAAATGAGACAACTCGGAGATGATTTTTTTCTTCCTTCGTATAAATTTAAACAATCTTAAATTATGAAAGCCATCATAATTATATAGGCCCACATCTTTTAAAATAGAAGCCCAAGCCCATAATCAAACGCTTGTATCTGCGCCACGCGCTCTTCAAGCATTTAATATAATAGATGCGCGTGGGGGAAGTTAACACCGTTTCTCACTTTCTTTGTTTCCATTATAATTCAATTTTTGGTACATCATTTTCGCCCTTTCTGTCAGTTAAACGCTTGTTTTTCTTCCAACACCGACCGTTAGTTGTGTCACTTGAGACGTGGAAAAAAGGGCAAACCTGCCCGGACTTAGATTATATTCTTTTGAGTTTTGAATAATTTTTTTTTGTTCTTTATTCACGTCTGATTTTTTTATTTTAAACATAAGTCTGACTAATTAAGTAATGATATATATGCTTCAAATTAATATGGTACCTCACATGCCAAATTAAGTAGGAATGCGACCTCAAAACCCTACCTCAATTCCCATTTAGTAGATAAATTAATCGATGGCTTAAGAAAACTTAGTCCTATCCTTTGCCGTCTCGATCGTTTTCTCTAGGTGCCACTCTGTTTTTTTCTTTTCCTGATGTTGCCCTTTTGAAATTCAACTGTTGATCATCGTACAAGAAAAATTAGCCAATCTGATCTCATAATTTCTTGTCTTTTCTGGGTCCAAATTGTCGTGCAGGCCATGTGATGAAAAGACCATACATTTCACTTCAGATCTTGCCACCTATATTTTTCTTGACTTTATAAACAATGCTCATGGTTTCTCTTTCACGTTTATATAGAAACTAGATTCAATCACTTCCTAAACGAAATATACATCCAACTTTCTAATGGGTTTTTGTTTATATTTGATTTGACACAACTTTTGAGTAAATATATGCACTAAAACTGTTGTTTGAACAGAACTGTCTACGTTTCTGAAGCTTTGAAAAAAAAGGTATTCACTTAAATGGGTTAATCGAACATATTTCAGATTTTTAGAGTTTTATTTGAGAAAAACAGAAAGAAAGAGTGTGTTTTGAACAAGCTAGCTATAACTCTGCTTTCTTCGGACAAAGAAGAAAGCTCCTCTGTTTTAGTTTTGGAAGAAAAAAAAGTAGCAGAGTTGTTGTACAAACAGGACAGTTTTCAAGGGGTTCTGATTTCTGGCCGTGAAAGTAGAAAATAGAGATTCAGGAATTTCCTAAATTGAGCAGACAAATTCAAGTCAAGAGAAAATCTGTAATAAAGAAGGGTGCATTGCTCTGTAAAAACGGAAAGTTGTACAAAAGAGGACAGTTTTAGGGAAGAGTAACATGGGGCTTTCATGTGCTTGGTCGAGACGAGAGACATGTCCTTTTCAGCCCGTAAGGCGAAACTGTCCTTTGAAAGATTCGTAAAATTTCTCCCTAATCCTCTTCTCCTTTATTCACTGAAATTTTCCCAACAATTCTCGTTCGCAGAACATGCTAGCCTCTCTCCCTGACAACGACCCCAAACTCTCTTCTCTCTCTCTCTCCATTTTTTGTGGTAGCTAAGAGGAAAAAATAAAACAGGATTCCACATTATTCTGATTCACTTGTTCGTTGATGTGATAGATTTCGGATGCAACTCACAAGAATCAACTCGAGATCGAAGATTAACCTTTGCAGAGTTGCAGAGTTGCTGAACTGCGTGTGCTACACGTAACTATCTGATTTTTAGGGCTTAGAACAATCCATTGCTTAAACAGAGTAAAAATATTATACAAGGTATATTGCTCTAAATGACCATGACCATTTTTTTAAGTTAGGTACATGACTGAATTTTTGTATTTACAATAAAAAAACTCAAAAATACAAAATACCAAACCTTTCATTTGTTAATATAGCACCTCATATAAGAAAAAATATAAAGTCATTCGCTTAATTGACTATTTAGTTATAGTCTGAATTTATGTCCGGCGCCATGGACTAGAAAGAGGAACATCACAAGTTAAGAAAGATGGGAAGCTTGAGATTCGAAAGACTTAACATGTTCTTTGTCCCTAACCTTTTACGACCAGAAACAAAGATCTAATAAATGCCCATTGTCTATAAGCTTATAACTATCGAACATGGTCAAAAGTATTGTATACAAATACGGTCACTTGCAGACAAGCTTCGATGCGAATCTTACTCAAGTTTTTGGATTTTTTTTTTGTAAGCATTTGTTACAATGCGCTCTCTCAAATAGATATTTTGTGTCCAAATGGTTGTAATTAAATAGTTCTGTTTGTTGGTCAAGACGATTAGACGATTGATTTCTATTCGTTGCATTTTTGGTTATTTTGGAGTTCATCACATGACAGTTGTGAATTTAGAAATTTGTCTAACCTTAGGTCCTAATAAAATCCGGCTAAATAAACACATCTATTGCAATTTATATGGTACGTAGCTTCAAATCTCATGATTAGCCTATTTTAGGTTTAATAGATCTAGTTTCGATTAAAAAATAAAATATTTTTGTAACAAAAGAAAGGTAAAATGTTTTAATAGATCTCAATTCTAGCCCGGTGATATCATTTTGTTGGTGTAGACAATGTATTAGTTCTCATTGTCTACATTTTTTGTCCACTTTAGAGTTTACATAGTGGCTGCTCGTGTATGATTAGTCAGAATCTAATTACCTACGATCGTATATGAAGATTGAACAATAAGAAAGTTCTCATAAACTAGATCGAGGTAACTAACAAATGCATGCTTTCAACTACAGATCGATACGTAACCAAATGGATTAAGGAGTACATATAATTTGTACTTATAGTACATGTTTATATACCTCTTCGTACGTAATTATGAAATATAGTTACCACATTGATATTTTTCCGTATTTATGATAATAACCCATGTAAGAGAGAGAAGAGGGACCATTGTGTCTTGGGGAGGACCAACAATGAAATTAAATCCCAATGGGTTTGGATCCCACACTGTCACATGCGTCTCTATATCCCTCCTCCAGCTTTTCTTCTGCTCCTTAAAAATAAAATTCTATATGCATATATATCTATATATATCAACAATTATATATATTACATATCATTACAATATTACTAGTTCTCCATAATATGCATGTGAATATTGGAATAGATTTATTAATCTTTAAAACATCTAAATTACCTCATCTTCCTTCTTAAAACAGAATACATGCTTATCAGTTTTTCTAAATAAAGTAATAGTTTCTATTTTGTTTGTTTTTGCAGATATGATAATCTCTTCAAACAGTTAGGGGGTTTACTGAATTTCATTCGAAATGTAGAAGAGTCTTACAAGACGGCACTAACCAAATTTTTAGATTATTGATAATCATTTGATCATATATTAATATTAAATCAGTTTTAGATAATCAAGAAATTTAAAATAATACTGTTGCTTTAGCATCCTATCCTCATCCTCCTTCCATAAATAACCCCTTTGGCCACCTCCCTCTCATCAAAAACAATTCTCCTTTCTTCTTTCAAACTTTCTCATCACTCTCTCACTCTCATAAAGAAATTAAAAGACACTAAAATCAAACAATGGCGGTAAAGAGATCCTCTAAGCTAACACAAACAGCAATGCTAAAGCAAATACTTAAGAGATGCTCGAGCTTAGGCAAGAAACAATGCTATGACGAGGAAGGTCTCCCTCTTGACGTACCAAAGGGACATTTTCCGGTTTATGTAGGCGAAAAGCGTACGAGGTACATCGTACCAATTTCCTTCTTGTCTCATCCCGAATTTCTTATTCTTCTTCAACAAGCAGAGGAAGAGTTCGGTTTCCACCACGACATGGGAGGACTCACTATCCCTTGCGAAGAAGTCGTTTTTCTCTCTCTAACATCCATGATCAGATGACATGTAGAGAGTTTACATTATGATATATTTATGAGGACTATGATTCTTTTCTTTTTTTGCCTTTGGATAAAGATTTGTTATCCAAATGGTTTTCTTTTTCCCGGACTGAAACCTGTAAGATCCACCTAAAAGATCACTCTCTACATGGATCATGTAAATCTCGGGTTTTTAGTTCGTTAATTCGCCCTAAGTGGGGTTAGTATTCGATGGAACATTGTTTTTTTTTTTTTTTTTTTTATGAGCTGATAAGTGGTGGCTTGGCTAATAGATGATTATTTTAGGTTGGAATCTTATGATCATTCGAGTTCTTTGAAACTAAGAGATGTTCGATTTTTGTATGAGTCTTTGTATGGTTTTCTTCACGGATGTAAGTACGTTTTGAATTGTATGCGCGTGATGTATTAATTAAAATTTCCATCCTATTGAATTTCCCCCCTATAATTATATGTCTGAACATAATATAACAATATATTATCCACGAGAAACAACAAATAAATCGATCCAATCCGTAGCACAAAAGATTATCATAGACGACTCAATCTTCAAAAGATTGAGCTTCCGCAAAAAAGAAAAGAGTAAATCCGCATTGGACAAAAAGAATAACATCTGTTAGAGTTGAAACGCCAGACCTTACCAATCTAAGCAATTGTTTTATTTTTTCTAAATTAGGTTTTAATCCGACTTTGAGTATTGACTTATAAAATATAGTTCGCAGACAGATTTTGAGTCGATTACTTCTTTAGGTGAAGCAAAAGCATATTTGTCTCTAGTAATAATAAGTTGGAATTAACTTATTGCATTTAAGTTTTTAATATGTTTTTTTATATATATAAATTGAATGCACTTACTCTTCTCTCTTTTCCTTTTCCTACGAGCCACAAATCGTATATGATAGCAACTACTCTTCTTAATGCTCATACCTTTTTCTTCGCCTACATACTTTTAATTTACTCGCTCTCAAGAATATCTTTTGGCTCATACCAATTTTTATGTTTGGAATAAATTGCATCCACAAGTACCAATAATATCTATCTTGCCTCATCATTTATATATATATATATATAGAAATAGATATATAATGTTTATTAGTCGAATACACAAAATAATCAAAAATGTACGTTGATTGTAATATGTACACACAACAAACCAAATTATTAAAGGAGTCACAACTTACAAGTGGCTAAATTAAACCATGAACTTTGAGTATACCCGGAATTTGAATCACCGTCATAATAAAACTTAGTAAGTATTATGAGAATTAGCACTCATAATAACGGTTATATACAGCAAATTCTTGTACTGTATTATTATAATATCATAAAACTAAAACACCAATAAAAACGTGCGAATAAATGATCATTTTCATGGAGTAATACATCTCACACATGTTCATTATCGAAAATGTAACGAGAGGATCCAACGTATACGAAGATTGATGATTAGCCGTCAAAAAAAAAAAGGACTGCTGATTTTAATATTTTTTTCGGAAGCTGTTAATTAATAGCTGTGTTTAGTGAGACATGCCTTAAAACTACAAACGCTAAAGCAGTAAGGAAATGGAATTCCTATGATTTTCCTAAAAAGGAACATAACATTGACATGATCGAGTTAAATATTAAATTGAAGGTCAACATGAAAGTGAATTAGAGTACGGCCTTGAATAGAAGGACATATATAATAGAAGACGCTATTTTTCTATCATATGATCTATCATTGTACTGGGATTAAAAAAAAAAATCAAAATAAGTGTGTATGGTTTCCCTTCAAATTAATAAGCTCATAGACAATGATTATAAGAAAAAAACCATTCACGTAGTGATACGTAAATACAATATATATGAATGAAGGGATGAAAAGAAGAAAAAGCCAAGAGGTATGGATCTCAATCTCTATTGGATGAGTAAATTACAAAAAGAAGAATCTCTCTCTTTCTCTATATATATATATATATTGTCCCTTTCCGTACGAATTATCTTTTTCTAAGAAAATTCTTGGAAGCTGCATTTGTTGTCATTCGTCAATTCCCACTGACTAGTTTCACCCTTTGTTTTTCGATAAATATTTCAAGTCTTTTTTTTGTATCTCAGTTTTTTTTTTTAATGAAAATTTCAAGTCTTTGATCCATACTATTTTAATACCTTGTCGATCGGAATTTGAGCGAGTAATTTGAATTTTTTTGATATATAAACAGAATGCAATTAAAAAAAAATTGTTTAAAGATATTAAATATAAATTTGATGATCCTCACAGTTTCAGACAATTTTTGAATGAGATTGCTCTGTTACAGAAGATGTGGATGAATCAGCCGTTTTCAGCTCGGTCATAAGCGTTGGATTTGTGCTTGGGGGCAAACGTGAAGCCTTCCGGAACCTTTCCAAGCAGCAATTCCGATATCCGCACCTGCGCGTTGTAACATTTAAGGGATCAAACTTGAGAGTTCATCATATACAGTATATAGTCCAAAGTAAGAAGGCGTAATGAAGGAGAAGCAAAAGTTACGCACCCAGTCACCCGCAGATTCAGACATCATGAGTGTCTCGAGATCATCACGACCAAAGTAAGAAGGCGGACGCCAGTTGATTTGCTGCGGGATCACATCAAGCAAACCTACAGGTATGTACCTAAACGTGTAGCTTAGCCACTCCAGCAAGAAGTGCCTCGTTGTCTCGACTCCTGTTTAATAATAAACGGCAGAGCTTTAGCCACAAGGGCAAGAGCAAATCAGCAATATTCCGTGCCGTAATTTTCTAACCTTTTGTGTCGGATCCCCAATGTTGAAGACCAAAACGTACGAAGTCTTTCAAGATGTTAAGTCTTTCCCCAGAGGTAATGTCCCAGTGCCGTTGCTCTTTGATTTCAGTAAATATCCAAGGCTGCACAAGTCAAAAAGCCCATTGAGACATAATATAGAATGCTTTACTAGGGAGGGGAAGGCTTCATAGCATTTGGTCATACACACACACACACCTTGATCAATGCTCCACGAGCTATCATGCAGCTAGACAACTCAGGACAGTCAGACTTGTGTTTGTTCCAGTCTAAATAAGAGTACACATCTCCATTTCCTATAACTTGTAGATTAGAGGAAGCGTTTTTGGTACACCGGTATATATAGTCCCAATCCGCAGACTTGCTATAACGTTGCTGTCTTGACCGCCCATGAATCGTCACCGCAGTGGCTCCCCAGTTCCCAATATCCGATATTAATGAATCTATCCGGTTCTTACCCTCAAAAAACGCTGTGCGTACCTGGCACCCAAAAGGACAAGGCAGGTAAAGAGTTGTTAACATACATACACATTTACATCCACAAATGTTCCAGTACCATAGGGAAAGCAGATTTAGTTTCTGATTTGCATGTAACCGACTATGATATATGCTAGAGGCAGACCTTGATAGTGATTGGTGTTTCAACAATGGAAGAAGAGACTTCCACGATGTTCTTCATTCGTGTAGGTTTGTTGAGAAGAGCTGAACCAGCACTTTTGTTAACAACCATATCTATCGGGCAACCCATGTTGATGTCTATGAAATCAACCGTGCATTCTCGATCTATAAGCTCAACCGCACGCGACACCGTATCAGGAAAAGAACCGCAAATCTGAACACCAAACATATCTTCCGATGAATGCCGTCTAAGCAGAGCCCATTCCGAAGCTTGGCCCTATAGTAAGATTTATGCAGGTTTTCACTTTATTTCAAAAAAAAAATGTTTTATCATGTATCTGGCCACATAGCCTTTGTGGGCTAACCTGCAAAAGATTTGTGCACATCGCCATCTCACCACACGTCACATCTGCTCCCAACACTTTGCAAAGTCTTCTGAAGGGAAGATTGCCCACAGTTGTAAGGGGTGCAAGGTACAACTTATCCCTAAAATCAATTAGCTTTTTCTTTTCACGAAGGTGCAACTTTAGACTAGCATCAGTTTCAACAATTTTGATGCTATCCTCATCTTCTACTTCGGATTTTGAAGTAGAATGCCCGTTCTTTTCCGTTTCCTCTTCCACTTTCACGCCTAAATAAATGGAACATTAGGTTATTTTCTTGTCCCAGACCCTTCTTATGTCTTTCTCTTTAATACAATTTTAAGCATTGAAACAATGCAACCATCTGAGACAATCTAGAAAAAGTCAATTGGCATATAGGAAATGTTATTTTCGAAATGTAAGAGAAGTAAGCCTAACCACCATTAACATCTCCAGGTTTAGAAGTCTCTTTGTCCTCAGATTTTGCCTTTTTCATGGGACGAACTTCCGCAGTCTCTAATGGTCCAGGAATTTCAACATCTTCTATCATTTCTGATAAAGGTTCAGAGCTGACAGCTGAGTCAACCGCTACATCAGTTGACTGAGCGTCGTTGGCACCATTTTGAGTTTTTTCTGCATTATTTTCTTCAGCAGCATTGCTTTTCTTGGCATGCCCCTAGAAAATGTATGAAAATAATGAGACAAACCACAGAAGAATGATCATGTCTCATGCAAAGAGACATGGTAGTGAAGCTGCAGTATATGAGATGTCACAGAAACTAGAAAAGAAAAACAAGAATCATGGAAATAAATACTCTGTAGGACATACCAAGAGGCCGAGGGACTTGAGTTTTGCATCTGCTTTGATAAAAGTCATCTTATTTTTCCATAAAAGCCTCTGTGTATCTTTGTTAAAAAAGTTAATCTCTGAGTTCTCCTCCCCAGCTGAGTTACCAGCAATATCTTTGTGGGTGCCGAAGAATCTGCATGATAAACCATATGCGCACTTCATTCCAGAGGCCACAAATGGGCATTGCCCCTCTATATCATCTGGTTTCTGCGGTTACAAACCAAAAAAAAAAAAAATCTTGCCACTAAATTCATTTCTCAATATCAACCAAGCTAGCTGCAATAAATCACATTCACAAACGAAATCAGAATGGAGAAGTGAGTACCTGAGCCTTGAAAGCTTCAATATCATGATTAAAGCGGCATTTCTCTTTATACTGACAGGAATTGACGTCTTCTGTCCTTGCAATCTGCGGACATAGATTGATGGCAGATTTCTGCAAGAAACATCATGGCAGATTCGGTCATTAAAAGAAACATTTTCCAGTTTCACTAGTCATGATTAGGTAGTGATGCTCATCTCTGCTTTTGCAAACTACACATGTAGGAAACTATGGATGAATCACATACCTCCCGGCGTTCACGTTTGAGCTGTCGTTTTGATTTCTTCTCCAGGACCAATCCCGATTGAGGAGCCTTAACGTCGGCGGCCTCATTTTGCTTGCCGGCACGGCTTGGAGGAGGACATAAGAACTCCTTTTTAATAGGAGCCATTGATCTTTCTATTAGCTCTTCCGAAGTCGCTTCATACACAGAGAACTGCTTCGCCGACTTTTCCGGCGATTGAGCCGCAGGCTTTGCATCTCCTTCACAACTCGTATCCACCGCTAGCTCCGCTACTACATCGGACATTTCGGACAAGCTCCGTCGTCGCGGGAAAGATAAGTAAAGGTAGTGAGTGATTAGGGTTAGGGTTTTAGAGATAATTTCTACAGAGACGAGACGTTTGGAAGGAGGGATGCATTTTTAATGGGCCAAAATATAAGCCCGGTTTATCACCTACAATTTTCCAAAAATAAAAAGATAAACTACAGCAAACAACAAAGAGACATAATAATACAAACTAAATTATAAAGAGACAAAACAAACAGATAATCTCTTTGTCTGAAGCTCAATCTCTTGAGCCTCCATTACAACCGTATTCATTCGTACATCATACTTATCTACCATAAATTGAATTTTGTTTCTTTCTAAGATAAAATACTGTAAAATTAATTTTTTTGGACTTACGCCATATACGATATATGTAAATTCAACTGACCCTGCACATAATTTAAATATAATGTCTGATTGATATGTAACATGAAAAAATTTGAAACTCCAAATCCTTTGATCCAGTCATCACCGCAACAACTTGTCTGCTCTATTCACTTGATTCAGGTTTTGTCGACATGGTTCCATTCTGGTTCTGCTGTGGCTGCTGTCTTAACTGGCTGATGTTGAGTTGCTGGAACATCTCCGCGTTGAGTGATTGCATCTTTGATCTATCAGATTCATTGTGGCTGGTCTCACCAACTGCTAATTTCAGTCGCTGAACTTCCCCATTCAGTGCTTCGTTCAGAGCTGCCATGGAAAACGCGGGAAAAAAAACCATCACTTCACATTCGTTAATGGCAAAAATGGGGATTTTCAAGCATATATAGCATCATCTACTAGTTAGTTGTTCTATTCAGCTTCGAATACAAAAGGAGTATAGAGATTTCTTCAATTCCATACTCATTCAGATATATCGTAAACTTCTTGAACCAAGAATTTGACTAAATTTCAAGAGAAATGCATACCATCGCGAAGTCGCGCTTGCTGCTCCATTGCTTGAAGACGAAACTTCAGCTCATTGTTCTGGTTTGTCAACCCCATCATATCTCTCTGGATCAATGCAGAATCCAAGATGGTTAAAAAAGAACAAAAAGAGAAAGCAATCTTAGGGGTTGTTTTAACCGTTGTAGACAAGGCACCTGCAAAAGCGTGAGCTGAGCAGACAATGTAGTAGCCTCGGTCTGAAGAGTCTGCACTTTGTGTTCCAATTCGACTATGTACCGCATCTTCCTCTCCTTTGACCGCGCTGCAGATTGACGGTTCGCCAATATTCTGAATAACAATAAAAAAAAAAAAGGGGAACATTGCATAAACACCGGAAAACCCCATTACAAAAAAAAAAAACGGGTAACTTTAGTCACAAAATTCAATATAACCAACCTTTTGACACGCTTAGGGTCAGACATGGCCATCTCCGCTAGTTTATCATTGGCCATGATCTTCTTCATTTCGGCTGCAGTAAACTCACCGTTCTTAAACTCGATGCTAAAAGCAGCTCCCTGATTCGCGTCGACCGAATTGGTAGGGGAAACTTTCCGAGACACAGTTCCGGGAGAAGGAGGCGGCTTTAGTGAATCGTCGCCAAAGGACAACTTCTCCATGAAACAACTGTCCACAGAAACACTCCTGTAATGTCTGCTCGTAGGAGCAATATCAACTCCGCCCGCTCTTCTCTTATTGTTATGGTTCCCACTCTCATTGACGCTGCTGCTTTCTCCTTCTGTATCACTACCGTTTGTCTTGGTCCCGCTTGCTCTACTGCTCTCCATGTCGTCCCGGTTCTCATTGCCGTTCTTGCTATCATCAGCTTCCGAGGAGTTTAAGACATCGATGTTTTCGAGATTCATATACGCTGAGAAGAGATCATCCATGGCTTCTCTATCTCCGGCGCCTTCTCTTTCGCAGCTCGATTCCTTCTTCACGAAAGGAGTTGTCTTTGACCAATCAGCGCATTCCCCGCCGGAAATGGACCTCTCCAACGGTCTTGGAGGCATGGAAGAGGAGTTAAACCCAGTGGGGATATCACTGTTGGAGCGTCTATGAGATTTTCTCGGAGGTAGACTCTCGCCGGCGGCGACGACTCTAGAAGAGGTTGAGTTACACCTCGTGAACGGCGACGGAGGCAACAAGGAAGGGTTGTTGTTAAAGCCGCCGGAATCTCTATCCTCCATGGAGACATCGTGATCGCGAAAGGGAGAAGGGCTTAAGGGAGGTAAGGAATCGAAGGAGAAGAAAGAGGAAGGCTGAGACAATGACCTCGAGTGAGTAGCTCCCGGGTTGAAACTCTGCGAACCGGGTTGCTGTCGGGTCGTCGGGATCTGAGAGTAGGGAGAAGTCGGCGGGATGCGAGACGGGATTCGTTTGCCACTGTCACTGAAAGGCTGCGAGAATTGGGGGAATTGAGCTGAGCGCATGAAATTAGGGTTTAATTGAGGGATTTCGAGCTGCTGATTCAGAGAAATTGGCTGTTTCGGAATCGAAGAAGACGATGTGCCGAATGATGAATGGAGTCTCTGGATCATGTCAGTGTTACACTTCTCTGTATCACCCATTTTTTTTAGATCGAAATCCGACGGATAATGCAGTGAAATTCACCACTCGATGAACCAGAAACCCTAGAAGATCAAGCTTTCGGTAAAACCTATCATCATCAGAAACAAAGAGAACGATGAAGAAGACCCAACCAAAAAAAAGAGTGAAATTTTTAGATAGATATATGTTATGTGAATCGATATATAATAATTCCGTCAAAGTTTCATAAAAATTACAGAAAAATCAGAGCTTTCAAGAGCAAATGCAAGTGGTTACCTCTACTTCAACGCACTTAGCTTGAATCAATCAATGGCGCAAATGGCGAGAACGTAGAATTAAAAAAAAAAAAAAAAAGACAACTCTTTTCTCTTTCTTACAACGTTGAATTAAAAACAAAAAAAACCTATCTAATCTTCCTCTCTCTCTCTCTCTCTCTCCAGAAATTAGAAAAATCACAGTGCCATTTTGTCTTCTTTTTTTTTTCCTCCGCGATTTTCTCTCCCCTTTAATTTCTTTTTTTTGTTTCCTCGAGAAAATAGTAAAAACTTGAAAGAGTGCGACTTTTTTTTTTCTTTTTGGCACGAGCAAGAGAGTCTAAAGTCTAAAACTAACAAAAAAAAAAAAAAAGACACGGATGTCATGGGAAAGGGAAGAAAACATTAACACCCAACAAGACGCGTGAATTTACCACATCCCCAAGATTTTCTATTAAATGCACTTATCCAAAGGTTTACTAATCTGTATAGCAATGTATATCAAATGTTTTCTTTTTAAAGTAGAAATCTGAGTATGATGAGTATCAGAAATGTATATAACATATATGTATACTATTAGGTATGAGACTTAAAGGTAATTATTCAACTAAAAGTTTCTAAGAAAATATTTCGTAAAATTCTTTGTTTATAATCCGAAATGAAGAGTGTTTCAGTAAATGAATTTGTACTGTAATTCTGATAATAAATGAAAGGTATAATTATTTATGATGAGTAGATTTTTTAGTTTAGCAAAAGAAATAATACGTATATTTTTGATGATTTGAATATGGATTGAGTTTTTTTTTTTGCTTTTTTTGAACAATTGAATATGGATTGAGTTTCGGTTTGTATTCCGATTTCCGACCACATTTGACATTTTTGCTTGGCGAAAGATTCTGTCTTTGTTATGTCATGTGTCTCCTCACAATGTAAAAGCCATTCTTTGTATTCTCTTTTTTCTGCTTCTTACCTATATATTTGTTAAAATAATATGTAATGGACCGCCATATTGAAAGATTTGTTCCGGATTTCTTTGTCACCAAGTCTTATATTATTCAAATTCCCAAGTTTAAGTATGATTTCAATTAATGATCTATATCATATATAAAAATAATGCACTTTTAAAAACTCTATGTAGGATCCGTCTGACGACAAAAAAAAAAAACGTAAGATCCGTCTACCGTCGTTAAGGGCTGTTAGAAGTTTTTAAAAATGGTTGCAGAATAATTATATAGATTTGAAGCCGTTTTTAAAGTTTACATTTGGCCCATAAAATATAATTATATTCATATGCCTATAATTGCATGAACCCCACAATCAACAAAATATTGTCTATTATAGCGACCTCCCTCCATGTTTCTTAGAAAATATCTACATATATCATCAGTTATCGATCTAATTCTAAAATTAAAGTATTTTACTCATCGCTGTACAAATAACAATCGTATAAAAAACAAACATGAACTAACGTGGAAAGACAATGTACAACTCAATAGTCACATTCGTCAAATGACCAAGACAAGTTTTTTTTTTGTTATAATCAAGAGGTTTTAGTTAAGTTAAAATCTATACGTTTGTTTACATAAATTATATGATGTTATTTGTTTAAATCATGTGTGATGTCACGATTTTACAACCACGATTATTTTTAGTGACAATATTCATTTTCTATTCTTATATGTTGATAATTTTTAAAATTGTTTAGAAATGCTCAAAACGGTAACTGTGTGTTTTTTATAAACTTCCATATTCGCATTTACACCCGTTAAATTTTAAACTATCAACTCTTTAGATGTATAGTGACTATGAATTAATTGAAAACTGAGACATGTTAATTTATCCACAATATTAAGAAATATAGATTTGCGTGTGAATTGGATAATGGAAAGTCGAAATTAAAGTGTAAATCACGTGGATTAAGTCTTAGTCATTGACAAAAAAAAAAAAGAAAAAGAAAAGATCTTGGTCATATCAGAAATGTTCGTGTCATTAATTTAACAGAAACCGAACAACGCCAATATATATTAATTTAACAGAAACCGAAACTTAAGTTGCACGTTTTGGAAATAAAAACACGATTTGTAAAAAAAGTTCTATGACATATTTTGTTTGACCATCTACTATTTAAGTATTTATATATGCAATGGGATTATGGAAAATGATCCACTATTCTAAAGGAGAGTAATCACTTGCTAGTTGCTAGTGATTTTCCATGTTAAAAGGTTAAAATGTAGGTTTAGGTCAATCATCAATGTCCCTTAAGGGTGAAATAATTTTAAAACTTATATTTAGTCATTTAAAATAATATCATGTTTAAACCTCTTAAAAATTAGGAAAATAGGATACTATCTATATTATAGTATAAATTCTATTAATTAATATTTGATAAATTTGGACAAATTATTTATTTGCCTTCGTTTGTACATATTTATTTCTTTTTTCACGTAATAAAATTTTGTTTTACTTGGCAAATGCAAATGCTAATGCTACAACATCCATAACGATTGGTCGCACATCCAAAGCTCAGAATATTACTTTTTTCCTATAAACCGAATATCAGAAGAACGTAATTTCGAATTAGTAGGCCAAAAAAGAATAAACGTTTGACTTAAACCACGTACAGACGTACAGAGTATATGTATAGGTCGAAGCGGACCCTACAATGTTCGCTTAGCTTCTTCTTCAATTTAAAACCAAACTAAACTTGGCGACAATTCCGCCGATCGTACCACGTGGTTTCTTGTACATCCGTTAGATGACAACTGACTTTTATGTAGGACCCAGTTATACTATCTCCATTCCATTATTGGACTCACTATGACACGTGGCGAGTTACAAGAATTAGAGATCCCCGAGACCGGTCATATGATCTAAACGAAAAACATTTTTTTGACCCTTTTTGAACATTTAAGAAAAGTAGAAATTTCACTGTTCGACCAAAAAAAAAGAGTAGGGATTTCTTTTATTTATTAGAAGTCTGCGCATTACGTCTTGATCATATATATATAAAATGAGATGAAAAATCACAATAAAGATTTGAAATGCAGATGATCCACGGTGATGGGAAGACTCACCTAGTCCGACATGATCTTACTTTGCTATGCAACGGGAATGAAGCGGAACGTTTTAGCTTTGAGGATTTACCCTCGAATATCTTCGGCCCAATGCACTTTTTATTAGTCGGATCAACCACAACAGCCAAACTCCGACAATTGCTGTCCTTAGTTCCACCCCTTCCGGCATCTTCTTTCACGGCTGAGATAGCAACTTGCGTTGACCCGTGCCTGGACGAAACAGCCATGCCGATACCAAGACCGAGCCAGATGAGAACTGGACAGAAAATTAGGGACAATGCGTAGTAGATGATCCACTGGAATCCGGTCTGGTTCTTGCCGTGAAAGGCCCATTCAAAGGCAAAAGCAATGTCTGAGGCAAAAGTGGCAAAGCTGCTTATGAGAAAGATTCTGACGATTCTCGGGTTAGGGACTTCCAAGAATGTTTTGATGCGGTTCAGCCAACACTTTGGTGGATGCGGCTGCAGCGGTGGCGGGCTAGTGGCAAAGGTCTTTGGCTTTTGGTCCATGTTTTTTTTTCTTTCGGTGGAAGAGAGAAAGAGAACGAGAGACTGAAGACTTTGTTAAGGCCATTGGACTAATATAACAAGATTATAAAACAAACAAAAAAATTCCTATTTTTCTGTTGAAACAGTTACGATTTTGTGGTCTTTTCGGTTGAGATTTTGCTTTTCAAAGTCTTAAAAACAAAATAGTAGATCATTCACTAGACTGTTTATTAATTACATAAAATCAAACCAAGTCAAAACAATAGTAAACATTTGCATTAACGGAACTATGGACAATAAAAACAATAATGAGCCTAAGCTTCATTCTTCCATTCGACTTTTGAACCTAATTGTTAACACTAAGATGGAAAAAACAGAAAAAAAAAGGATGGAGAGAGAAACATACTTTGACATATAGTGGACTTACAAATCTTGGCTACTTGATAGTGATGTAGCGATTCGTGCCGTGCCTAGCCCAATAGTCCTTGAGATCAACAGGAGAGGAAAGCTCGTGCCCTTGGCCAGCTAAACGGCTAAGTAACCTGGAGAAGACGCTTCCGCTCATTTTCCTACCGCCCATTCGAGAATGCCGCTTGTTCGGCATCTGCGGGAGCGGATACTGAGACAAAGTGGTTGTGCAGCAAGATGATTGCCACCCGCCATTTCCCCATTTGTAACACTGACGAGCAGTCCCGGTGCAAGTGCACATGGGCACCGGCATCGTCGTTTCATCGAATGTGACTAGGTTTAAACCGACATCGTTACTGTCCCAGTCTTTTCTGCATTTCTTTCCCGGAGAAGCAACCTGACGGTTCAGATCTTCACCCACTTTCTTCCCCTTTGACCGTGTTTCCTGTTTGCTCTGTTTTTTCCTTTTGGCTGGTCTCGTGTTGGCTGCTTCAGGTGGAATAGTTGATATAGGGGAAGGGTCTGGTAAGTGGCTTTCTTCAGTTACACAACTTTGGGAACCACCACGCCTTGCACAAGACAGAATGTAGTTGAGATTGTTTTCACGGTATTGAAGAGCATTTAACGCGCTCTCTCTCTCCATTATAGCATTATCTCTTTCAGAGAGAGCTTTGTCCCGTTGCTCAAGTGCTTCATCCCGAGCGGCTAATGCTTCCTTCTTTGCTGCTACCGCTTCGTTTCTTTCCTTGACTGCTGCGTCCCTCTCAGCAAGGATGGACATGATCTTCTTATTCATCACCAGCGCATTATGTTGCTCCTTTATCTGATGCTGAGGCATCATATTCCACTGTACACAAAGTTTGTGCTTAGCTATCAATCAAAGTAAAAACCCCTTTGGAGAAAGAATAATAAAAAAAATGGAACTACTTATTGTGTTTGTCCTACCACAGACTCTGTTCCTTTGTAGTAATCGGGCTTGTACCGCCCATTTTCATACTGCCCACCACTCTCCATCCTCTTACTTGAGAAAAAACGAAAAAAAAAAACAAGAAAGAAAGCTTGAAGCGAATGGGAGCAAGAAAAAATGATATCAAACAACATTGTGATTAGTTCTCTGAAACTAGGCTGAAGAGGAAAAACTATGAACATATACCATGACAGAAATACAACAAAGCAGCATAGCAGAAATTCACACTCACTGAAAAAGACAAAATTTATGAGAAGAGAAACTTGAATCTCGTCAATTGATGAATCATGAGCTTTTGCATGTATTTTCTTTCAATCCCTTTCTAATGAATGATATTCACGCATGTAAGACGCAGAATCAGAAGTTTTTTTAACTTTTGCATCTGACTTCAAACTATAGTTGATCATCCAAATAACACAGAGATTACAGAAAATAGGATTACCAACAACAACAAAAAGAACTCTAGAATCCTCACTGTTCAAAGGAAATATTCGTTGGTCTGTGAGATGATTGAAAGCCCCACCGCACATTTACAATTTAGCAAAACCATTCCAGAAACCGTATCCATATTCCAAGTAAGACTCTCCATCAGCGTAATACCATCCAATCCAAACGATTAACAAAACAATGACGCAAATAAGATGTATATGAGACCAGCAAAGAGTTAAAATCTCAAGTAGAAACTACGGTGAGAGCTCCCAGAAGAACCGAAATTCGAAGGAGAGAGAAAAAAAAGTAGGGGAAGTAATTGGGGAAAATCAAAACTGAGAAAGGGGAACCCTAGAGAGTCAAATTAATATACGAATTAAGCTATAGATCAAGCAGGAATGAATAACAATTTGATCGGAAGCTTACGGATTTCGTCAAGCCTGTAGGAGAAACGAAACGAGCAACGGAAATTGAGAAAGATCTCGCGAAGATGGTCTGTAGAGCGAAGAAGGTGGGGAAGTGGAAGGAAGAGCGAACATACTAATTGTAATTTACCAATATACCCTCCTTCAAAATACTCATCATCATAAACAAGCATCAAGGTTATCATCGTCTATCTACATTACCCCTTCAGTGCAGAAACGTTTCTGTTCGAATCTCTCCAAATACGCCAAATTACCAAAACACAAGTTAAATTTTGTTTAGGATGGAAAGTTGACAAAAAGGTGGGCCGGATGATGGCCCAAATAAGAAGCCCGTAAACCGGGACGAATACGGGTTGGCCCGGATTCAGATCCCGACGTGTGCGCTTCGCTGTTGTAATAATATCATCACCAGGGATCGGGACTCAATCCTTGTCCTTGTACGCGTACATCTACGGAGAGAGATCTGAGAGAAGCAGCGAAGATCAGATTCCGTCTTCAACCTAAGATCCAGAATCGGTCGAAATGTCTTCATTCAGTGGCGATGAGACCGCACCTTTCTTTGGTTTCCTCGGCGCTGCGGCAGCGCTCGTCTTCTCCTGTAAATCGATTGATTCTCTTTAAGATTTCCATTTTTGTTCCCAAATATTTCTCCCATCTTATATGTATATAAGAAAAGTCTTTTGCGCTTTGGATCGGCCTAGAGAAGTTAACCGATCTGCCTGTTCCTGTTGATTATTCTTATAAATGCTCTGAATTTAAGGATACTTGGACCCTGTTTTTCCCCTGGATCTGATTTGGCTTAGAGATATTGTCCTGTTTCTCCTCATCTTAAATAACTGTAATTTCTTTTTCTATTGGTTATGTAATCTAGGATGATCTGTTTTGTTTTAGGATAGATCTGTTTTGTTTAATTTTGTGGTCATCTGTTCTTTTCCTGACATTGGGAGATTAATTTTCTGGGCTTCCTGGATTTGTGATTGTCGTGACTGGTACTACTAATTGGGAATGTAGAGATTTACTTAGTAACCATCAAATTGGCTGAGTTGCTTTCATCCTTGCAAAAAAATCTATAGATATTTGTTTTTCCTTCAGATCCAAGGCTTACTTGTGTAGAGCATAGTTACATAGTGTTATTTCCCTGACAGTGTACTGTATTAATTAGGCATGGGAGCTGCATATGGAACAGCCAAGAGTGGCGTCGGTGTGGCATCTATGGGTGTGATGAGGCCAGAGTTGGTGATGAAGTCTATTGTCCCAGTTGTTATGGCTGGTGTGTTGGGTATCTATGGTTTGATTATTGCTGTTATCATCAGTACCGGAATCAACCCCAAGGCTAAATCTTACTACCTCTTTGACGGATATGCCCATCTCTCCTCTGGTCTCGCTTGTGGGCTTGCTGGTCTTTCTGCTGGAATGGCCATTGGTATTGTTGGTGATGCTGGTGTCAGGTATGATACTCCATGTCTTTCTTTGGGCATCCTCATGGATGGCTTTGAGTTTAGGGTGTGTCTCAATCAATTTGGTAGGGATTTTGTGCAATCCACTGACTGTTGATCTATAATGAAAAAGTGTCATACTCTTTTTGTGTGTGTGTGTGTGTGTGTCATACTGTATGTCTCTCTATACTGTGCCCTCGTATAGCTGCGCATCCCGTTTGATAAGCAATTTGGTGGTTTGACCGCAGGGCCAATGCTCAACAGCCAAAGCTTTTCGTTGGTATGATTCTTATCCTCATTTTCGCTGAAGCCCTGGCTCTGTATGGTCTCATCGTGGGGATCATTTTGTCCTCCCGAGCTGGTCAGTCGAGAGCCGAATGAGAAGAGAATGCGGATCCTGGTTCCGCGTGATTCTTTCTTTGCTTTTTCGCTGGTCGAGCCGGGATCTTCTTATATTATTTCTCAGGTTAGTAGAGACGAGAGTGGTTTTGCTCCTCGTAGCATGTTTCTTAAGAACGTGTCTGCGCGAAACAAAAACCACACATGATCGAAATGTTGTTCGTTTTCATTTCATCCTTCTGTTATGTTTGTAATATTGACCGTGCCGGATTCTTGTGCTCCCAGTAAGATGTAACTGTGAGAGACACCCTATTTATCCTTTTTTTTTTATCAGTCCAATAAATCACAGAAAACTCGATTTGATCTTTGTTTATTATGAAAACTTGTTTTGGTTATCTTCTACAATAAGTTTGTTAAAAAAGTTATCTTTACTTCAAAACCCAAACCAAATTCTTAAAAAAATTTTTGTTTTGGTCGAAAAACTAAATTCTTAATCCTCTCTCAAGTCCAAGTCCATAATGCTATAATTCATGTGTAAAAAGTCGGAGACCGCATTGAGGTCGGAGATAGCATTATGGATCCATACAACAAGATGAGATACTTTAGAAGAGGCAAAGCCTTGTAAAGTCCTCCCCTTGATTACAAAGAACCTGAACGACCCGTAGCAGCTGCTGCAGCTAAAGCTCAAGCAAAAGGTTTGTTGAAAATTAAGGCATCCATCATACAGAAGCGAAATGTCTGTTGTTTCTGCAAATTGTAAAGAACGCTGCGGTGTTTACCTGATGCAGAAGTGAAATGTGTGCTGTTTTTTTTTTGTTTAGAGAAGAAGGAAGTTCTGAAAGAACCGTCTTTGGGGATTGATTGCTTAAACTGACTCTCGGAATATTTCCAACCGTCTTTCTGAAAACGGCTGAATCGGATTTCTCTCTGATTTTGCTTTGCTAAATAAATTTCTGAGTCAATCGGATCGTAATCGTATGTTGAGCTTCCTCAAAACGATTACAGAGTTTGGTTTCTCTTCGAGCTTTCGTCGATTGTGTGATTCGAGTACCAATCGAGACATGTCTTCCCAAATTAGGGCACTTAAGAAGCAACCGCCGGAGCCTCCGTCTCCGATTTCTTCACTCCCTGAGGAACTCTTCCTCGATATCGTCGCTCGTGTCCCCAGATGCTATTACCCGACTCTCTCCCAAGTTTCCAGGCGCTTCCGATCACTCGTCGCGTCCCCCGAGCTTTACGCCAGACGATCCTTCTTCGGGCTCACAGAACAATGTCTCTATGTCGCCATCTCCAAAGATCAGACCTCCGATATCCACTGGTTTACTCTTTGCCGGAATCCTACCAGAGAAGATGTCTCCGGGAAGACTGATCATCGCTTGGTCCATATCTCCTCGCTCCCTCCGATGCCTCTACATGGAAGCTATGTCGCCGTCGGGTCCAGCATCTTCGTGATGGGTGGGTTTCGCGACTGGAAGATCACATCGAGTGTTTCGCTCATCGATTGTCGCTCTCACACGGCCCAGCCTCTCGCTGACATGCCCAAGGCGGTCGCTGGTTCGGTCACACAGGTCATGGGTGGCAAGATTTATGTGATCGGAGGATCAGATACTCTCTCGCCGATGAAATCTCCGTCGAAAAGTATGATGGTGTTTGATACACAGACGGAGACTTGGAAGCTTAAGACGAGGCCAGATTGGGAGCAAGGGAAGAAATGGTTTAGCAGTGTGGCAATGGGAGGTAAGATGTACATGAGGACTTGCTACAATAGCTTCGTTTACGATCCGCATGAAGACAATTGCGAGAGAGACGAGGTTCTGCACTCCAAGGAGTGGTCGAGTTCGTGTGTGATAGAGGATGTCTTGTATTACTACGATGTTCGTGGGAAATGTCTGAGAGCTTATGATCCAAAGCAGAGATCTTGGGGAGTGGTGAAAGGTTTGGAAGGGTTATTGCCTGAGGGTTGTTCATGGTCAAAGACTGCGAGTTACAACGGAGGGAAAATGGCCGTGTTCTTGCAGAAGGAAGAGATTTGGTGTGCGGAGATTGCGGTGGAAAGACGCCAAGGAGGAGACTTTTGGGGTATAGTTGAGTGGTGTGATGTTGTGCTTGGTGGGAACTTTCACATCATGGATTGTGTAGCTGTTCCTGTTTTGCTCTGATATGTATTTGATAAGAGATACAAAGCATATAGATAGATAGATAGATTGATAGATTTGTGCGTAGCTTTATATGAATATGCTCCAAATCTTCCCTGAGATATGTTTCGTAGACGTCAATGTTTGGTTGTATCGTGTGATGTGTTTCTCAAATAATATGTTGCAAATTTCTTGGTTGCCGATACTGTTTGGATGAGACAATGTGGATCATCTGACATAAAATATATATCTGAGTGTATATGTTTCATTTTTTATTCATATATAGATAATTTCTCGAGTACATATATATATAAAATGAAGAAACAATTAGTAAGGAGGAGATGATATGAGAGAATGTTGACATTGTTTAGAAGTGCATTCGCAGCAACAAACACCGCCATAACTATATGCTCGACAAGACCCTCCTCTAGGGTACCCCATTGACGTGCATTTTGCATCGCATGCCAGTGTGCTTATACATCCGTCCTTCATACATTTGTAATATTGTCCTAAATAATTGTTTCATTTAACACACATTAGCAATGAAATTGTTAATGGGTAAACCCGTTACATCAAAGTGACTAACCACAAAATAGGTGAAGCAACTTTTCTCTAAACAAATAAATGTGTCACCTGATATTATAGGCAAAAGGATGAGAGCAAAGACCATCAACATAGGTAATCGAAGATATGAACACTTCTTTGTTGCCATTACTTATGTTGCGTACTTTGGTTTTGTGTGTGTTTGTTTGTATAATTATATATATATATATATATATTAATTTTATATAAATCTTCCATATTATGTAATTAATTATTTTTTCCATAACAGAAATTTGACTGTCAATCTAGTCAACGGAATTCATTAGTTTTCCATTTTGAGATTGTGTTTACATGTTTTTATATTAAAAGGTAAAATGTTTCTTAATTTTAACATCATGGATTGTGTAGCTGTTCCTGTTATGCTCATCTGATCTTTAATTGATAGTGTTAGCTTATATGAATGTGCTTCAAAATTATGGGATATATTTTCTGATCAGACGTCAATGTTTGGTTGTATGGTGTAATGTTGTGTTTGGTGGGGCAGTTTACATTGTTAATTGACTGAATCTAGCCCCCATGATGTGTTTATTAGTTCTACATGGGTATTCTGTTGTAGTCTTTTTGTTTAATTTCAGACTCTTGAAAGATAGGAAAATAATTGATATATTTTTTGTAATGCCGTGTGGTTGTACATCCACTTATATCGTTTAAGATAATATAACCCGAAACAAATAAAGCGTATATATTACATGAAATCATGGACACATATATATAGATGAGAGCAAACAACGTTGCCAAAATTAATAGAGGAGGTTAAAAAAATTTCCTGGTAGCCAATATTGTTTGAATGAGACAATGTGGATCGCATAACATTAAAATCTCAGTATATGTTTTCGTTATTCATATATAATTGAAGAGTACATATAAAAATGAAGAAGGGCATTAATTGTAGAGAGGAGGATTGAATAAGAGAGGATTTATACAATCTTTAGAAGTGCATTGGCAGCAACAAACACCGCCAAAACTATAGATTCGACACTCCCCACCATTAGAGAACCCCATAGCTCTGCATTTGTCTGCGCATGGCGGTGTGAGTGTGCATGCGTCCATACATTTGAAATATTGTCCTAATTGTTTCATAAACGCACACATTATCAATACATTTTATTTATAAAAATTACCAATTTAACATATATATAGGATGTATTTTTGTGTTTAGTGACTTTGATTTAACCGGTTTAATAATCTCAAAAAAAAAAAAAATTAGAGAATTTCAGATTACTTAATACCATATTTTTAACGGTCGAGACAATCTTTCTCTAAACAAATAAATGTGTTACCTGAAGTCATAGGCAAAACGATGAGAGCAAACACCATCAACAAAGGTAATAGAAAAAATGAAAACTTCGTTGTTGCCATTGCTTATCTTTCTAGAGGATGCAACAACTTCTTTGTTTTGTTGTGTGTGTATTTGTTTATATATGTACCCAATTATTACTGAGGTTTACCATAACAGAACTTTGACTGTATATTTTCGTCAGCGGATTTCATTAGTGTTATCTTGTTTCCAATTTATATTGTGTTTACATGTAAACTTATTAATTATGTTATATTAAAAATTTTGACTAGAGATTTGGTCAAACGGATTTCATTAGTTATCTTGTTTCCATTTGAGATTGTGTTTACATGTTAAGTTATTCTTTTCTTGTATTTTTTTTTTTAAAAAATAACTTAAGTTTTACGGGTTCAAAAAAAGAAAAGAAATTGATTGAAAAAAAATACCAATAACAACGTTGTCTGCTTCAAAATAAAAAGACAAAGAAAGGAAAAAGAAAGGAGACCAAGAAGATATACAAGACATCGCTTCTGCTACAAGAAACCCAAAAGTATCATGCCAATGGGCGAAACAGATGGTTAGAAAAGTGTAGGCATGCTTTTTCTCCAACTATGCGATCTCCGACCTGTCAAGAACGAAGGAGGCGTGAAGGTCAGACCAAACATCTCCTTCATGGCCCTGCCTTGCTCAGCGAACCTCACAAGCTTCGCCACAACATCTGCGCTTTCCACAACCTGAGTCATGTCCTTGTGATTGCTCCAGAGCTCGTTCACAAGCTGTAACCGCCTGCGTTTGGAGTTGATCGCAATCCCAAACTTGTGATAGATTCTTCTCCTCTCTTCTCCTGAAAACCTTTTCCCTACAAGCTTGCTCAGCATCTTTCTCTCCCTGTGAAGCGCCTTCCGGCTTTACCAAAACCATAACGCCACAAAAAGAATTGAGTAGGACTTAAACAAAACTGCAACCACAAATGCACAAACACCAAAAAGATCTAACCTTGAAGCTAATGTTAAGGTTTCTCCTGCTTCCAAGGCTTGGTTTCCCTGAGAGAAGCGATCTTTCATAAACACAAGTCTTCTTAGCTCTACTCCAATGTAGATTGAATCTGCCTCATCTCCTTTGAAGAGCAAGTAGAAGTATGTTCTATGCACCAAAGAGACGTTACAGGTTTGCCATAGCTCCAGAATCTCTTGCCGCTGTCTCTCAAATTCCCCGTCCATGGAATCCAGACCAATCTCCCTACCCATTTTACCAGAATCCTCAGCATTCGAGACCTGCTAAAACAAAACTTGAGAAATGTTTTGTAAACTACGAAGAAGAATCAATTAGTGTATAAATATAAGTTGTTGAACTTACCTCGCCTTGACGCTTAGCCATCTCCTTAAGCCCTTCAACGAAAGTCCGGATGCTAGTGATACCTCCCTCTTCTCCTAACGGCGTTCTTATGCTCTGAGCCCCAGTGGAATCGCTCCCGCAAGAAGACATAGAGTCATTCCTCGACACACTAGAACCGAAATCTAAATCAGGAAACACAATCTTGTGACTCTCTGGTCTTCCGAGGAAATCTGTCCCTAGGTTTTCAGGCGGAGTGCTCGTGCCTGGCACGGTCTCTCTGTGGTTCCAGCTTCTCATCCTCACGTTTTGGCCATTTGCATCCTCACTACGGCCTAAAACGTTTTTAGGTTCTGCTCTATCTTCTTTGTGGTTGTTATAGGCAGTGGCTGATTCCTCAACCTCAATGCATTGAACTTCTCTGCAATATTCTTCTGATGGATCTTCTGAACGCCTAGGAAGCTCCTCATCGAGATCATCTTCGTCACAGTGAGACCGAACATAAGCCCTTGCAGATGACAGCGGTGTGGACATTCCATCTGATATGAAACTCCTCTTATCTAAATCAAACGTCTCTGATGCTGAACCATCCTCACACTTGTCTGTGTGGTTGCCGAAATGCGGAGTTCCAGACTTCAACAGACGAAAAACAGTAAGTAAGCCTTTTAGCATAAATGCCATAGAAATCCCAAGGAAGAAAGAACCGATGATTATTGGGAAGAGCGAGCAATACCTTTGACGCCTCATCGTGTTCAACCATTCTCATGAAATCTTCAAGCCGAGATTGAGCAAGATCCCTCTGTTTTCTCAGCTCTGTGATCTGTTTTTCCATCTGCAAAACATTAAACTTTAATCAGCATTAACCGACCCCACAGTTACAAAACAAGACAATGTCATACCAAAAGCTGAAAAGGAAATCTATGAAAGCAATTTTTGCGTGTTCACAAAAGCACAAACCTTTTGTATCTGAAGATCCTTCTTCCTCACCGTCATTGCACAATCACAGTTTGAGGCAGGTGAGGCAGGGTTTCTCAGCTCGGTCTCGAGCCTCGCAAGCTCACGCTGTAGTTGCTTCAGCAGAGCCTTGTCTGACATAACAACATTGATCCGCGCCTTTGTGGTAACTTCTTTTGCACAGCATGCAAACAAGAGAGTGTTCCTCGTAAGCTCTACATGACTCCTCGCAGGGCTCAGAGTGCAGATGATGGCGGTTCTTGCATTACCCCCCAAGCATGGCTGTAGAATTCGTGTGAGCTTGGAGTCTCTAAAGTTGATGTGCCCTTGTCTTCCCTTACTAGATCAAGTGTAGTAACCCGTCGTTCGATTATTAAATTTAAATCTACTAAGCATGCGAGAGACAGGATGTATTTTTTTTTACACACCTAAGTTTACGGATCACAGTTCCAAGAGTCAGCAAACTTCGATTGATATGGCAGCCTTCCTTGAGTCTTGCACCAGCTGACATCGCCTGTGATGCACGCTCGCTTCCTGCAAGGTCGATGAAATTCTGCACATAAAGGGCCATGGACATGAACACGGTTATTAGGATAAACAAAACATAAACAAGGGGTTGTTTAGCTTTACAGATGAGACCATACCACACTCGCCATGAGGGTTGTGGAGTTTTCTTTGTCTAAGAACTCACGAGCAGAGCTTTCAACTGTCTAAATATCAACGATACAGTCAATGGCCAAGCTAAGTTAGAGAGAATCTTTGTTTCTTAAATCCAGTGATAGATAAGAGTTTTAACCAGTCTGATAATTTGATGAGATCTGGAACTTCTCTCGTTCAATGAGGTTTCACCAATCTTACGCTGTGCTGCAAAAATTTGTAAATTTACTATTCAGACAACATGTACTCAAGAACAATTTGAGGAAAACAACATTATTATCATAGTAATGAAAAGTTGATTTTTGAGTTTTGATTTTTACCTTCACAAAGAGATAGAAGCTCCTTGAGATGGTTCCAGTCCCGCAGAGTTTCCAGAGTGGCTTTTTCAACCACGGTCCCTTTCTAATAAGAAGAGAAAGAACAATAAGGAGAGTCAGTCAAATTTTACAAACTAAAAGCGCTCAGAAAGGAAAATGACATTCATATACCTCAGGATCGTCTCGTAGCCTCAGGGGCGTACCATCCGAGCTAAGCAGATCTCGTATGGCCTCATTGTAGATCTCTATAGCTGAAAATTTAACGGAAAACGCCCTTTCTTCATGCTGCAGCATCCACATCCAATTAGTAGTGCATAAGAAGAATAAACACCAGCTTTCACTTGGGGGGAAAAAAGAAAAAAAGAAAAAAACTCAGTACCTGAAATATATAGTCAAATATGTCAGCCACAGCAAACTCAGTAATACCAGACATGGTGTATGTCTTTCCGCTACTTGTCTGGCCGTATGCGAAAATACTACCTGTCAAACGTTAAAGTCGTTGATGAACTTAGCATATCGTCGTCTCATCGACAAAAATGATGGGCCAAGGAAGCTTACAATTGATGCCTTTGACAACTGATAGGGCGATTTCCTTGGTTCCATCCTCGTAAACTTGTCTGGTCGGACATTCACCTCGGTAAACTCTATCTGTCACCAAAGAAAAAAAAATCAAAAAGGCAAAGAAAATCTGAGTGGCATAAGGATGAAAGGTGAGATCTTTTTAAAAGTATATATATAAAGTAGTAGTTTAGAATATCAAGGGGCAAGGCTAGGTAGAAGTAATTAAGTTCATATAAGAGGTTGTGATGCTGCTGAATATCTATCTGTCATCTTAAACATCGACTATAAATTTCAGAATGAGTCTGGTTCTTGAATGAAAGGTGGGATATTTTTCAGACCCAAGAGGAGACGGTAGATCTAATTATATAGAAAGAGGTTGAAGCAGTATTATTGCTCTTCTTACCAAATGAATATGCAGAAGGAAAGTTTGAGCCTTCGCGCAACGTGTTTCTGTACAAAATGGTGGTATCATTGATACATTCCCAATCCGCAGTTTCGTTAGCCGCAATCTCTTTCTCGTTTAGGGGCCTCAATCTCACCAGAACCAGTATCTTCTCTTCTCGTGCTAAAGGCACCTGTTGTGTCTTCTCCATCTTCTTTTTGTAATCTTCTTCAGCAACTGCTACCATGTGCTCACCATCGGTTTGATTTCAGTGTAACCAGAGGAACCTCTGTTTCCTGAAACAGTTCAAACTTTAGACCTCTAGGATTGGAGTCAATCTTTGCATAATATATCTTCAGGACTGCTTTTGAGAAAAGGGACCAAAAGGCCACTTATTTTCTAACAAAACACAAGTTACAAGAAATGGCAAAACTCAGACATCTGATCTCACCAAACCAAAAGTAAGAGATTAAAACATGAAACATGCCTAGAAAAGGAAAATCTTTTTGTTGTGTTTAAAGAGAAAATTTGAAATCATTCAATGAACGAAACACACAAAATAAGAGAAGACTTTCTTGTTAATATAATATTAACACAGTTTACTTAGAAGGTGATCAACCTCAACTGAAAAACAGAAAGAAAAGAAGAAAAAAGAAAGAAAAGAGATTACCGACTTTTTCTGTAATGGTCACCCACAATGCTTGAAGAATAAGTCACGTTTTGCCTATCTAAACATTCTTTAATAGAAAAACAGGTCCCACACATTGCTCTCTCCGAAATAGTCAAATGCATATATAAAGTAAGGAAGAAAAAGTTATTATTATCTTAAACTATGAAAAGTGACTTGGAGATTATAATAAAGTAGCTAGACGCAAATCAAACAGAAAGAATAAAAGCTTTTTAGTGTTGTATCAGTAGAGAGACGGCAAATGCGCGTTCAAGAAATATAAAAAGAAGTGCTTCGAGTTTACTGTCAAAATGCAGGGAAAACTTGTCAATTACAAAAAGCAAATCTGTCTTGATCCAGAAAGTCTAAGATTTTCCTAGATGGTTACAAAAGGAAACATGCAAAGAGCTCATTACCTTCTTCCTCAAGGCAATGTGGTTCCAGAAAAACACTTGTGTAGTAGAAACACGAAATAGGAAGAAAGAGGTAAGCAAGTTAGAAATTTCCCATTTTCACGCTTGAGAAAGAGAGAAAAAGAATGTGATGGGAAAAGTAAAAACTTGGGAAAATCGGAACCCCGGAATTGATCAAAACGGTGAAATCGGAAACAAACTGATCACCGGAAAACCGAAAGCTATATAGTTATTCCTTCCACACACCCACTCTGTCTCTCAGCAACTGATTTGGTTGTTGTTCTTCGTCTTCTTCTTCTTCTATTGCATTTTCTCTCTCGGAGGGACCACTGTATCGATCGGCATTGATTTGGTCTCGCAGACAGCAGACTCTGCGGTTTCTGTCTCTCTCTCTTCGCCGGTTTCTCTTTCTCTCTCCATTTGGAGGAGAGCTTGGAGGGGGTTGAGAATACCTTGTTAATGACCATTTTGACCTTCTTCGAACTTTATCGGAAACTTTTAACGCCGCCACGTGGACCACTACTTATCCATTTGAGAGCTCAGAGCCCAAAAGATAAAAATTTATATCCAACAGTTGAATATTTTAGAAATGCTTTTTTCGGTAACTTAGAAGATAAACCAAGACTTGGGGCTATGCTGCCAAAAAGTTTGATATTTTTTTTCTAAAATCATTATAAACTTCCATTATCAATAAACAGAATAGCTAGCATCAGGTTTATATCTATAAACTCAGACAAATTAACAATCAATTAGAACTTGTGGACGCTGTTGATGTCACAAGGAACGAAGTTGTAAAGGCCGAGCATTTTCTAGAAACTCTGATCATCTGCAATCGCTCTTCCATGTAGTTAGATCCAAAAGTTCATTCCCTTTGGCTTTTGTTGAAGTGTTTCATCAGCTCATGATGGGTAACAATTAATGGAACAAGCTTTTCTTAGAGGGGTAGGGGAAATAAGAAATCGCACCTGATGAACTATCTGCCATTATAAAAAAAAAAAACGAATAGAGATTCCAAAAGTAAAGTAACAGAAACTTTAATAGTATTTTTTATATGTACGTATGTAAGTATGTAACACAACAATGCGAAGAGGATGCTAACCAGGTTCTCCAAAATTACTCGCCCTCTAACCATTTTATTTTGATCGTTGCATGAAAGGAGGTTCTCCATACCAGCATTGAATCCTGAATTAAGTATTTTTCAAAAGGATCGAGTCCAAAATTTATACAGTACGTATATTTTCCAATTTTTTTAATCGTATTATCATTTCACCAGTTCATAAATCCAAAAAAAAAATTATTTAATAAATGTACGTACTGTATAAAAATGAATGCCTTTTCTCAAAAAAAAAAAAAAAAAAAAAAAAAAAAAACTAAAGTAGATAACTCATTTTAGGGAATTTTACTTTCTTGAAGTATTTTCCGTCTAAGATTGAATAAACGCGTTAATTCATTACAAATAATCAGTGAGAGAAATGGAAACATATAACTGAGCGGAGGGATTCTCAGATCTATTCGACGAAACTGAAAACCACCGTCGTGAGGAGAGGTCGTCTTCTTCTCGACGATCGCTTTCTCAGTCTATCATCGTTGTGTTTCTCTCGCTCTCGGGTAATGCTACTGATCGTCACCGTGAACCTGTGCTTGATTCGCTTCCCTTTTGAATTGATCTGATCTGAGGTGATTCCCCATTTCTCCTCCTCTTCGATATTTATCTCACTACTTACTTGGTGCCCTTTGCAAATTTCGCTTGGATTACGTTTTTTGCTTTTTGCGATTTTTGTTTGTTTTTTCCGGTTTTCTGTCAACTCACTCGTTTCAAAATCTCTGTGATCTGGTTTGCGTAGAGCTGCTTCTGTAATCTAGGAATATGCTGACCAAATTCGAGACCAAAAGTAACAGAGTTAAGGGTCTGACCTTCCACCCTAAAAGACCATGGATTCTCGCCAGTTTGCACAGTGGTGTGATCCAGCTCTGGGATTATCGTATGGGTACTTTGATCGATCGATTTGACGAACACGAAGGACCTGTTCGTGGTGTTCACTTCCACAGCTCACAGCCTCTCTTCGTCTCGGGAGGTATATGCTTTCTTCTGACCCTTACGTTTCATCTACAATTTGAGGTACAAGTCATGTCCGTATATATAGAGTGATATAATTTTGTTCATGATCCATCTTCAGTCTGCTTAAGTACGAATTAGTATCGTGTTCGGTCTCTAGATCTATCCTGGTGTCAGAATCTCTGGGTTGATTTGTCCCAACGTTCTGTGTTGCAGGGGATGATTACACGATTAAAGTTTGGAACTACAAAACACACAGGTGCCTTTTCACCCTTCTCGGGCATCTCGATTATATCCGCACTGTCCAATTTCACCACGAAAACCCATGGATTGTGAGTGCTAGTGACGATCAGACTATCCGCATATGGAACTGGCAGTCACGGACTTGTATTTCTGTGTTGACTGGTCACAATCATTATGTAATGTGTGCTTCTTTCCACCCAAAAGACGACCTTGTCGTATCGGCATCCTTGGATCAGACTGTACGTGTCTGGGATATTGGTTCTCTTAGGCAGAAGTCCGTATCTCCTGCTGATGACCTGCTGCGTTTGAGTCAGATGAATGCTGATCTTTTTGGTGGTGTTGACGCTATAGTCAAGTACGTCCTCGAAGGTCATGACAGAGGAGTAAACTGGGCTTCTTTTCATCCTACTTTGCCTCTCATTGTCTCTGGCGCAGATGACCGCCAGATAAAATTGTGGCGCATGAATGGTAACTGTTTCAGATTTGTAACTTTTTTTTTTGGCATATGGATGGTACACTGATACACAGTTTTTTCACATAGTTCGAATGTCAGATTAATGATGGTCTTTCTTTTCCATATCATTGCAGAAACTAAAGCCTGGGAGGTGGATACATTGCGAGGCCATATGAATAATGTGTCATCTGTTATGTTCCACGCAAAACAGGACATAATTGTCTCTAACTCTGAGGATAAAAGCATCCGTGTCTGGGACGCTACCAAGCGAACTGGGCTTCAGACTTTCCGCCGCGAACATGATAGATTCTGGATTCTCGCAGTTCACCCAGAGATGAATCTACTGGCAGCGGGACATGACAGTGGTATGATCGTCTTCAAGCTTGAGAGAGAGCGTCCTGCATTTGCTTTGAGTGGCAACTCCTTATATTATGCCAAGGATAGGTTTTTGCGATACTATGAATTCTCAACACAGAGAGACTCACAAGTCATCCCTATACGGCGTCCTGGTACTGCAAGCTTGAACCAAAGTCCAAGGACTTTATCTTACAGTCCGACAGAAAATGCAGTGCTCATCTGCTCAGATCTGGATGGTGGTTCTTACGAGTTGTACATCATACCGAAAGATAGCATTGGCAGGAGTGACTTTGTGCAAGAGGCAAAGAGGGGGACTGGTGGTTCTGCAGTTTTCATAGCCCGGAATCGGTTTGCTGTTCTTGAGAAAAGCACCAATCAAGTGCTAGTCAAGAATCTCAAGAACGAGGTGGTTAAAAAGGGTACCCTGCCAATACCTACTGATGCTATATTTTATGCAGGTACTGGAAATCTTCTTTGCAGATCTGAGGATAAAGTGGTTATTTTTGACCTTCAGCAAAGACTGGTTCTCGGTGATCTTCAAACTCCGTTTGTTAGGTACGTTGTTTGGTCTAATGATATGGAGAGTGTTGCTTTGCTCAGCAAACATAATATCATTATAGCAAGCAAGAAGCTGGTCCACCAGTGCACCCTTCATGAGACAATCCGCGTGAAGAGTGGAGCTTGGGATGATAATGGTGTCTTCATCTACACAACCCTGAACCATATAAAGTACTGTCTTCCAAATGGCGATAGTGGAATAATCAGAACTCTGGAAGTCCCTATCTACATCACAAAGGTTACTGCAAATATAATTTTCTGCTTGGATCGAGATGGGAAGAACCGGATTATTACCATTGATGCAACAGAGTACATTTTCAAGCTTTCGCTGATGAGAAAAAAATACGACCATGTAATGAGCATGATAAGAAACTCCCAGCTGTGTGGGCAGGCTATGATCGCTTACCTGCAGCAGAAAGGATTTCCTGAAGTTGCCCTCCACTTTGTTGAAGACGAGAGGATCCGATTCAACCTGGCTCTTGAAAGTGGCAACATCAGTGTAGCTGTTGCATCCGCTACACAGATTAATGATAAAGACCTCTGGTATAGACTTGGGGTGGAGGCTCTTCGCCAAGGTAATTCTGGAATTGTTGAGTTTGCGTACCAGCAGACAAAGAACTTTGAGAGGTTATCGTTTCTATATCTCATTACTGGTAATTTGGACAAGCTTTCAAAGTTAATGAAGATTGCGGAAGTGAAGAACAACGTAATGGGTCAGTTTCACAATGCACTCTACCTAGGAGATGTTAAAGAGCGTGTCAAGATACTGGAGAATGCTGGTCATTTGCCTCTAGCTTATATCACGGCCTCGGTTCATGGTTTAGATGACATTTCTGAGCGACTGGCGACGGAGCTAGGAGACAACGTCCCCTCTTTGCCTGAAGGGAAAACTCCATCGCTTCTAATGCCACCATCCCCCGTCATGTGTGGTGGTGATTGGCCTCTTCTAAGAGTGATGAAAGGAATATTTGAAGGCGGGCTTGAGAGTGCAGCCAGAGGAGGGGCTGTTGATGAAGAAGAAGATGTAGGCGGCGATTGGGGTGAGGAACTAGACATGGTCGATATGGATGGAATGGAGAACAGAGACATCGAAGCCCTTTTGAATGAAGCAGAAAGAGAAGAAGAAGAAGAAAACGACGACGGACTTGGATGGGGGGGACTTGATGACTTGGAGCTCCCACCAGAGCTTGACACTCCTAAGGTCTCTGCCAACGCACGATCATCTGTCTTTGTGACACCTACTCTAGGTATGCCCGTAAGTCATATTTGGAGCCAGAAATCTTCCCTTGCTGCTGAGCAGGCTGCAGCGGGAAGCTTTGACACTGCAATGCGTCTGCTCCACAGACAGCTTGGCATAAAGAACTTTGCGCCTTTGAAATCGAAGTTTCTTGATCTGTTCAGTGGCAGCCATAGCTATCTGCGTGCTTTTTCCTCATCTCCTGTGGTTCCACTTGCCATTGAGCGCGGATGGAGCGAGTCTTCCAGTCCAAATGTCCGTGGCCCACCAGCTCTTGTTTTCGATTTCTCTCAGTTGGAAGAAAAGCTGAAAACCGGCTACAAAGCCACAACAAGCGGGAAATTCAATGAGGCTCTCCGTGTCTTCCTCTCTATCCTCCACACCATCCCATTGGTGGTAGTCGAGTCAAGAAGAGAAGTCGATGAGGTTAAGGAACTGATCACAATCGTAAAAGAATATGTCCTCGGTCTTCAAATGGAGCTAAAGAGGAGAGAGATGAAAGATGATCCGGTGAGGCAGCAAGAGCTCGCTGCTTACTTCACCCACTGCAACCTCCAAACACCTCATTTACGGCTCGCGCTGCTTAGTGCAATGGGAGTCTGCTACAAAGCCAAGAACATCGCCACCGCATCTAACTTCGCCAAAAGATTGTTGGAAACCAACCCAAGTCTAGAGAGCCAGGCGAAGATGGCAAGACAAGTTGTTCAAGCCGCTGAACGCAATATGACCGATGAAACCAAGCTTAACTATGATTTCAGAAACCCATTTGTGATATGCGGCTCAACTTATGTTCCAATCTACAGAGGACAGAAAGACGTATCGTGTCCTTACTGCACCGCCCGGTTTGTACCAAGCCAGGAAGGTAACATCTGCACGGTGTGTGATCTTGCGGTAATTGGTGCAGACGCATCTGGTTTGCTATGCTCTCCGTCTCAAGTTCGGTGATCAGCTCAGATTGATAATATCTTTGAGATTTTTCTGTGGTCCTCTGGTTCAGTGGACGAGGTAAGTGAAAAGAGACTATAAATAGTACAAAATAATTTGCTTTCGCAGAGTTATGTTCCAATCTACAGAGGACAGAAAGACGTATCGTGTCCTTACTGCACCGCCCGGTTTGTACCAAGCCAGGAAGATAACATCTGCACGGTGTGTGATCTTGCGGTAATTGGTGCAGACGCATCTGGTTTGCTATGCTCTCCGTCTCAAGTTCGGTGATCAGCTCAGATTGATAATATCTTTGAGATTTTTCTGTGGTCCTCTGGTTCAGTGGACGAGGTAAGTGAAAAGAGACTATAAATAGTACAAAATAATTTGCTTTCGCAGAGTTAGTTATATAGTTATATAAGCTAAAATACGAGCGTTAACATAGGTCAAAAATGCTAAAGAAAATCTAAAAAGCTAATTGTCAAGTCTATTCAACGTTTCCCTAGATTCTTGTAATTTTTGAGATTGCTTAATACAAGTGATAAAACGTATACCGGCGAGTTGCACGCGATTACGGAAATGTAAATTTTATAAGCAGTTGCCTATAAAAATGAACGTTGGTTGACAATACGTTGGCAATATGTCAACAGCAACAACAAAAAGTCAATATATACAAAGAACGTAAAATTAGTGGTTGTAACTGGAACATCCCATAGCGATTCTGAAAAAAATTATCAATCGAATACGGGCTTGTGTTTTGTTAGATATTTTTGTGTAGTTAATGTTCGATAAATCGAATCTTGAAAACGTTAATAAAACACTCCTATATTAAAAAATCTAAGCAAATCTAACATATATTATTCAGATAATCAGATCTTATTAGTTAATCCGAATATGGGTAAGGGAAAAAATAAAAACTTTAAACAAAGGCCACAAAAAGAGTTTTGAGAGTTGCTTTCAACTACTTCTCGACCACCAATTTTAAATGGCTGGTGACATTTGGCCCACCCACTTTTTTGTCTTTTTTTATTTCCACTTGTGGCTCTTGTTTTTTTTTCATTTTATAATTTCTTTTTGTAAAAAAACAGCCAAATCTCAGGCACCACACTATTACCTTAAGAACAATTTCAGATCAACTATCCAACATAATGTTTTTAATTACTGTAAACCATGTGATAATATTGAATGGTAATAAAACTTATCATAGAGTGATTCACCTAAACGAAGGAAGCAGAAGGATGAGTCTGCTTCAGGGAGACACATCAATGACCTTCCAGCTCCAGATGGCATAGAGTCTTTTGCCTTCACGATTAGGGTCCCATCTAGTCGAGATAATCTTCTTTTTGTCTTTTAACAGACTTTATTAAATCTTATTGAAATTCAAAAACATATGTACTAAAGATATGATCTTTCCATTATTTTCTCCTAATCACTTTCCATTATTTTCTCCTAATCAAACTAACATTTTTTGTTAGGCGCTTACTACTCTATCTGATATTTGCTTCATTAACTAATTATTAGAAGAAACTACTGAAATTTGAGTAATCACTCAAAGTAGTATACTAATTACTTAATTAGTAGCGAGTAGGCATATATGATAGTCTCGGCGCGTGGGCATTGGTTCGTCTCTTCTGGTCACTCAAGCTTCTCCTCCATCGTGGAATGGATTTAAAAGGCGAGATAAAATAATTTATAAAAATTTCTTTCCTTTTCCTACTTTCTTCTTCTTCTTCTTCATCTTCTTCGTCCTTGATTGATACCAACGACTAATCCTAACCCTTAATCTACTTCGTCCTAAATTAATCAGGTTTCTACTAATTCCACTTCATCTCTTTCAATCGCAATCTGGGTTCTGTATTGAAGGTGGGATTCATTGTTCCGAACAGAGTGAGAAAAAAAGAATTTTAAGATTGAAGAAGAAAGATGCGAATTTTGTGCGATGCGTGCGAGAACGCAGCCGCTATCGTCTTTTGCGCTGCCGATGAAGCTGCCCTTTGCCGCTCCTGCGATGAAAAAGTAACCTCTTTTGAAAAAGCTTTTCTAATTCTCTGTGTCTATTGATAGTTCCCTGATGGGTTCGTGAAAGGTCGAGTCTTTGTTAACTGTGTCTGTGTTTCTCAATTGATTCGCGCCTGGGTTGATCTCGAAATTCGTGTTGTGTTTCTCGTTCCTTGCATAAAGCTTTTCTCTATCTACGAGTGAAGAACGTAGACAACTTTGTGCTGAAGAATAGACTGTGAGATTTGGTCTGTTAATCAAAACTGCTTTTGTTAGTAGAATGGATAGTGGAACTGGAACAAAATTGAAATCTTTTACATTGTTTCTCATTTAGTGGATTAAATGTTTTCTAGATGATGAATCTCATGTTTGATTACATATTTACATGAGATTCGAGTACTTTGAAGCTGAGATTTCAGTGATTCTACTCTGTGATGTACATTGCAGGGAATGGTTTTGTCTCCAATGTTTGCATTTAGTATAACTTGTGGAGAAGAAAATAGTCACTTTTCCGCGCTTTACGATTAATCCGTACTACAGTTAGATGACTCTTAAGGGTAACACTTTACAGTCTTTTTCGAGTCCTTAGTTAATCCTTTTTTCTATTGCTATAGCTCTAAGTAGGTTTTAGATTTTAACCTTTTTTTTTCCTATAGATTTTGATCGAAAGTGAGTTAACTTGTTTCAAAACTTTTTTTTTCTTCTTCCAGGTTCATATGTGCAATAAGCTAGCGAGTCGGCATGTACGTGTAGGTTTAGCCGAACCAAGCAATGCTCCATGCTGCGATATATGCGAAAATGCACCTGGTATGTGATCTATGTACATTGAATTTTTCCACACTCATGTTTCAATGTTTGCTTGTTGATCTCATTCTTTTTTTTTCTCTCCTCGTCGTTGTGAGAACAGCCTTCTTTTACTGTGAGATAGACGGGAGTTCGCTTTGTCTGCAATGTGACATGGTAGTACATGTTGGTGGCAAGAGAACGCACGGGCGGTTTCTTTTGCTCAGACAGAGAATCGAGGTTTGAATAAACCTGTTTTGTTTTTCTCACGCAAGCACAATCATCTTAAGTGAATTTCTTGAATTGAATCGTCAGCTTATGTTTACCATTCTTCTTGTAGTTTCCAGGCGATAAGCCAAAACCAAACAATACGAGAGACAATTTGCAAAACCAAAGAGTCTCTGCAAATGCAAACGGTGAAGCTAATGGCAAGACTGATGACGAAATGATTGATCTAAACGCTAACCCACAGAGAATACATGAGCCAGCATCAAATAACCAAGTGCTTGAATCTTTCTATATATAGATAAATTCTCAATTCTTTTTTGTTGCTTTGTGTTGTCAATATGTTTTGTCAATTTGTTTTGTTTCTTAAATGAGCAGGATATCGATGTAAATAACGCGAGCAATCACGAGCCTGCAGGAGTTGTGCCAGTTGGACCCTTTAAACGAGAGTCTGAGAAGTGATAAGGTGAGGGTGAGAATCAGTTTTGAGAAGATTGTAAAAAAAAGTTTAAATAAATGGAAGTTTCATGTTTTCTTCTTCCCTTGTTTGTTGATTCCATGATCGTTGCAGGGTTTGGTTTGGTGTAAGCGAAGGTTTCGTTGAAGAAGGAAGGCTTGTGTTGTTTGTGCATTTATCTTAGTTTGAAGGAAAGGGCTTCATGAATGTATAAGCGCTAATATCTAAAATTCTTCTGAATATTAATTGATTTCTTGGTTTCCCTTTTTTGTTTTTTTATGAAAATCCTTCGGAAAAATTATAGTCTCAAACCCTCAATAAAAGAAAGAAAAATAAAGAACAAACTGAGCCAGGAAAGGAATAAAGCCCATTGGTTATGCAAGGGTCCATCGTCTTTCAATATATAGAGACTTCAAATTTATTTTCTTTTTGAAAGTAGTGTCTGGGTGATGATCTTGATCTGAGGGGAAAAAACAACGAGCCAATCTGAAAACGTAAACGTACATTGACAAAGAACCCAGAGTATCTGACAAGAAGATAGATCAAACTCATTTCTTTAAATTTACCGTTTGAAATGGTGTCAGAAAATCAACTGTAAATTTTACTTTTTAAGTGCCACTTTTGGCCTAAAAAAAATATTGTGAAATGGTGTCACAATACTTTTTTTGGCTAGAATTATTATTACTTTGTTTAAGAAGAGAATACCAAAACACTCCATCCAGAATTTTATTATTTTAATTTTCTTTAATATCATTATTTATGATTATTTTTACCAGCGAATGTCTGCTTCATTATTAATTTATTTTATTTTTTTGTTACTACAAATTTTTCTATTGATTTCAAATGAGAATGAGATAACACAAATACATAATTTTTGTTTGTGTGTGTGTATTCAAACTCAAAATCTGTACGATCATCCATCTGCGAAGTGCTGATTATCTTCTGCTAAAAGAGATGTCCAACTTAAGAATTAATCAAGTGTATTATTAAAAATAAATAATCACTGCTTTGCAAACGTATTTTGGATAGCATCCTTATTAAATACTTGAAGGTTCGTATCGACCTATATGGAATAAACTTATCGTAAAATATTCATAAAATTATTGAACATCCGACCATCTGATCGGACGTAAACCACGAATCTGGTTGGATGAGTAAATTGGTTTTCTTTGCAGAAAGGTTGTTTCGGTTCGGTCAAGGTTCAAGATGTGGTTTACAGAAACCAGTTGCCTAACGTGGTGCGATTTCATATCTTACTTACGACGGGCCTGACGTCAAAAGGAAACAGGCCGAATCATGGGCCTCGGTACGAGAAGAAATCAAAATTTGATGGCGATGCGGAACATAACGTACCAAACCGGCGTTTGGGTCGTTTGCTCTCGCGACGGACGGTCAAGAAGACAATTTCGATTTTATACATCCCTTTATAATAAAACAATAGGATTGGTGGTTTATGTATATTTTAGTAAGTGTGTGGTTTCAAAGAGCGGGTTGAAAAAACGCTAAGAAACCGAGTAAACGGAATTTATTTTATTATCAAGATAATAATGACCATATACATATATAGATCTTTTTTTTTTCTTTGTGTAAGTAGTAAGTACGTAGCAATCAATATCAAGCGATGAGTAACAATAAAACCCTTAGTTTTTTTTTTTTTGGTAAAATAATACCCTTAGTTTACCATAAAGATATGAACTTTGATCGGAAAGCTCAATAAACGTGTGATGTGGCCCTTTCCCCGTTTAGAATGCTGAGTAGAAATTTGTTTCGTTCTTCTTCTTCGGCTTCCTTGGTTCTCTCCTTTCGTGCACGACAGTATTGGCAGCAGTCGGAGCATAGGAGGTTCTTACCAAAGACAATAGCTGCCGTGATTGGGACAGCGACGAATCCGAACCTTTTATTCAGAACAAGTACGATGACAGACGCACACCCATTAATCGAACCTGCATGCATGTTGGAAAATTAAGAGTCAAAAGAGAATATTCACTAAATCATTAGAGAAATCGAAATAATAGATAGAAGAATGACAATACTACATATATATATAAACAAATTTGGCGCGAAAAGTGTAACATCCCTATCCCAAGCTTCTAAGAGAACGGGGAATCGGGTATGTTAGGTCGGCCATCGAACCGCGTCCGATAAAATGTCCGATCTGGTGAGCACACAGGATCGCTAGGAAAACGCCCAGGTAACAATCAACAACACAGATTTAGGCTGATCTCTCTACTAAACCTGAAAGACAAGGGGAGAGGAGGGGTGAGTAATTGGGATTACTCAGTGAGGGTGGACCTTAAGGAGACCCACAACATCATCAATCTAGCATAAATTGGTTTTAAGAGATCTAATCCTAAAGCAAGCCCAAGCAACACATATATAGATATATTTACTTATATATATAGACAACTCATTCCTAGCAATCAATCACACAGCATTCAAGGGTAACCCTACAAACAACTACACAAGAAACGGGTCCCTGGACGCGGCAGTAGTGGGCTGCCACATGGGCCCCCATGCCTCACCCGGAAAGGCAACCAGAATAATCCCATCCAATGGCTGGCTTATTACCATACCCATTAGTCAGGATCACTCTGCCAGTCACACAGACTGATCCACAGCAATCACCGAGACAGACTATGACACTAACGGTCACTCAGACGGCTGCTCATAGCGGTCTCACCAGAAAGCTGTATCCAGCGGTCCCTTTGGACGGCTCAATAAACAGTGGATCACTAATCCACTCCAGCGATGGCTCTAGCCGTGCCTCACACGACAGCGATAGCCAACAAACAACACTGACTCCCGCCTCCGGGAGCCAGGGGTCCTATCAGAGATCTATATGCACAATCATCCATTTCAAAGAATCATCCATTTTTTAAAGGTCCTTCCATTATTAAGATGCACGTTCGGTGATACCAATTGTAACAAAAAGGAACAATAATCAGGTTAACATCACACAATCAATATTTTAAAGTCCAATAAGTTTAGATCCAAGTTCAGGTTAATTATCTCATTCCACCAGCAACCAGCAATCATCAACAAACAGGCAACATAGATCCAGGTCCTAAACAATTCTAACAACCCTAACAAGCAGATCTAAGCCTGATCTAAGAAAATGTCACTTAAAAGACAACCATGCATATGTAAGAGAGGATGAAGCCACAGAGCCCTCACCTTGGCTTAGAAGGCTGAGAGACTGGAGGAGGAGGCAGAGGAGAAGGAGATCTAAGAGGAGATCCATCAGAATCAGCTCCCATCTCACCCAAAGGAGAAGGAGGCGGCGCAGACATCACAGTTGGGCAAGGAAGCTTCGGCGGCGAGGGAGGCTTGGAGGATGGCGGCGGCCGCGGCAAGGAGAGAGAGAGACACAGCCAAGAGAGAGAAAGAAGAAGAAGAAAACGCAGAGAGAGAGAGGAAGGGAGCAGCTCGGCGCAGAGAGGAGAGAAAGAGAGAAGAAAAAGGTGGCTAGGGTTGATTAAGAGCTTAATGAGGGTTTTAGGGATTTAATTAGGTATTTATATGGAGGTTAAATAGATGGGCTGTGCTTAATGGGCTCTTAGAAAGAAATTAGGAAAAGCCCAAATAAAAGGAAATAAATAGAAAAGGAAATAGAGATGGTTGAATTTAATAAAACCGGAATTAGGAACTAGTAACATCCGATATTTGGTTAACCAAAAGTCGGGATGTTACAATCTTCCCCCCTTAGACAGGATTCGTCCCCGAATCCTATGAGAGAGAAGTTCCTGAAAGGAATTTCGAAGACTACAAACCAAGGGAATCGAAGGCACAAATGACAAGAGGACCTTGGTCGCAGAAGAGAAAGAATTCAGAAATGAATTCAGGGAATGGAAGCAGGAATGGAATCAGAAAGGAAATCAGAGAAGAGATCAGAAAGGAATCAGGAAGGAATTCAGAAATAAGGCTAGGAATAAAATCGGAGAGGAGGACATGAATGAAATTAGAAGGAGGATCAGGAATGAGATCAGGAAATGGGAGCAGAAAATGAAATGGGTCCAGGAGGAGAATTGGAAATGAAATCAGAAGAGAAAGCAGGAATAGAAATTTGGAAGGAGATTAGGAATAGAACCACAAGAAATTATGGCACTATAAGAGATAGAGGCTGAGAGGAAAAGGACAAGAAGGAATAAAAATGAAGCAGGAAAAAAATTAGAAATGGAAGTAGAAGGAAAGACAAAATGAAATCTGGAAGACCCAGAAATGAGATCAGAAAGGAAATTGGAAATAGGATTAGGAGGAAAGCAAAAATGAAGACAGAAGTGAAACCAAGTAGAAAGGCAGAAATGGAATCAGGAATGGCTCACAAATGAAATCGGGAAGGAATTAGAAGTGAGCCATGGCAACAGAAAAGATAAAGGCTAGGAAAGAGAAAGCAGAAGGGAAGCCAAAGGACACATGGCGCCAAGAAGGAGTTGGAGGCTAAGGGTTTAGAACGCAGAGTGATCAACAGAATCGTGTAGGAGGGAGAGTTTAAGGTATGATGCAATAAAAACATTTTGAGTAAAATCCAAAAACCATTTTATTAATGTGACAAGGAGGAGTATAACATTTTTTTTTTAAAGGAAAAATAAAAGAACACTAGCATGGAATCTAACTAGTTCATAAGAAACCTAAAAGCAATCAATAATCCAAACAAATAAAAATAAAGTTATACTCATTTGAAAACTTTTTTTTTTAAATATAAAAGAGTACAATCAGAGGAAGGATCTTCTTCTGCTTCACTACCAGCGGAAATGACGACCAGCTCTTTGCTAAACTTCACTTGAGGAAGGAAGTGAACTTCTTGTGCGCAGGCTCTCGGATCTTGAACATAGGTCTACGGTAAAAGGAAGGAAGAGAAGGAAAAAGAAAGCTATTGGTTGAATTGCTGAGCAGGATTCGATACACACTAAAGCCACCGTGAAATCCTCTGAATCCGGTTAAGAGTGTGAATTCCCAAAGGTATTCAAACACATCCGTTCTCTTTGGATAACACAGCTAGGTTCATCGCCATTCCGAGATGAAACTCGCCTAACTTTTTACAGTCTGACAATTTCTATGGACTCTTGCGACGCCTGCCTTTTAATACCTTAACTATGTAGACCAGGTCTGAACCTAATCATACATGTTGATGGCTGCTATAGAACCAAAGATTGCATAGTCAGGACTGGCATCGCACAGTGTGGTAGTTTCAGAACAACCACCCTGGTACAGTCTGAACCACACCAATAATCAGTCTTGTCTAGAGGCAATTTTGTTGCAACTCCAA